TTTTAAAAAATTGATATATATTTCGTATGAAATATCTTTTAAATATAAACTGTAATTGAAAAATAAAAAAAATTGTATTTTTATCAATCAATATTATTAAATTCATATTCAAATTTTGTTAATAATTATTTTTTAATCATAATTCTCTGCTTGAACAACCGATACCCTCATTCACAATCTCGTTTTCCGTAGCTCTTCCAACAACACTACTTCGACATTAGATTTCCATAATCCATCACGCATGCATACGGCATTTTTAGACTTGTCTTGCACCGTCATGTCCCACGGGCATAATAGGTTCAACCGTCGAAAGCTTACAAAATATTCTTACTGGTGAATCTAGGTCTATACAATCAAAATCTCTTCTGATTTTTTAGTTTCCGTCACACTCCTCTTAGAAGTAAGTACTCCCCTTGCCCCTACCGTAGAGCACGGGCCAAGTGCAGTGGCGTGCATTTAGACTAGTCGTCCACACTGACGAACAACCGAGCGCAGGCCAAGTGCAGTGGCGTGCATTGAGAGAAGTCGCCCAGATTGACGAACGCAGAGTAAGAGCAGCTTTCACGAGGCTTTTGGACTTTTGGAGTCATTATATAAACATCTCTCTGCCAATTTATTTTGAAAAGTGAAACATCGTCTAGTTTTTTCCGCTTGTCTAATAGATATTTTGCTATATCTTGATGTTTATTCAACATAGCAGCATGGAGTAGCATGCGTCAATATTGGTGACTTAACATTCATCACCAGAGCTTTCACCCATTAGAGAAGAGCATGAGACAACTTTTCAAAGTTGCGAGAATTCTCATATCTATCTTCTAATGAGACTATTTTCAAAATATATTTTTTGTCAAGATTTTGGTCAAGCACGACACGCAAGAAGCACTTGCCATTGCGACTCCACTCCCTCGCATCCTCGCACTTTAAAGCTGGAATAATTTTAAAACATTAAAAATTTATATTTTTTTATATTATTTGCTTTTAAAAATAGATTTTTTTATTCAAATTTTATGTTTTTCAAAAATATATAACTTTATTTTTGAAATTACTATGTCTAAAATATAATTTTAAAAATTTATATATATTTTTCAAAAAACTAGTTTTTATTTCAAGATTGTTCTTTTTAATATTTTAATAAGATTTATGATTCATATCGTGCTCAACATTTAAAAATTTTAATATTTCAGTGGAAAAAATGGGTATTTAACTAAAAAAAGTTACAAAATTTAGCAATATTATTTCTCATACAAAAATCTTATAATTAGATTTTAAATGTGAATACCCCAAAAAATAGTAAATTGATTTTTTTTTTCATGTTGGATAATAAGTTCTCCATTATGAATGTTTTGGATCTAAGATTATTAATATTGTAGACAAAATTTTTACAAAGAAAATAAAACTAATGATTAAGAGGATAAAAAATTTAAATAAAACATCAACACCAAAAGTTATAGAATTTTAAAATTAACAAAATATAAAAAAATATGGAAATTTTTAACTATATTTATTTAATTATATAATAAAAATTATAAAAATTTTATTTTTTATTTTTTTATCTTCTAAAAAGTTCAAGAAATATTGTACAATCTTATAGTACATATATTTTTTTAGATCTTTATAAAACTATTTCATATAATGTTCTATCATTACTTACATAATCTCATCTACATTTTAAACGTGGAGTGCAATTCAAGTACTGCTAAGTTACTTTCGACTAAGTTAAAATAAATTTTGTATGATTAAATTATTAATTTAATATTATTTATAACTTAAATTATTATTATTATTATTATTATTATTAAAAATTATTTTAATTATAAGTATGAATTTTATCAATAAAAATGATAAAGATTTTTTATTTTTTATGAAAAATAAAATTTTACCATAAAATAATAAAAAATAATTCAAAAATTAAATTTATCATATTTAAATCATATTAAAATCAATTCAACATTTAAAAAAACACATAAAATTTTAATTATCGCAATAAAATGGAATTTTATGTTATAAAATTATTTATATTCATTTATAAAAGTTATTCAACATAAAAAATTATATTTAATTAAAATCATGTCAAAATTTTATTTTTTTAATGAAATAAAAATTTATTTCAAAAATAATTTGAAATTATTTATAAAGGCAATTCATCATGGAAAATATAATTAAATCGATATCACAAAAAATTAATTTTTAAATAAAATGAAAATTTGATCTTTAAAATAATTTTAATTGATCAGGAGAATAATTTATCATAAAAAATATTTTATTCATATTTCAATCATTTTAATTCAAATGTTTTTCAATATTACTATCTTTCACAAAAGAGTAAAAAGTAAAATTAATAAGTCTGCACTTTATGAATTAATATTTCAAATTTTTTGGATAGAATTTCACAGTTTTATGAAAATAAAATATTTAATGAATATATAAAATATATATAACTTTATAAAAATACGTTTAATCTAATCTATTGAAAATTTTGATATATTTATCGTTGAATTAAAATGAATGAATCAATATATAAATAAAAAAATAAAAAAATAAAATTTTCACAACAAATCAAATGAAATAAAAATTTATACACATATATGTGAAAAGAAATTAGCCAAAAGCTCATGAATGGCAAGAGGTGTAATTTAGATTTAGAGGTACAGCCTGGGCAAGATTGGAACTTATAGCAGTTCCAATTATAAGAGCACTAAGATATCATAAAGGGTTCACCAGAAGTTTGTTAGTGTAAGTTTTCACATCATTTGAAACGTAGCAGTTTATATAAGAAAAGTAAGATAACTGAAACGTTTCACAAGAAATTTGTTAGTGTGAGTTTTTTCAGTTTTGAAGACTTGAAGTAGAATTAGATGGAGATCAAACTTGAGCGTTTCAAATTTGACCCCAAGTATGAACTTTGAAATAATCAAAACACCAATACAAAAACAAAGAATTTCAAATGCTTTCAAGTTGACATACCATATATAAATCTGGGTTGTAAACTTGAAAAACCAAATGAATATAAAGAAAGTTTAGATGATGATTCATGTGATATTTTGAGATATATTAGATTTATTAATGATTTTGATGCTAGTAGAAAGAAATTATTGTTGAGCTTGGAATAATATTTCTTGACTAGACAATAATTATTCACTCAAAATAATCTTTCTATGCCTCATGAATTTTTGGCATACAATTTTAATTTTAATCCATTTAATAGTATGTGAAGATATGAAAATAACACAATCCTTATAATTTTGTAAAAAAGATAGAGTGTAATTTTTATTACTCATATTTTTGCAAGCGAGTTGAAGTATCATTGATCATATGTTTACTCATATGATTTTCTCAAGTACAAGATTGGAAATTATTATTTTTTTATTCAATTCTTTTTTCTTAATATAATTTCTTATGATCGCTTAGTATTAAAAATACTTTGAAGTTTCATCTGGGGATAAATGATCAATGGGATCTGCAGTAAAACAAATTTAAATATTTACATTTTGTATATCAATGTAAATATGAAATCTGCATGCCTCCGAAACATTTGGCTTTTAGTACAAATCTCCACTGTTTTCGTATGGGAATGCGTAACGCACTCCATGTTACAGGCTTAATCGTAGATGTAAACAATCATGTTAGCTACGAAAATGCATAGAATGTGGTGTTTAATCTTCGTTCATCAACGAAGCAAAGTTGGACAGGAGCACATTCGGACGTAATGGTATAGTTTTGTACCTCATACTAAGATTGCTCTAAAGTGCTAAAGAGGCAGGAATGTATATTTCAAAAGGTGCAAGTGAAGAGTAGAGATTTGACATTGATTGTTCGCCATCTGCTTTTCTCGGTGACTTGGCAATTGTTTTGCCTCGTACGAGATTTCCCTAAAGGTTTAGATTAGGGTTGCCATCACTCATTTTCTCCCAGGAGCGCAATGTGCCTCGACGAAAAGTCTTCCACAGACATGATGCAAGAAATATTTAGAATTGAGAAAGAGAGAAAAAGGAGAAAAAAATTGTAACTGATTATGGAAATTGGGATGATTAAGGAAATTGCGATGTAAATAAATGTTGGTCTATGTTAAAGTATATCAAAGTCAATAAAACTTTCTACTTTTAAGAATTAAGCTATATATACGAAATTGACAATTCTATACATCTCAAGATAAGAAAATCTAAAATCTCAGATATATATTTTCATTCAAGATTACTTTTCATCTTAACTATATTGAAATTAAAATAAATATAATTCTCATGAGAACTGTAATTAACATGATAGTTTAATGTCCCCAAAAGCTTACAGGTGTTTCGGAAATTGCGGAAATTAACTTTAACAAAAATCTACATCGACCATGCTCGTGTTGATTCGGTGCTCTTTAAAGTAAAAATGGGGATGAAGTATTTTAGGTTTCTAATCAGTTTGTTAGCTCGGGATTTGATATCTACATATATAATTCTTCCTTTGGAAATTTGGCGACTTGAGTAAAATGAAAACGGTTTCCTACAAACTTTTACTTCATTTCATATGGAAGTTGTTTGGCGACTGAAACAGAATGATTTTCAAAATGACATCTCAATCTCTGTGATGTGTTTCCTAGCAGCAAGAAAACTGAGAGGAATCGAAGCACAGAAGTATCTTCAGCAGGTGTGATGCATACCAACACTCGCAGGTCATTGACTGTCGTTCCACGACGCCGACGCTACGCTTCCAGGCATATTTTCTGCACATCTCTGCCCATACTCGATGTGGTCCTTATCACGGGTCGACCGTCCAGTTGGGTCTTCGGTCAGATGTGTGGAGCTTAGGGACAGGCCTGGTTTATATGATCGATTCGTGTGTTTGGCAGACATATACAAGATCGACCTCTACGTAACCCTCTACGGTGGCTTAGAAAGATCGTCGGTCTTCGTTTGAGGTTGCTCCAGATCTTGCTGATGGCAGTTATGACAGAAATGAAGACAATGAAACCTTCACTAGTCGGGAACCCGAGAGTGAAGGTTTCATTGTCTAAAAGCATGAGAATCGTGTAACAGAAGGTAGCGGAGAGCCTTGTGAGAAGGCCCTCGAACTTCTGGCTACCCTTCCAGCGAGTTCATTCGCTTGTCAGTGGAACTGTACAAGGATGTACACGGTAAAGGCATGCACGTGAGACGAGCGTCAGGTGCGTCGAATAGATCACGGCAGTTCTGCACCTTCTTCATGCACTCCCTAGAGTGAAGCTTGGGATGGGTTCTTGATACTCTAGATACATCCTTAACAGATTCAGCTTGACCTTCTTTGCGATTTTGTTAAGACCAACTAAACATGCCAACTCAAAGCTCTACATTACTCATGTTAGAAATTATGCACATTTACATCATGATGTTCATGTGAAAATCAGCTTCTATAAACTGAGTCTGGTCTATGTGTAAAAATGTACCTCAAAAGTCGGACTAACGCATATGATCATGGCTTGAACCAGTTGTGGACGGACTCCTACAATATGCCAGCATTCCTAGTCACAGCTCAACTACTGAAAATGCCATCGGGTCTACTTGTCCATCAGAGCTCACAGTGCACCTTCCAAGCTTCAGTGTACATCATCAACTACTCTGTCAGTCTGAGGCTGTGTAATCAGGCAGTCGCCAACGTCCTTCCCAGCTCAGCCTGTACCGTACAACTGTTCTAAAGAATAAACAATCGACTACTCTTCTATTTGTACAAAGGATTTACATTTCGAGTCATAAATCTGTTCAGAGCATCAACTATCAGGTCTCCTCACCAGAAAGAACTGGTGTCCACTGGTGACATGGTGGACCTCAGTATAGCCTGTACATCAGTTTCTCTGGTCACTACTCGTACAAAACAAACAAAATGTACACAGGAGATATCAAAACACTCCGGGCCGGACTCTCATCTTCTTCCAGTCTGCTCTGGAAGGTTTGGTGTAGACGGGTTCATCCTGGGCGGTGGCAGGGCGAAGGGCCAGACAGTCCAGAAACAAGCCTCCTTTCCAGTACGTGCAGTCGACCTCCTTGATTGAGAAAAACAGATGGAGCTGCTTGACCTCCCGTCCTTTTCCCCGAACCACAATCTGACCAACCTCGAACTCAAACCATTCCTCAAACACATTCGTTTGGATCTGACCCAGGTCCAACTCCTTCTCCAAGTCTTGGTCATCGGACGTATTCACTACAAAGCTCAGGGGTTTCTTCCACGATAAAAACTGGCAGCGACCCCCTTGAGGGTTTGCAACTTTGAGACGCCACACAACAGAATATATCCCCGGAGGCAGCGAGCACTTCCAGGTGCCGGTCACCTCCAGCCAGCAGACAGCCAGCAGATGGGCCACCTGCAGGTCCCAAGCGGAAACTAGGTGAGTTCAACACATTCCTAGCTTTCAAGCTGTACATAATGCTGGCCAACACTCTTCGTGGTGATGCAACAAACCGAACTTCACAATCGCAGAAGAGATCGTCAACAACGTGCAGAAGCCGTGCATCTGCATGATTCTATAAAGACGAAATTCAGTGCTAATTCTGAAGCGTAAGCGATCTCAAGATGAGATTAAAGAAGGATCTTCCCACCGTCGACCACTAACCATTGGATCGATTGTAATGAACTGAGCAAGCAAGGTGCACAGGCTGTGACAGCATACAAAGCAGACCGCAAAAAATCACAATTTCAGTACGCCCATGGACCAGAGGATTAGACAGTAAAGATCGAAAGAACAAAATTCAGGAAACCATCGTTGATTAATGGCCGTACTCATTCTTGCTTTTGATAAAATTCTGTATGCTGTGAAAGGTTGTTTGTCAGTAATTAAAGACGAGCAAGCTTCAACACGAGCGATTACGATTTTGGTGTTTGTTATTCAACCACTCACTCACTACAAAACGAGGTCTCTTTCTTCACTGGAAATTGAGATGATCATAATCTGGTTTTGGTTGCTGTGGAGAGACAAAATGTTGCAGGCGAATAGACTGATACAGACTACGCTGATCAAGCTAAGCCATCACAGATAACATGCTAGAGCAGAAATTGGGTTCGAATAAATCTGAAATGCATGAATTTCACATTCCTCACGAGCTTGCAGAACTCCGGAAGAACGAGGAGGCCAGGAAGAGGGAGATGGGTACGAGAAGTCAAAAGATTTTTACTCTAGAGAAGCAGGAACTCCGCGAGAAATCCCAGCGCCAAAATCGACAATCTTCACCCCACGAAACCGACATGGCTGCGACCGAAAGCTGTCGACAGATTCCTCCCGAACGACGTAAAAGCACATATCGCTGCCGCCCTTGGTCCAGAGAAATTCCTTCAGCCAAAGCTTCGACAATTTCCCGCTTGCTCAGATGAGCAGCCCGGGGATACACGAGCGCGTGATCGCTGGGTAGCATCCCACCCCAAACAGTATCAGAGCGAACAGCAGAAGCCAGCGTCCGATTCAAGCACGCCAAGCGGCACGCATACCAAGGGCTCGTGTACGAAATTATCGACTCGATACAATCCTCGGGCAACTCTTCCAACAACATCGTGTCCCCTCCGCTAGCGCTACTTTGAGCAACAATTGCTCCTTCCAGAAGCATGTGACTAAATTCCAGATAAGATTTCTTTAACAGCTTCTGCTTTCGCTCCGATGTCAATTTTACGCTAACACGAGCAGTAAGTGCCCTATCTTTCTTCAACCCCGAAGAACGGGTGCTACGAATTTGAATGCGATGCAGTTCAATTCAAAGAAACGGATTCTCGCACATCCTCCTCCTTTCATCCTCTCCATGCACAACTCCACATCGCCGATGGCGAAAACAGCGCATCCGACCTCGCTCGCCTCCAGTAAAACCGACCGATCGCTCCGCTCGAGGAAGAAACATCGACGAAAGCAGCACGGACATTAAGTATCACCATCGTGTAAAACTGGGCGATCAAGAAGAGGCGTCAATCGAAGCAAGTGTTCTCTTTTATCTCTATTTCTCTCTCCCTTCTATCTTCTATTCGACTCGGTCCCCTCAGAAGGGAGCACAAGATCAACTCACGCTACTGCTTCCTTCAGTTCTATCTCTCGGAACCCTCCTGCTCTCCCGCGGTCTCGCTATAATGGTGTCAGACGCTCGCATCCAAAAGGTTAAATCTCATCGACGCCCAGAGCGAGCTTTGTGCCCACCAACGCCCTCCGTCAGTCCACACGAAAGCAAACACGCCGTGCCTCGTGGCTTTCCGGACTCCAGAATCGGAAATGCGGCAACACGTGGGGAGTTGACCCTCACCCTGCTGCTTCAATCAAGGACGATGGAACGAAGGGATCAATACGATTATTACGTCGGAGATCAATCAGACAATCAATCCCTCGATTCGATTGATCTTTCTTCTCATGCTTTGCTCCGGTCAAACGAGGACTCTGCCTTTCTCCTCTTCATCATCATCATCATCCTGCTGCTGCTGCTGCTGCTGCTGCGGCCGCAACCTTCTCTCCCTCGAGACAGTCTCTTCTGCAGGGCCGGGTATTTCGTGTTGTGAACTTCCGCGCCAATAGCCTCTTCCACTTTCTACCGACTCCGCAAATCCCTACTCATTCATTGCGCGAAATCCACTCTCAGTCCGTTATGCTCATTGTCATCATTGTGGCCATCACGCGATGTACTGTAAGCTTTCTGCCATCTCCGCTGAGGCTTACAGTTAGCCTCCTTTCCGCTTCATGGATCGGATGGGTCGGCCCATCCCCACACCGAATCCTGCTTCTCACCGACGGGAAGGGAGCCAGGAGCCAGGAGCCAGCGAGCTCAATCCAGGGAGGTAGAATGTGGATTGAATAGAATCGTAGGGCAGGAGAAGTACGAGAACCCGAACACCATAGCCAATCATAAGGCTCCTCCTCCTCCTCCTCCTCCTCTCCTCCTCCTTTCTCTGGGTCTTCGACACTGGCTGCTCGTGGCTAGACCTGCGCTGTTCTTCCACCTGCTGCGCTCTGCAGAAACAAACTCGCCGGCTTTAATGGCGCAACAGCTCTTGTCGCGAGGAATGGTGGGCGTCACTAGCGCCCTTTTCACATGTGCCGGAACATTCAATCTCGCAAAAGAAGGGCTGGAGAGATGTGCGGGAGAAAGCGGCAGATGAAGGTGTTGGCGATGAAGTAGAGCTAAGTGCGTCTCCTCTCCCTCCTCCCTCCATACCTGCGGAAGAGACGAGACGAATCGAGTCGACCAGAAGAAGTTGCTTCAGGTTATCGACCAAAAAGGACCGGCTTCGTAGTGGTGGGAATCGAATTACACATCGTGCCGGCACATCTTCGGCACAATTGCGGGTAATTTCAGTAGTCGGTCTACCGTGTACCTTTATTTTAAAAATTCATTTTTCCTTACACGTGCAGTTGCTTGGATTGTCATTCCCAGACCAATGAGATGAAATCTCAAGAGCATCTGCTTTTCATAACATCTCACGACCGATCCGTACCGTAGGTGCTTCGGCCATACGTGCTTGCGTCAGGAATGGGCCCAAGCACAACGAGAGCTACTCTGCTTGGGGTCCATCCACGCATCGAGTTTAGTTCTTCAACGATGTTTGCTACTCGACTGTAGCCGCGCCGTAAACTCGCAGGCAGGGAATTTCTCCGAATGTATAATCCAATTCACAACTATACACGCACAGCTCCAGGCAGAAATTGCGTGCGCACCGGCACACGCAATGGTATCGGTGATGAGATGAGAGGGTGAGAACGGAAGCCGAAACGAAATTGTTTGTTCCTCGTCCTACGAAAACAACCGGTATATACAAAAGTTTGCATGATCCAAGGAGAGAACTTCCGCAAACGGACAAGTGTGGAAGAATTTAGTTCTGGGCATCCAAACAGAACTCTGTGGTTACACTACGAAATTAAGAGAGGCACGCATGGTATCGAGTAATCTTCAAAGAAAAGACCAGGAATCATATAAGCACGAAAGACGCAAGATGATCTCCCACTCTGGGCACGAGCCAGGCAGGCTTGTGCGCAGCAGCTCCCAGTGTGACGACTGAAAAGATTCTGGCTAAGAATAAGAGTGAGAGCAGCAGATCTGTGACTATGACAGGGTATGTGAGTGAACGACTGGTCGAGTAGGGAGTTCCAGTACGCATCACAACAAGATGCAAGTTGCACATACTACCGAGATTCAGTCAGCCCGAGGTCCAATGATGGATTCCACGGAAAGCAGTTTCAAGAGATATGCTACCCAAATAGCTGTTTTACTTTGTGAATGAAACACACAATTCTCGACGGTTTGGACGATCATTTGTACGTGCACAAAATTGAAAAGGGAGGCGAAGTAGGAAAATTAAACTAATTTGATGGCTTTTCATCCTTCTGCTAATTTTGTACTCACTTTCTCCTTCCCACAACTGGGACAACCCTCACTTTACTCTACATACTTACAAAGAATTCGATGCTGACTTTACATCTAATAAGCCATAAAAAAATCTACAAGTATATCATTACAGCTTCCTGTTCAAATCGCCAGCTTCGCCAAGTCACTCCAGTTTCAGCAGATCCAGTTAAGTTGTCACCACTGCAATTACTTTGAGGAAATCAAAATGGCCTGAGAGCACTCCACAACCAATCGGTGGAGATCTCACATTCAATTGACTAAAACTGTGTTGACACTCAGCTGACTCAATCCCACTCCTCTCCCTCAAAATCACATCAGGCATTTTTAGAAGTACACCTCTCGAGGCCAAATAATTCTTAATCTAAAAAAACACTCTCACTTTTTTTCACAACTAAGTCTAGAGGTCAAATATACTTAACAATAAGCAACTTACTACCTTCCACTCAAGTTCTGGGAACTCATGTTGCTCGTGCTAGGACTTAAGCGACTGTTAGGACTCGATCTTGTAGGACTGGCAAGTCGAGGACTGAGGAAACTAGGACTAGTACGACTGTCCGTCTCGGGTATTGAAAATGTCGCTCGGGACGTACGCGATGTATGTGAAGGGCTACGGGCAGGGTCATTAGAGAGCTGAGCCTGATACTCTTTCCTGATGTTCCAGAGAGCCTCCTGAGCCTTCTTCATAACCGGTCTGTCTCTCTTCGTGGGAGCTGAGCAAGCGAACGCTAGTTCCGCCAGCCTCTCTATGATCATGTATATGGCTGGTGTGTGCTCAATTCTCGGGTCCAGAATTTCCATGACCTTCCCCTCCACGAATTTCTTGAAGGCCTGGCGTGAAACAAAAACACAAAATATCTACCAAGTTTAGTCCACAGCGTAGAAGCCCGCATCAGCAACTAGACTTTCCATTGTTTGCATAGACATACTCCTGAATGTGATGTGAAACGATTGCACCGACATACTGCGAGTTGAACCAGTGAAGCAGAGCAAATGCTGATGCAAACTCACCCATCTCACGGTCACTCGCTCTTCACTGGGTCGCTTCAGTTCGATCGGCCGTCTCCCGGTGAATATTTCAATCACCAAAATCCCAAACGAGTAAACATCACTTTTTTCGTTCAGTTGGTAAGTGGTCAGGTACTCTGGATCCAAGTATCCAGCAGTTCCTTTCACTTGAGTGGAGACATGAGTGTCTCCTTGGCCGGTAGGTCCTGTCCTTGAAAAACCAAAATCGGCAACCTTCGCTCGGAAAGTATCGGTCAACAGAATGTTTGAAGACTTGACGTCTCTGTGAATGATGGGACGGTCTGGTGGCCAAAGGAACACAAGTCTATCAGTCTCACTCCTCACTCTCACACACAGTACGAGCATCGTTCATTTATTTGACTTCCTACAAGTGACCTGTACAGAAACCTCTGCGCTACACGTTCCTGCGAGAAAACAGGTACAATTCCTGGCAGCGCCTTCACTTTCTGTCACTCTCTTTAACATCATTCTTACGATATACTTCAGTCAAGAACATCTTCATGGCAGTTAGAAAATAATTCCACGTCTAGGCACATGGGCAGCATTGGCTTACAGCTAAAAATAATGAGAACAAAATTTAGTCTGTTTCTCCATAATGAAGAATCATTATACCTGCATAGAGATGGAGGTAGGTGAGGGCGTGTGCAACGTCAATCGCGATATCAAGCCGAGTAGCCATATCAAGCACCATTCCATAATGGCCTGGAAAAAAATCGACACACGCTTTAACATCATATGGAATGACACATTTCAATAGATTTATAAAATGGTATGAGACGAATAATGAATTCATGTAAACTACTTACTATCTACGAGGGATTGTGTAAATATTCAGGCCTCACAACAACTTCAGATACTGTTGTCCAGAACTAAATGAACATCATACCATCAAGGTGCTCTCGGAGGTTGCCATTCGGTACATATTCCACGACAAGAATACGTTCATGCTCCTCCTCCAAGTATCCAATTAACTTCACCAAATTCAAATGGTCAACTTGAGAAAGCATATCGAGTTCGTTTTGGAACTCTATAGATAGACGTGTCTCAAATGCGTCCTGTTGAAACCGGGGGAGAAAACGAGTCAGTGTAAACACAAACTTTAAATCTCTTACATTATACAAAATCTCAGTTCCAACTTGACAGGTTAGATCGGTTAGTAACAAGAGTATCGATGTAGAATGTACCTTCTTGGCCCGCTTCACTGCAACAACTGTACCATCTTTTAGTTTACCCTTATAAACAGTTCCAAAACCTCCTTGTCCGATTTTATGAGAAGGAGAGAAATTCCCAGTAACCTTCATAAGTTCAGCCATAGTAAAGGTCAAGGCGCCAGTAACTCCAGGAGGTATTTGAGAAGATGTGTTGCTGTAAGCTGAAAAACTTGACGCAGAATTGAGGCGATTTAGGGACCTTGAATTGTCATGATTACTGGAGATAGAATTGACTGCAACACAGGATTCCAGAAGGTTTAATTTGAAGCGTGAACAACTATCCACATTAACGAGGGAAAAAACAAAACGGTTAAGGCAGAACACGTGAGTAAAAAAAAAAGAGACACGCATGCAAGCAGAGTTATTACAAACTTTTGAACATAAGAATCTCCCCGTTCAGAACAAACAGTGAAGGAGACGAACAAAAAAAATTTCAATGTTTGGGTCTGGTTAAACAAAGAGGAGTTGCGGTTAATTAACGACCTGTCTTACTTGAAATGTCTCCCTGAAACGTTTGACTGACAACTTCCTTCTTCCTCGTTGGCTTCCAGCACGGGCAAACCAGTGCACAAGAAAGAAGAAAACTTGCACCCATTCCAGCGGCGAGCACTCCTGGAAATCCCCCACCACTTGATGTTTCCTCTGACGTATTTTGATCACTCGAATTTCCTGATTCTGTCGAGGTATCGAACTGATCCGAACTTGCGAGCAAAGGTTTTTGTGATGAAGGAACTTCATCTGCTAATTGCCTTTTGGCAGAATTGCTCACGAACTCTGGCAAGGAAGCTGCCTCCTCTGTACGAAAAAGTTGACGTGAGTCACATTATAATATCAACCGCTGAACAACGAAATACCACCATGACTCTAGTATGAGTACAATACATCACGAACTCTTCTGATGAGTTCTATACGCCCATCATATGGTCTATTTCGAGATCACACTGACGAGGCAATGTCCAGTATAGGTTTTGAAATTCCACATCTGACATACCCTATGGAAGGCCTTGTCATCAAATGAGTATATTCATTTCGCAAGTTTGGATTTTTTTTATATGATCGCCGTGGCAATTTGATTTGTTTAAAAGAACTTCGTTCCGCCACTTTTCGTGGAGAAACGTTATGTTTAAAAGCTTCAGCGCCCAGTGAATGCGACATGCGAGAACTGAGCTGTCTGCCCACTGGACCCTACGATGCGTCGTGATGTTATACAAGCCTAAGAAAGCAAAGGACTCATTCGCAGACAAATCGAAAAAGACATTCAAGCTGAACTGACGTATTACACTGACTCAGTTCTCCGTAGGCAGCTGAGGGAGCTTCAATTTACGGCGGTTGGATGATTCAAAGATACAGAATAAAGAAATGAACTGCGCCTGATCACTACCTGGTACTTGCAAAGCATAAAATAGACATAAAACAGATTCAAGATAGCCCTACACAGCCTAGTTACTTGTTCTTGTGTACGGGCTAGGTGTGTTATACTGCCCATCATTTATTCAAATATCCCGTGGTCGTTCCCCCGGTCATCCACGATAAGCTCAAACATGAAACACGTCACGTTCACTGCACGCGAGGTTGACAGAGCACGAATGGAAGCACTTGGATACAAAGAGTCACACAATCCAGGAAGAAATGAAGGTACCTGCAAGGTTGGAACATTCCACGCTGCCTGCCCATGAGACGTGCAGCTGACACAAACCATCTCCGCCCAAGGGTGCCCATACCGTCGACGCTGGCGAGCACAAGCACCCCCTGTCATTGGCAGACGCTAGTGCCTGACAGCACCGGTGCGCGTCGCCATCATCCCCGCTCAAAAATTGCGTACAGAACAGAGCCACATCCTCGAGGTTACATAATTCGCCGGCATGCCCTTGTGGATGATCCGAGGCTAGTCCGAGTGTCAGGAGCTGGATCACGACGAAAATGCCTACCAACGACGGTTTCATAGCAAACTGATAACAACCCTCCGCTGTTCCCAACTTCAAGCTGGATTCTCCACCTGCGCAAGCTATGCCGGTCCTCTATGAGGCCTTGCAACGGATGGCCCAAAGGTTCCGATCAATCCCCCCTGACCAACAAGGAGACGACTCTCAACTCCTAGAGTTCATCCGCTCGCCTCCTCCTCGCCCTGTCCCTGTCCCGAGATGATGGAACCTGAAATGATGAATTGCTTCAGGCCCGAACTTCCACAAAAGCGGAGTCGATCTGCACCACGCCGTGATTCGTTGCTGACACCTTCCGGCTCTAAACCGACAGTCCAGCACACTCTAAACGCAAGCATGCACGAGACCGAAACCGGACGCACACACATACAAACACAAAAGCAGGAGCCACTCTCTCCGCCGCGGCCTGGGCCGAAAACTCACTTCTCACGAGCGAGCAAGAAGCAGGCCGGCAGCACACGCATCCTCAGCGCGCCCAAAAGATTTCAGATCTTCCAATTCCTCTCGGTTCTCCTGCTGCTGCTGTTGCTGCTCTGCAGCTCTGCTGCTTCCCCTGAGGCTGCGAGTTACTCTCAGCTGCACCTTTTCGTCCGACTGTCATGCTGCTCTAGTCTCCAACCGGCTGGTGAAACTATCCTGGCCTAAAACCATCCTGGACCCCGACCATACCATTCGAGCTGAAGGCGACCGGGCAAGCAAGCGCCAGGTTTAGGATCCGCACAATCGCTCGCTCGATGCTCGTCCGCACCCTGAAACTCTCGATCGCTCGCTCGTCCGCTCGGAGGTCTCGTGTCTTATGCGCAACGAGGCGAGGGGCGGAGTCAACTGGCAGGCAGGCAACGAGGACAGCCGGAGGAAGAAGAAGGAGCGAGACGAGAGGAGACGAGACCAGCGGTCCAGCAGGGCAGACTGGCGTGGCAGGGCGGGCGGGGCGGAGCGGAGCGCCGGACAGCAGTTCGATTGGAGAAGAGAGCTCCAAAAGCTGTTTGTCTGCCTGTCCCCAAATCCTCCCGCTTCTCGAGTCGGTTCTTATCACCGTCGCGGGCCTCGGCAGCCCCGGCCCTCCGGAGGACCTCCTCGCTGGTGCTCCTCTACTGTTATCGAGCGCACAGTGGCACGCTCCGCCCCCGGCCCCCCCCGCCCCCCGTCCGGGCTCCCCGGCCAGCCCGGCCCAGCCCAGGCTCGCTCGCTCCTTCGTTTACCACGTTTCGCTGCTCCACGCGGTAATGTTTTTCGCTGTGGACTGTACAGTGGTTAGGGTAAGAAGAGAGGAGAGGAAGAAGACCTCGTCACGGGGGATGCGACACCGCCAAACCGCCAAATCTACGCGACACGCACAACCGCCCGCCTGCGTCCTTGCGACTCCAGCGCGACGACGGCCGAGGGGCGACGTGGATGACAGCTCGGACCGCCCCAAACGTCGGCGGCTTATCTTCATACATTCCTTCCGCGCGACGTCACTGAGCCTCGTTCCGATTGCGTTTCCGTCCTGACATCGGAGGCGACGATGCCGAAATGCTCGGCGGAATGACTATGGGTGTGTATGTATTATTGTGGCAGTGTACCTGTTATTTTATACCGTTGTAGTATACAGCACTTCCAAACATACCTTGTATAATAGTAATCCTATGGTAAATAGATAAGCCGGTGGGACCCAAATGTCAAAAGGCTGAAAAATACAATAAAGACAATCCAACTCAGGACAGAACCAAAAGAACCCTAGCTAGCAGTGAATGACATTTGATTGAGAAAGTTCGACTGCGACCGTGCCCACCCGCGAGCATCCCGACGTACCCGCAGCCGTAGCCGCCCACAAAGGCTCAGAAATTTGCACCCGCACCTGACCCGTGCCCTTGCTTGTGTGCGCTACCCGCACCCGAAGTCAGTCGGTGAAGGAAAACTATTAGCTCAGTGTTAACTGCTATCTTAGCAGATGGGTAGGGATTCACACACCTTAACAAGTCTACTTTCATTATGAGATGTTTCGGTAATCACTGAGTTGATACCGAAAACTTTTACTCTACACTGAACTTTTAAAGATAGGTCGGTGATTGCTCGAACTCCGGACAGAATGAAAGATGACAAGATTGGTCGTATGCTTGTGGACAGAACATTTCCATTCCCTTTGGTTCACTTTTGTCATTCTAAAGTTTCTAACGCTTTCCTTGATTAAAATCCAGTAGAACGCTCCTTCGATAAATTTAAGAATGAATGTAGAGAAGGTATCATCAGAGAACAATTTGGAAGTTCTGTGTATCGATTTGATTAGATTTCAAGTTCATGGGATTTTGACTTGATTCAAGAAGAAGAGATCGAGGCAGTTCTCAATAACAGCCAGAATTTTAATGATGTCTGTTAATAAACACTACTTGTCGTCCAGGTATGTGATCTATCGTTTGTGGAATCATAGCATTTCTTCTATTTGGTCAGGTCTATGTTCGAACGGAGGAACATCAGGATGTTCACCGTGGAAGGTTTCAGCTGGTTACGCTTCTTTGAAACTGTGCTACCGCTGTCGGAGAAGTTGTTCTCTAACATGGCGCTGGACGCCGGGACTGCAAGGATGGATCGTGCAGCTCGCGCCAGGATGAGCCAAGTCGATGCCTTTGACTTCCACCAAAGCAGAATCCCCGTTCCAGAGGTCCCCTCATCGGTCTCTTTCATCATCCTCTTCTCGGACTTGGAGAGTGTGAACGCCTCGTACGCCTGCAGCTCGGCTATGACTAGGATCTCCAAAGTCGCCGTGTTCGGAACGCTGTCAATATCGTCCTGATCATCGTCATCGTCGTTGCTCGAGAAATCGTTGATGCAGCGACGAGGAAAGACGACCGGAATGGCAGCGCGCTTCCGTTTACGGGGATGGCGGTTGCAAGCGGTGGGTAGGACGGGGCGCTTATCGTCGATGGTCAGGGTTGGAGGGCTGTTTTGGACCATCGTGGACTTGATGATTGCGATGGCTTCAGGTTGAAGCTCGTCTTCGATTTCCAGCTCGCTAATGATCGGCTTCTGACGGGGGTCGAGGTACGTCGCTGCCACATGCAGGGCCGTCAACATAAACTTCTCGAGGATTTGATCCTTGATGAGATCTTTGATGTTCACCAAGTCTTTGGAATCAGGTGGGAGCGTCACCTTGACGCCGTCCTTGTCTTTCACCACATGCTCCTCATCCACAATGTCGTAGTGTTCCAACAGCACCTTCCCCCAGTGGGTGACCATATGCAACGTCGGATTCTTGAACGCCTCGAGCTCCTTCGTGGCGATCTGGAAGAGGTTAAGGAACAGCACCAGTTCATGTAGGAGCGACCGGTCGATAACGTCCATTTTCTGCTCCTGGTGGCGGAGGGTGAGCGTCTCTTGATGACTCTCGAACTCGCAATCGATACTATTCGTCATAATCAAGATGCCGACCCATCGGGTCGCCACGGCCTGCTTGAGCTTCGGCGTTAGTTGCTTGTTGAGCCCTACCCGCTTCACGTACGTGACGAGCGCCTTGCAATTGTCGAGCATGTCGAACACGGCGGGAGCGTTAGCGTAGAACTGGTAGTACGGCTTCGACTTCTTGCCGTTGACGATGCTCGTCCGCTTGTCGAGGACAAACGACACGCAGGTGCTGATCGAATGGTCCGCACAGCCATTCCACTGGAACTCGGAAGGCAAGCCGTCTTCTCCACAGTTGTTTGAGGCATGGTCGGTGGTGATCATGATCTGCTCCTTGACCGGCCCGTTCATACTGTCAAACTCCCCCGTGAACGGGATGATGCATTGTTTGAAGGTTTTGAGAATGGCCACGGCTGTGTGTGACACTTCTGGGAATTGGTCTACTTGCAGGGTGCGGGCATTGTGCTTGAAGTCGACGTCAATGTAGTGCATCGTCACAGACATGTACGCGATGCTAGTCAATGGTTCAGTCCAGATATCGAGAGTACACCCAGCGTACATCTTGTCCTGAAAGTGCGCCTGAAGTTCGGCGATGAGGACTTGGCGAATCGTTTGATATGTCTTGACCGCCGCTCGCTTGACTGTTACCTCATCGCTGAGGAGATCCTTAATCCGAATGGGGTTCTTGGAAGCGACGCCAATGTCCAAGACTGTCTGCAATAAGGACTGAAAGCCTTCGCCTGAGACGATGGCGAACGGGCGCATGTCAACGGCGCACATGGCGGCACACGACTTCACGACCATCTGCTTTTGGGCGGCGGTCGGTTGAACGTTTAGGCGTGCCCACTGCACTATCGAGTGCGATGAGCTAGCAGCGACTGACTTCGGCGGGCAGTTGTGCTTGCGCAACGACTGAGTACCACGAGACGAAGTCCACGAATATGGCGTGCTGCACTTTTTGCACCCCACAAAGATGATCGTGATCGCATCCGACTCCTGCACCTCCACGCGTTGGTTATCACAGATGCGAACAACTGGGCCGAACTCATCCCAAATGCTATTCAACGAAGGCTGCTCCTTCTGTGGCCAACTGACGATGACATGGTCGAGCACTTCAGCCTCGAGCAATGACTTCTGAAGCTCCTTCTTCACCTCATGAGCCTTCATTATGGATGTAGCAAGCGAGGGCAAACAGGCTGGATGTCAAGCTACAGGCAAGCCAGGCAAAGGCCAAGCAACTATAGAGTCAAGAAGTTCTGTAATTCTGGGTTCTTACCCAGATTTTTCAGTATCCGGAAAATTGCTTCATTTGATAGTTCATATTGCGAACGAGATTGAATGAAACTGGCGGCGGGAATTCCACGCCGCCACAAACCGAAACAAACGCAACCAGCACCCAACCGAACCCATTGATTTATTTGTGCATATGTGCTGTTCCAACCGTAGCCGCACCCACACCTTAATTGAAAATGATCACCCGTAGCCGTACCCGCCCGCTGCTGATATGCACCCGGTGACCACTCACCCGTTGCCACAAGGTGCACCCGTGACCGCACTCCACCCGTGGGTAAGCGGGTATACCCACGGGTGCGGGTCTCGGCTGCCCGATGTTAGTCACTGCTAGCTAGTGCCAAGAGCACTAGAACGATAATTATTATGAAAACTGTAAGATTTTAGAGTAATAGTGTTTGGAGACTCGACATCCAATATCTATGTGAGGTTTTCTAGCTGACTTCTTTGGAATTAAAAAATGTGTTTGCAAACAAGTGGATTTGGACATTTTTTACGTTACACCCGAGGAATAACATTTTCATTTCAGATTTTTTTAAAAAAAATATCTATTCAGTCTAAAAAAAGTCTAAGTCAGCAAAATAAACAGAGAAATGTGTATCACAAAAATAGTATGTTCAAATTCCTTTCATCTCGAAGTTTGGTTTTCCATTTCTTAAAACAGTTCCAACGCATGGGCGGTGCAGAGCTATCAGTTCCATAGTTTGATGGCGTTGACATATTCAAGGGGGTTTGAGTTTACATTCGAGTCCGAGGAGTGGTGATAGACGAGGGTAAAATCTTTGAAATAGGTGGATCTCTGAGCGTCGTATAATACATTTGTTATTATACTGTATTATATAGTATCATACAGCGCAGTCCGCGAAAAAATCAATTATACAGATCCATAAGAAATAACGATCTCCCCTATCGGGCCGGGTTCATTTCGCATTTCGTTCGTTTGTGCTCCGGGTTCGAGTTACACATGCACTCAGCGAGTGCGTTAGTTTCCGGCGGACGGGCTCTTCGGCGCGCCCGCCGTCATTCCGAGTCGCGCGACGCCACTGCGAACGCTCTCGAAAATTCGCCTCTTTCCGTGCCTTCGGATGGCTGCGTACCGTGAGTGCCCCGCCGCTCGAGGCCGCACGCCACACGGAACTGAGCCGCTGGGACCCAGTCCTCCCGATCGCTTACCTGGCGCCTGACGCAATCCCCACGCTCCCTCCGATCGAAAGAGCGCGGACTTCCACTGACCGTCGCCATTCGCCCTTCGACTTTCGCGACCGGCCTCTGTTTTCTTCGTTCCGCGTTCGCTTCCATGGAACCTGGGTCTCGGACTGCCGGTCAGACCCGACGGGACCAGTCCGTAATATCGCTCAAATGTGACCGACGGGACCGAGTACGCACACGACTCAAAGCGTGTCGTTAATGCTGGACTCTGGGGACTCATGAATGAATGCGGGAAAGATAAGATGGCGAAGGTCGGGGAAAGATTCGAATCCGAGAACGAAAGCGAACGGCACCCACAGAGGAGTAGAGATTATCGAACGGACTTAGAGGTGGACCGGCGTGGACCGTCCGGTCAACAGTCAATACGTCCGCGTTTGCACCCTGAACTATCTTCTTTGACCACAGCGGCAGTCGTGGAGACTAACGCCGCGTGGCTCGTGGGGTGCGGTTTGGTGTGAGCGAGCCAGGGGCCGACTCTCTTGTGGACCTTTTTCTTCTCCGTCACACATTAAATCCTTCTCTGCGACGGAGGCGGGGGGTGGTGCGCAATTTGGCTCCGATTCACCCCCAGAATTCCCTCTAATAGAGGCCTTCATTGCAACAGACGACCGATGTGAGAACGAAGGAGGAAGAGAGAAAGATTCACATGTTCTTTGAAGGCACTTTCTGTCATGTCAGAGTCGCAGACGGGGGAATGAGATTATGAGTCATAAATTTGCACTGAAATTCCCCAGTAGTACAGAGTACTGTCCACTTCTTCTCTACTAGTATGCCTGTGCAGGGTATATATGATTCGTCATTGTGTCTAATACTGTACTGCAATTGATGAATGGATTACTGACGGATTATGTGAAGTCGGATCCTTTCCCAAACTTGATCGAAGTCGGGGTTGTGTGACAAAGCCAAGGGCCCAGGGTCGAAGTAGAAAAATCATGGTTTCTCCATCAGCCCCTGTCACGTAAAAATTTGGAATCTAGGGTTCTTTCTTCAGCGAAGACATATACTCGGGAGGATAATCACCACACTAAGAGACGGACTACGGCACAGTACATGTAGAGTTCTGTATCATCTACGATGGCCAGCCACGAGAGCGAAAGGGCTGGAGAACCAAGTGCATACTATATTCGTACATTGTGAAATAATAATGATGATGTGTAAATGTATCTTTCTTGAATAAATGGGAGAATAGCTATTTTTATACGTAGAATATTCTAGTAATTATTCGAAAGTAAAGATTTCAATGTAATGGAATGTACTGGGGATAGCTACATTACCATTAACAATTACATTCGAAGGTTAAAGATAGTTATCCATGATAACCTTATGGTGTGATGTAATTGAAAACGATAATGAGGTGTCGGTATATCTCTCTGTCATTAAATCTAGAATTGGGGCATATGTAATGTTTAATGTAATTACATTTTATACAAAGTTAGAAGAAATCTACCCTTGATGATGATATTGATATGTTAAGAATAATACAACAGATGGATGAAATGTTGGTGTGTCCTACAATTGTCTACGTATATAGTATATGTAGTTTAGGAGTATCATACTATCATTGGATAAGTGATGGTCAGGCCTCTGCTAACTTGGCATTTGCCAAATTTGTCATAACTTAGTCTATTATGGCATCAGCCAATTTTTATTTATGACACTAATTTTAATTTGCTTGAATTGCTTATAATGTATGTTTACTAGAGTGACAATATAATTAAGGAAGATATATACTCATCTTTCTCTTAGGTAATCATGGAGAAATCACCCTCCACACACATAGTTTCAGGATACACGGTTTGGATATTCACTCCATATTTGCTTTAAAGTGTTGACTTTCAAGATGTTTTGATTCCAGCTCTAGTCAATGTGGAACCTTAAAGTATTTTGTGATTCTAGCTGGACCTTCGCTTCATGTCGATTATTTTTTTTCACCGCTCATACTTGGCAAAAAGCTACAAAAGCCCGATGTAACGACACCATACTTGAAGATCTTCAGCCCATAGTCAAGTATGTGAGAGAGAGATTAAATGACATTCTACATTTTTTGAAGACATTTCATCAACGTCAACAGCGAAGAAGAGAGAACAAAAACGTTTTAATAGTGAACGAGAACGAAAGGAGACTTGGAAATCCATTCTTATTTATGGCATCATGCCAAAATAAATTAATGACAAATATGGCATAGCACCCCCAAATGCCATATTTGAAGAGGACTGGTGATGGTTATTAATATTACGTGTGACAAAATACACATCCGTTGATTATTCATTCTTTATTGTCGCGAGTTGAGTTTTTTGAGATAGGATTATGCTAAGATGTCTGTATTCTAGCCTTGACGTTATACATAGATGTTGACTTTGACACGCTCGTGAGATATTATCATTTCATGAGGAAGCCATTGTGTAATATATGTTCTGTCAAGTCTCGTAATATTTCTATACAAAGCGTAGTTCGTCTTTTACCTAAGTAAGCAATCTAAATTGGCGATGTTTTCTTTAACTGTGTTATATATAGATTATGAGACCTAGATAGTTTGGACACATTGAAGTAAGTCAATGTCTGAAATATTTTAACACTGTGATGACATAAAAATCAAGCCACGTGTTACCGAATTTGTTTGAAATTTACTCTGATACTTTTATCATCTGTAGATTTTTGACATAGATAATCCAAATAAAACATGTGATTTAAAAGTATATTATTAGATCTACATTATTAATATCATATCATCACGGCTTGATGGCTAAATCCTTTTTTCTTTCATAACACTGCTCCCATATGATTTTTAAACTTTATAAAGTAATTGTTTGTAATAAATAAATCAATGTACTTTAGATTGAGCAAGCCAGCGATGTTTAGGTTGCATACTTCGTCTGTAGACAGATCATACATTCGAAGTACAAAGGTGTATTTGTAATGTGGAAGTTTGACTATCAGATTCTCTTCATAGAATTTCGCTTTAACCTATTAATTGTCAGGTTACAGGGTTTTTTTTTTTTTTTTTTCAATATCCGTATCAACAGCAGAGTCTTTCCATCCATCTACAACTTTGATTCCAAGACAATAAGAAAGGATATTAGATTAGATTAGATTAGCCGAACAAGCTAGAATAAACTGCGGTCAAATCAACTTTAATCTGTTCCATATGTAGCTTCTTTCTTCTGCTTTTTATATGAACTGTATTTACCATAATTAAGTAATACTATAGATCCGATCTATAGAATTCTTTTTAATTCCAAATACCCGCACTCCAGTTCCCCTCACCCTCCAAGTTCACTTCGAATGCTTACACGTGGTATACACTTTCAAGGCCACAGTTGATAACGACCACATCCTCGTGTTCCATCGAAACTAATTTGGCTTTTCGATACACATATCCAGTTTTTGTGTGTATAATTGGAACGAACTCCGATTCACTTTCTAAAACGAGGGGCCACTTCCTATGAGTCAGGAGCAGTTCTTGCTCGATATCACAGTTATCCTTCTCACACAGGAATGAATCGTAAGTAGATCGATAGATCCAAAAGTAGACACTTCAAATCGCTCACAAGATATCGTATTATATTATCTGGTTATTTTATTTCTAGATAAAATTATTACTATTATTGGTTGAGATATATACGTAATCCTAATTGTGATGCTACTGGGGCTACCTTGTGTTACATGATTGGTTTAATCGTAGCAAAGCTTGATGTGGTACTTCCATCTTTTTGCTACATTACTTGGTGTTCTTCCCGATCCATGTCGTGTTTTCTATCCTCAGTATGTTTGTAGCATTCTCAAGCTGTCTTATAATAATAAGTCAGATACATTTCACGTATGAGAACTATCTTAGACTTGTCGCATGGAGGCAAGTCACTATCATAAAGATTTAATTTCATTCAAAACCTTGGTATAAACATATATTTATATTTATATTTATTCACCACATAATTTACTCAGAGCACTCTTCCATCTCCATGTACTGTCATTCCCACATTTATCTTACTTCTTTGCCTCCATTAGGCCCTCTGACCTATTCACTACAAATGGAACAACAAATTCATCAACCCAGACGGGGAACTAAATCGTTGAGTAAAGAGAATGGGAACACCCAATCGACCCAACCATGATGATGTATGATGGTATTGCAATCCTACAGATTATCCCGATGGCCACCCCCCGTGCTATGATTTCATTCCTTCCTTCTGTATCATATGGAGTGACGGCCGGAATTGAGGGGTCTAGATTGACATGTGTAACCGTTGTCCCACTTGTAGGTTCATCTGCACAGAATGGCGAATAGGCCGAGGTTGAAGGAGCTCGTGTTCCGTAGGAAAACTATTGACGGGATACCGCGAGACTCATGAATTTCAGGACTCTGCAGTACATTTTCACGCCATTTCGGATGGTTCAGGCTTATTCATGCGTCCTGTTCGCAGTATTAATTCCTCCTCACTTTTACAGACTGCGATCCATCGGTTTTTGGAAGTTCTTGTTCTTAGTGTGGCTCTAAAACCATATATAATAGTTTCCCCTTTCGAAGTATTTTTTTTATCTTTCACGCATTTGGAACAAATCGCAAAGCATCTGACATGGACCCTTGGCTCTTTACTCTTTTGCCCCTTTGTCGTCTTGTGCTTCTTTGCCATGTGCCTCATGCCATCTTTTGCTCGATACTAGGTGAATTTTGACTCAGGTTTTTCAAGCCAACTCCTTGGAAGCGACCAAGTGAAGATGGGGACTTCTTGAGTATGTTTCAGTATATGCTCACAATACCCAGAAGTTCTGGGCCAGTTGCAACCTCGATGGACCACACTGAAAATGAATAACCTTCAGCCTGAGTCTGCATTCACTATGCACATCCATATGCAAGTTTCCCCTTTGCTTTTTACACCACCTCAATTCCATTGGAGATGGACAACTGTAAATACCCTCATAAAGTATAATATAAAACCAACAATAGTTAGGTCCAATGGCATCAGAATGAAACATATATTATAATTTACACATTATATCTAAACTATCAAGATCTCACTATCTTTATAACATATGAATTTCCAAAGGAATTTCACAATACTTCGTTATGAAGTACATATTCTAAATCTATTTATACTATCTAAAGACAATCAATATATGTTGTCTAGTATTAGACTGTATAGTAAGTAAAAGTGATGATATCCACATCACCTAATCTAGTATACTCTGAAGAATATGTCAACGTGGATATTTACATCTCAAAATAATTTCAAAACTAAAGATATGATGTGAATCTTAGCCTATGCATATATAGTCGGTAGTTTGCACTTGTAAGGCGAGGAATAAAAATGCGAACCAGCGAGTATATAAATCTATTAGCAAAAATAATACAATAGAACTAATAAGTTTCCTAAATCTCATCACAATCTTCGTATTTTTTTCTGAGAATTACGTCTTTGCTATGTTCGTGTGAAAGAGATTGTGCAAGGCTACAATGATAAATGACATGACTATCTGTTGCATGAGAAAATCGTGCAATTTTTGTAAAACAGGGTGTATTCAATTTTTTTAATAGCAATCGGAAATAAAGAACAATGAAAAATATCATGGTGTGTGATAATTCTTTGTGTGTTGAAAATTTAGACTTTTGGATCAAAATAGCTTGGATATTTTGATTAAAATAGTTTTTGATTTCATCATATTTAATTTTATCAAATCCTTTTTGATTTTGTAATGATTTGATGTTACTACTTTGGCGAGGATGAATCAGCCATTGGGGTTTAATCTCATCCAATTTAAAGAAGATGTTAATTGTTGTTAATGACTCCCCTTTTTATAAGGGAGATACCCTAATTCTTCTTTTGTTCTTATAAAAAACTTATAGATTCAAAAATGTGACATACATTTAACTATATCCTTAACTTGCAACTATATAATGTTTCATGTATATATTACTTGTGAACGACATCAAATTATATGACCCGTTGAGATGAATTCGCATATCAATGCAATCAATACATATCACCGGTACTATTTAAAATTTGTCCCTTTGCTGTGAACTTAAACCTGTGTACGGAAGAGAAACTGAAACATATATGGATCATAAATCAGTGATCTGATTATAACTCAGAGCAGATGTCAAACCGTAATTCTAAATAGGCTTTTACCATCAATGTTTCAACTTTGCAAAGATTTATTTGGATTTTCAAGAGATTTAATATGATCACTATTAGCAAGTTCCTTTCGTTCAAGCTAAGCTATATAATACAATTTAAAAGAATATTTTGTTACCTAGTATATAAGGTTTTCGTGCACTCACAAACTGACATTTTGAAGTTCGTGTTTTGAGCTGTATAATACTTTAAAGTTATAAAAAAAAGTATGTGTTTTTTCACTCTTATGTTTGGATAAGTTGTTTGTTTTTTTTCGTGTAGTTAATGAATTTTTTTGATATCTTTTATTAAATTTTTTCACATGCAAGATGAATAATCATATGTTCTACACATTTACCAAATATGAAAAACCCTTTTAAAATCTACATTGATCTTAGTTCATCATAATGCACATTCGCACTCCCTCCTTCACAAAACAAATCTCTTATACTGAATATAACATTAATAATGACATAATGAATAGCCACGTTTTGTTTATTCTTATTATTTAATGAACAATGAAATGTAACGTATTTTATTTCACTGTAACATCATCATCTATGTATTATTAGAAATGTCTAGCCATGATCAATTTGAAGCGTGAAATCAAATTTAACAATAGATAATTATTCCACATCCATCTTCCCATACATGATACTCATCCATATGTCCAATACATGTATAAAGTGATACTGCCAAATTTTATGGTAATTGTTAACTACACCACACCTTTACTAAATACACCACACCACAACTCTCATTCCCCCTTTGGCAGCATCATTCCAGTGTTGAGTAGTCTAACTTTTGGCTGCAGCGGATCTAGTATAAGCTCGATCGTTATAATCCCTAACCCTAACATACTCTTGTTAGATGCTTTGGGTTACGTTGCGGCGCATTTTGTAGACGTGCATTCTCCATTTGACTTTTAGATGTTGGTTTGTTGTGTGGTGGTGGCATTTGCACGCGGTGTGGTGCGGGATGCCTGGCTGGTGGTGGTGTGGTGTATTTAGTAAAATATATGGTGTATTTAACAATTACCAATTGTATCTCCGGATTCAAGAAATTAGCACCACAATGAGCGCCATTCCAAGGAAATGAGAGTGACTTGCTCTCCAAGCTGGAAAGATTCATACAAACTGCATCGTTTCAAGGAGAAGGGAGTCACTTCACCTAAAAGCTGGAGATGTACATACACATTGCACTACTTTTATTCTTGTCGTTCTAAGTCCAACTCCTTCCACACACAACATTAGGGCTACTTGACAATATTGTGAGGTATCAAGTAGTGATAGCTAATATCAAGTAGTGATAGGAGGTCATCCAAAGAGAGCTAGACTTAGTTAAGTAGTTTTTGTCAAGAATCAAGCCACAAATTTCATTTGGATTTAGAGAAACGTGGAAATATAGGGTTTCGCCTTTTCAGTGGATATAAATATCTTACTTCAAATCTGTTTTTAAATATACCCATGACAAGTACCAAAAATAATAATACAAAAGATAGAAATATCTCATGATGAATAAAGTCACATGGATAAGATGTGGTTATGCTCCAATAGCATATGACACATATAGATCAAAGTATCTTAATATAACATACCCTAAAAAGACATACCACATAATATAAATGATACACCATATATTCAGTAAACTAAAACAAAATGGTAAGAAAATTAAAAATGAATCCATACACACGTGAACATTTTGGAAACCTAAGGAATAAGTTCAGGATGGAAGCACATAGTTAATTATACAGAGCAAAAGCAACAGCAGTCAAGCGAAAACCAACCGAGGGCCAACGGGAATAAAGGTTGAGATGCAACCTTTTTTTGACGAATTTACGAATCAACAAAGGAAAAACCACCCGAGAACCACCCGGGAATCAAAATAAAAAGGAGAGGTAATTTATTTCGATAAATCACAATGTTTCCAGCAGCTATTATATTGTGTGCAAGGCGCACGGTCCTCCAAAAGGCAGTGCCCGTTTAAGGACCGAATCGGTAGTTCGGCCGGTCTCGAGTTCCCGGCGAACGGTTTCAGGTTGGCTATGACTCGGATCATGGCATTTGGTTGACATACTTGTCGGCTGTGACTGACTCGGGCATTTACTTTACTGTCACATGAATCATGACGGCTGTGTGACTCGGTCGCAAGGGTTACACGTGTCCCGCAGGAGTGACTTGGCCTGGCGGCTTTTGGCCGCTTACGTGGTACAAGCCTTCTTGCTGCTGTAGATACAGTCGAGAGGCGAAGTAGGGGAAATACGTGACGTGACAGCAGTCGGCATCTGAATCTTCTCCTTGATTCCATCCGAAGCAACGTCTGTTTCGTGGCTGGCTTTGTCTCTCTCCGTGCTCGAATTCCATCTTCTTCGTCGTGTCATGTTCGTCCTCACGCTCGCCCTGTCTCCACCGTTATAGGCTCGTTCAAGGGGGCATGTGTTCTCCTTCCACTCCCTCCTTCGGTTTTCTGCTCTGACATGCAGCTAGCTGTGACGATTTGAGGTGTCTGGTACGTTATAGCGCGTGACTCGAATTTTGGTGAACTTGTACGCATTGAACAGCAGGAATCCTCTCAACATGTTACGACGGCCAATTTTCAGATGCAAGAATCATGGCTAATCTTTCAGTTCTATTCACTATAAGAAATGCTGAAAGTAAGCTAGACTTTCAAGTTCGATTGATGCTCAAGGTACTCGTAGGGGTAAAAGCTTCCGAGTGATCTGATGCCATGGTTCACCTGTAGACCAATCGTGTTTGCGTAGCCAGTCACCAATGACATGATCAGTATGAAGGGGTTGCCCCGACAAGGGTGACGAGAGAAGATTCTTCACATGTTACTGTCGTCATTTTCGTATAACGGCCGTAAGATTCTGTACAATACGTCGCAAAGATCAGAAAGTACATACTACGCGAGTCTTTTGACCGCTTGACGTGTGCCCACATGACATGCGAGAATGATGTTTTGCGATGCACTGCACAGATGCAGAATTCTCGCATGTGCAGTGGTGCAATATCACATTCGACGAAAGCTGATTCTTCCACAACCACATAAGAACGCCTCAGTTTGGTCTGAACCGTGGGCTACATTCAGGAATATAGTGGGTACAAGCCAATGTCTTGTAAGGAAATTCCTGGTATAGCTACCGTTCTCACCTTGGACAGTGACACAAGATCTAAGATCAAAATCAGAGATCGGCAATGCAGCCACAATGGAAGACTGTGGACGTTTCGCAGACAAAATACTTCGCGTATTTTCGGGTTGCAGGTGGTAGAATCCTCTTGACAAATATCAACTTAGGGAAAGAAAAACCGACCACTACAAGATGCCTCAAAACACAAAACATCAGTAATTACCAACCCGGCCACAATTTTTATTGTATGAGTCTGATTTACAAGCTCACTTTATTTCTACTGTTCAAATAATTTTGAGGACTTAGCGGACAGGAGTGTCGGCAGGCCTTTCACAATTCTGCCACCCAGCACTCTTACAAATTTTCTTCACCAAACCATCCCCTGCAGGCTCAAGGGTCCAATGTGGATAGAAAGTCTCCGCTTTGAACACTGACAGAGGGTTCCTAGGTTCGCCTTTAGCTCCATTCAAAAATATGTCACCCTCCGATCGGATGTTGCCAGAAACTGCATGATCCCTGTCTCCTGCCTGCATGGACAACCAGATAGGGCAAGATCACATCAGTTTGCTAACCTGACACGCTCTCATATCGTACGAAATTCCTCACTTCCTAAAGTACATCGACATGACGACATATTCACCCTGCTGAAAGACATCTCACTAACTCACCTTCTCAGTATAATACTCAAATGCAGTCTTGTGTGTGCCAGCCTCATAAATGTTGCACTGTGATAAAATCTGTGGGAGGAATAGAGGTCGAATTAGGCATTCGTCCAATACATGACTTAAAACAAGTAGAGCTTTTAATATTGTAACCATAAAGACAAAGAGCATAACCGAAAATGAGTCCATAAAGCAAGAGTAAGTTGGGAAACACTATCTCCCCGCTGACAGGTTGTTCTGGATTAATAAATGCTCAGACAGCCGGAGCTCTTCAAACTCATAAGATACTGAGAGTTGAATTTCTGCTCAAGCAGCTAGAACCACAGTAGATGTCTGTGAGCTCTTTCCTTCCACATACACGAGTTCACTCAGCAGTTCATACCTGAGCCTCCACACTTGCACAAACTGCGTAGATACCCCAGTTTCGCGTATAGTTGTTGTAGAGATGAACTTTGCCAAATCGAACTCGCGGGTGACGTTGTCTGGTTCCATCAAACCAGCAGTGGTGAATGGTTACTTGAATACACCGATCTTCAACGTGCTTGGGATCTGCCCCGATGAGCATGGTCTTATCGTGCTTCAAGAAATGGCACCTGCAACGCAATCAGCAGCTAAGAAGATGCCTCCATATAGAAGAAGAGATGTTCAATACTGGTGCAGGATGAGCCATTGCAGGGGAATAAAGATGAAGAATAGATAAACTTCCAGAAAAATCAGAATTGAGCTATGACTTTGATCACCTATTGATTAATACGTCGCTTAAAATGTTTTACTTAACAAGTGGATAATCAGGCCATTATTAGCGCGATTTGTGAAGAAGAGAAACTAAACGCTATGACTGATTCGACCACCTACAAAGTGAACTTAAGTATATGAAGTTCTGCACCTTGAAATCGTGATATTTGTACACTGGCGTGTAATATCAATCAGACCGTCATCAAAGTCTTGTAAGGTACAGCGGTCCACCCATATATGCTTGGAATTAGGCTTCATCTGTATACCATCCACATCATGACCTCGTCCTCCTTCAAACTCCAAGTTGCAGACGATAACGTGCTCACACTCCTTCAGTTGCAGACCTTTCCCCATAAGTTTCACTCGCTGTCCCCTCCCATCAATGGTTTTGTAACTGGTAACTCGCAGGTAACTTTCCAAACAAATGTTGCCGGATACCTCAAAGACGATCCACAGGGGTTCCTTTCGTTTGCATGCGTCACGAAGTGTGCCTGGTCCCTGATCTGCCAAAATAAAGCCAGAGAGTAAGCAGGAATCGTTTGACAATTTCTCCTTATGATACTTATGAATCTTAGGACAACCGGTTTCTTTCGGACGAAAGCTAATGAGGAGACAGGAATGACGCGGTTGAAGGAGAGGATAAAACCCAAAGCATTGTGGCTGCAGTAATCATTGAAGAGCTTTCACGAGTTAATATGCTTTGATGTAATCTATATCGTAATATAGAATATCATTAAAGAAGTGAGAAATGACATCGTCGATCCCCCTTGATTAAAATTAAGGCTATGCATAGTTCTTAAGAGGTTGGATGTCTAAACTGGGCACAGCTACGAGAAATGTTAACTTGGCCTAAAGCAAGATACATTCGAGATTATCCTCGTGAAAAGTTTGTGCAAGCTCCTCCTAGTGGCTAGCAGAAATACATTTCTAGGCCAAAACAAAAAAAAGCCCTGCATTTTTTAGGAGCTAGAAAGGAGTTTGGAGACATGGGATTATGTATACAAGTTTGTAGCCTTCAAATGCGATGACGGCTGGTGAACACTATCCGCTTGATAACGTTGTCAGCCAGACCAGCACGACTGACTTGAGCAGAAATACGCCAGCAGTCTTTATATGCACTCTCCAAGATCGTTATTCAGTAGGATCCTTTCTAACGAGGGTCGAGCACATCGTAGTTGTACCTTTTGGATACATGCGCATTTCTAGTGCACGGTTACATACTCATAACACTTGCTTCTTTCCAGAGAAGTTGAAATCATTTACTCCATCTTTGGAAAACTTTAAAAAATTCAAATTGTGGGGCTGTGAATGCAATCTCTTCAATTCAACAAGCAAGCACAAGAGAAGTGTACCTGCGAGCGAGGTAACGTGGTAAATTTCGCCATTTAGACCGCCGATTGCACTATGGCCAAAGCCTTCGGCTCCACCGGCTAGAGCCCTCATGCATCGGTCGACATTGCCATAAGGTTCAACCCCCATGGTGCTATACGGCATGAAATAGCCCGCGCCCTGCCAATTCTGAGACGGAGGTTGAAAGGGAGGTCCCAAAGTAGCAGGAGTTGAACTGGGAGATGGTCGGTGATTTTTAGTATCACCCTTTCTCCCACAACAGCACCCAAGCATAATCAATGATCCTCAAATACCCGAAACTAGATGTGATGTGGGAATTGAGTAGCAGTCAAAAATCTAAACCACCGATCTCCTCTTGTTGCAGTAAACATGCTCCTCCAAAACTTGAGTGCGAAAAAAAATGTACACTTCGGAAGAGAATGACTCGAACGCCTTCTATTCCTCTCCGCCAAGGACGCAACAATAATCACAAGGTTCAACAGCTTCTCCTCCGGGAGACTTGATCAACTTCTCCATCAAATTCTAGCTACTCAAGCAGCAAACCTACCGTTTCCAATTCATCACCATCATCACTTCCTCACAGACCTGGGGGCGATCAGACTCAAATCCATTGAAACACAAATTCTTGGCACTCTGCCCTTCTCTGCACGCTCGATCACCGATGCCACAATGTGCTGCCGCAGCATGCGAGTCCGAGAGGTGCATAGAATGGAACGAGAGAAAATTGCGCTGACAAGTCACTCTGCTGCACAGCTGCACTGCTGCCCACCACAGAGCAAAGGTCCATGCTTTGTCACTGACAGCATCGTGGAAAGTCCTGAACTCACTTAGACGATGCAGCTGTCGACATTCCACACTCCCCCGCCAAAGCTGGTTTGGCCGTCGCCAGATTCGGAGTCTGTCCGCGCTTAGGCCCTCTGCTGCCCTGCCTGACATCTCTCCCTCCGCTGCTCCTGGATATAAGTTTCGATACTCGTTTGCATGAACCTTGATGTGCTCTAGATCCATCATGATTTGATGCGAGGGTAAATGTGGATTGTCCAATCTCTAGTAGTGTACTTAGAAAAATGATGAACTCTTTTTTGCGTCACTTATAAGTAAGGGTCCTAACTTCAAACCTTATTTGGAGAGATATAAATAACAACACCCAAGTTTATCATTACATACTAATGTAATGCTTATTGTTTCCTACGATTATATATAAATCTTGAAGCCAACTTCGATATGAGTGCTGCCATTCTAATCTATTATAATAACTCATGAAACCGGATTTATAGTAATACAAAAATTCTCATCTTACTTAGCATAAACTGTATACTATTTTGTACTAGGTGTTTTCGTTGATATGAAATGTATAGTACTTAGAGGTACATATGACACAGTAATCACATAAAATGATGTCGTCTTTAACTTGTTATGCAAAGAAATTATTTACATGAATTGATGTGACGTGAGATGCTCTGTTATTTATAGATAAATTAGCCTAGATAGTTGGGATACGTATGTAGTAGCATCTAGTACAGTACCACGATTTGTTTCTTCTTTGGGCTTGATGGACTTCCTATCTTCTTGGCCCGCGGGTTACTATGTTTAGTAACAACTGGAGGCAACAATTTTCCATTACCCTGATTAACAGTAGGCTGGATTGACGCATACTGTGCGTTGGAAATAGATCCTGTAGGCTGATTCGCATTTGAATATAACGCGGGGAGAGAGACAAGAGATGTGCAGAATCATACGTTTGGGATTTAGATATACAGTATGTTAAAATGTTCCCACTGTAATTCCGCAAGAAACTGCTGTTATCGTGAAGTTTTCATAATTTCACAAGCGAATCCAACATAAAACCAGCAAACAAAAAAATCGAAATCTACGTAACAATCTAATTTAGAGTGTCAAGTTTCACATGCTGATGCATTTTACAACTGCATGATGTGTTGTGGCGTTCATACCCTGTAATGAATCACACTGATCATACAATTTGAAGTATATCAACATGATTTGCTCTTACGCGACAAACACGTATGTTGGATAAAATAGAGATTTTGGACACTGTGTTCAAAGATTTTTTTTCAACTCACTCTACAACAAAAATAAAATTTTTGAAATTGGAACGTTTCGATCCATATACACATAACTTGTATAAACATCTCGATATTTTATTTATACAATCAAATTATTTCTTGCAGAATTTTGGAATAAATGATGAGAAATTTCTTTTATTTCAAATCTAGATCTACAGTAAACGAATTATAGTACATTTGATCTAAAAATATGTGAAACGCATTAGTTGCATACATGATGACAAAAGTATAAATCTGCAAAATTTGGATAAGCGTTTCATAGTATGATGAAACCAATCGTTTGAAATTTATTTTATCAATGTAACAATCAAGCAAAAATCTTGTCCTTACAGTGGCATTTTCCGTCCCGATTGAAATTTGAGACATTGGAGAATGAACCGTCAAGAGAAAAGAAAATATTATTATTTTTTTTGACCCTGGCGTTGTTTTTTTTTGTGGGCTCTGCTTTGTATTGTTATTGGTGGTTTCCACCTCAATTTTTCAATTCGTGAATTGTTTCTTCCCAAAATCGGAGAGTAAAATGATTCGTGTGTTTTCTTACATTTTCTTTATTTATAATCTAGATGAAGGTATAAGAGAATTTTAGAATGGTGTGAAATTGCTAAACTATGTGTGTATATTTGTGTTATCAATTGGAGAATATATTTGTCACATCATGTATGGGAAAATTAAATGATATGTACTGTCACACAAACTAAATTTCTTCTAACCTTGAAAAAGTCGTTCCCCGATTTCACAGTTTAATTTCTGCATATCATCTTTATGTAGCTACTACAAGAGATAGTACATGAAATACATGAAATAATTGTCGAGATAAATTTCAGCCGTGGAGCTTGACAAAACATCCTTCATGAAATCAGATGGATTTTCCTCGGGGAGCAGAGGTTACAACGCCTCACTGAAGAGAACCTGGCCCGTTCAACAGGTCGCTGAAGTGGGCGGCCCAAAATAGAGAGAGCGCCTAGCGAGCGGAGCGCAGCGTGGGTTGGGGGTTTATGGAGATTCGAAAGAAGGAAGGACGGATTGCGCGCCTTCACCGGCCGCTTGTCTTGCGCATCCTTCGATCAAGCGACTGCGAGAGTGGGCCAATCTAGAGGGCTCGAATCGTTGTTGAACTTGCTCTCTGCGCTCGACGATGGCTCTGCATTCGCTCTGCAACAGCTTGTCCCTCCGCATCGCTTCTTCTTCACGGTGTGCAGCTTCTCGTCCCTTCTGCTTCTCCCTTTTGATGTCGAGTTTTTTTATGATTGTGTCCAAGCGTTCAGTTTTCAAACCATGCTGACCTGCTTCGTCAGTTTAGTGATGAAGTGTTTCACCGCATATGAATATTGCAAGACAGTTTTTAGTCGAGTCTCTTGGCCAATTGTGAGGTTTTTACTGATCCTTAGAATTTTTTTTTTGTTCAACCGCATATATTTTCCTGCCGCTCAGATCCTGTCAGAGTGGTTGGAATTGTAGCTACCGATGGCTTTTACTTCGTAATATCTGTATTTGAGATCTATATTAAGTGATTCTAGAGGGGCTAGGTCGATGCAAAATGCGAAATCTGTTTTTGTTACTGCTAGGGGAGAATTCATAACCCTCCAATTTAATTTCTTCTATGTTGGCTTTCATCAGAAAGTGGATAGGTGATGCGAAATCATTGCGCAAGTCTTCTCAGTCTGTAGCTATTAAACCATCGCGCCTTCAAGCAAGAGCTGAATATGCCGGCTTTACATCGCCCCAGAGCACGACCACGCTTCGCACTAATGGTCAGCTCCCATCTTCAGTTTAGTTTGGTAAAGCAACTTCAATTTTTGATTGAGTTCTTTCTCTTTGTGCTTGAGCCGTGGGTACTCCAAAGCCAGCTGTTGTTCGCACATCTCCGCCATAAGCGTGAGCACGCTGCTCCATTTCAGCTGTTGTCCACTACTTTAACGCGTTTAATATTGAATAGTCGGGGTTGGATCATTTGCAAACTCATGTCGGTTGTTAGGGAATTCATTGACTGATGGTCAGATAAAGCTGGGGATGATTGTATCCATATGGTTTTATCTGTAATGTGAAGGCACTCAAGGTGCTCGCAGAGTTTTTGTGAACTACACATTTTACAAGACCAGAGGAGCGATGAGTATGAAACCCGTCAAACCTGTCTTCAAACTCCTGGATGTGAGTTCTTATTATTTGTATTAGAGTCTCGTTTTTGTCTGTACTTCACTACGTGCCTTGATAGTCTTAAGATTTAAATAAGAGTAGGATGATGGTTCAGTTGAAAGCCTTGATGTACACATGTCAATTGTTTTTTCTCTTTGCAAATGTAGACAGGTAACGCAGTTCTAGATAGAGAGGGAAGCCTTTTTTTGGAGTTTGCACCTCCCGTTGCCCAACGTCAGTACGATTGGAATTCGAAGCAGGTAAAACTCAAGACTTCTCGTGTTTATCAACCTGGTTGTGTGATATGGTGATAAAAGTCCAACGTATGTATCATGTTTGTCTAACTTAACTGTTTCTAGTTTACCCTTTTCACGTCTTCCTAATTGAACCTTGTTGTACTGTATCCTCCAGATCTTTGCTTTATCTGTCATGGAATTAGGAACCCTTGTGGGGTTGGCTCCCGGTGAAAGTTGTGAATTTTATCATGACCCAAACATGGGCAAGAGGTGAGATTGGACGACTTTGTCACAGCTGTACTGTGACATGCTATATGGGCTTCCGTTTCAACATATGACGTTGGCAGGAATTATGCCACTCGTGAAACTAGGAGAAATTGTGCTTCTGTTTTCGATTGCTTCAAAAGTCATTGTTTTTGAGTTTTATTTATGTGTTAGTTCCTAGATATGGTGATGTCTCATGAGTGTTTTCAGTGGAGCTCGGACATTTTTAGTTGATAATTTGGCGAATGATTCAGCGATGCTGGCAAGATAAGGAAATCACTGAAAGTCAACCCAATGAAAGACGAAGATGGTTATTACTTCAATCTCAGTAAGCATCTCTACATGTCGTCATCGAAGTAGGGTTCCTTTGATGTTGATTAGGAAAACGCGAACCTTGTTCACCCGTGATAGCTTACCATCGAGATCCATCTAGTTGAGTAGATTCTTATTCCTTTGGGTTAATCATAGACGTGATTTCTCCAATGTTCATTGTCATTCTTTTGAGACAGTGCGATACAATGAGTTATTTTCTTAGTTTTTCTGTTAACTGATTTTCTCATCTTTTCTTTATTGGTTGTCTAGATCGTCAGTCTCATAGCAGATTCATGGCTAATCTACTAGAGTCCACTTTCGAGTTAAACAAGACTGTCCGACTGCATGTTGTCACGAGCATATTGTCGTGTGTTCAGGTGTGGTGAACAAGCAAGAAAACTTAGACGAAAGAGTGAATATTGCCCTTACGAGAGCTGAGTACTCCGTGATGAGATCTTCAATAAATGTACTTTCATATTCTTCTCCGCTCTTCCTCTCGTCTCCATCTTGATTTGTCCTTGATGAGTCTAGGACTAGAAACTTGACATTTTATCCAAAATATACTGATCATGCATCACGGATGTGAATGTCTTGCAGTACATTATCCCATATTTGATGGGTTGGCACGTGTTTGTTGACCCCTCGACGGTGGATGACTTCTTGGCCGATGATGAGCCAGTCGGCTCGATGACAACAAAAAATGAATGGGATAAGTAGGGAGAAGACGGAGTATTTTTCCTAACAGAGCAGGCGAAGAAGAAATGAGCGAAACCTTGTGCATTGGTGGTCACTCTTAGTACAGAACAATAGAAGGACTTGAAAATTTTGTAGATCCTCTACTCATCTCCTCGTTTACCATCCTGCATAGAAGTCAGAACAGTCCTTGTAAGTTAATGCTACATCCCAGTGATGTAATCGAAATGTAAATTTTGTTGACAAGAGAAGGAAACACACATGTATTTTCTGATGGACTACGCACCTCGCATCTGACCATTTGTCCCTCCCCTTCATGTTCCTGGCGCTGGACATGAACAACAAGAGGAATGATTGTGTATATTGGCTTCATGATGCTTGATGGCTTTTTGAAACAGACTCTATTTAGTGACAGGAGTCAACATATTTACATGTTTTTCATTCAGATTTGAGTGGTATCACTTTAGATACAAAGTGGCGAATTTGGAGGACAGAGTAAAGCTATTCATTTAAATCTTGGCTTACTCAACTTATTTGTATAGGTTTTCATGACATCTGAGTTCGAATTATTTTAGATGCATGGGATCCAATTCGAAGGACAAAGTAACGCTGTTCACTATTCAGATGTGGTATTTTACATGGCAGAAGAAAGTAGATATTTCACAAGTGAGAGCTGGTGATATACGCCTTGCAAGTTATCCGAGTTCCCTTACTTTCTTTGAGGCTCATTGATTAAAAGCGAGATTTAGCCGCAAACATTAACATACAAGACAGTCAAGAAAAGAAGCTGGGCTAGAAAAAGAAAAAAAGAAAAGAAAACATAATGATATAGTGTATAACTGTTTCAAACCTTGGCTACAAGCCCTCTTACATGCATTTCATATAAAGCGAAAAAATTTGGATCAATACGAATTTTACATTTTTCTCAATTTCAGAGTCTAAAGCCCGCCGATTTAAGATAATTTTATTCTTATATATTTCCTTACTTTCTTGAACAATGAATCTATGACAATGCTTTACGTTGCGTGTACCGAATTACTTCACATAAGTTGGTAACATATAGGGAGTTTAAAGTGTTTTTACGGGGACAAGGAAGCATCGAAAAGTGAAACTTAGTGGCCAGTCCCGTGAGATTTGCTTGATGGGACCAGTGAGTAAAGTAATTTGCTTGATGTTTAGTTTTACCCGATGGATCCCAACGATTGTGTGCTTTCGGCCATACTTCTTGTAACGATGATTGATAGTTACAATGCGGGGATTACAATCAGATATCAATATCTCATTATAATTTCTGGTGTATTATCACGGGGATAAAGATCGATTTTGCCCGAAGTGCAATTTGTTATGCTTCAATTCTACCGATCGCACCGATTCGTGGATTTTTTTGCTGCTTCCCACCTGCATACTCCTCCCGTAACCCTGCGTATGCGACGAGGAGCTCGTACCGGAAAGTGATCCGAGCTCAAGTCTCGCGGTCACCCATTTGTGGCGAACAAATAAATTCCGAATGAGCATTTCTTTGTTCGTCACGTGGGGAGTGGCCGGATACAGAATGATAAAATAAAAACAAATGAGTGTGATGGATGGCGAAATACACTCTGTCCGCGGGTGTGGTTGACTCGTTGCACTGTCTCTAAAACTCAAGTAGTTATTAGAACATGGGCGAGTTCATGGAGTCCCATCAAGCAAATTACTTTCTGCAGTGTTACATCAAACAAATCTCTCGGCCAGTCGCTAATAGTTCTATTTTTTTAATGAAAACTTTTCGGCTTGGTAGGGTCTTACCCTCGCTTCTGCAATCCATGTTGCCCACTCACTCTCATTCACAGCAACAATGTAAAGAGCAGGAACAGTGACTGCAGTACGCGCGCACCGTCGATCAGTGCAGGGTTGGATGTGGTTACAGTCTCGTGCGCCACCGAGCGAACAGCGTAAGCAAGTTCAGGCACCCCTCGTTCTCGGACGCCATGGATTCCCCTCGAGTCACGCCCGCTGCATCGCGCGAGGTTTTCCCGCGGATGAAATCGACGGACGCATGGGGCAAATGTCGCGGGAACCTTTCCAGAATCGAGGCATATCAGATGCACATTTGAATATGTCAGGCATGACGTTGATTGGTCGAGTTCAGGTGCCTTGAAAGGGCGAATGAGGAAGATTTGAAGCGATCAGTCAACCTCGAGTTGGACACGACCGTAGGGAATTTGGAAGTAATTCGAAATCGAACTTGCCACAAACCTCGAGGGTCAAAAGAATTTGACTATGCCAAGAAAGACTGGCCACGCATCACGCAGGCAGGCTAAGACGATGAATTCAGGGCCGTGCTAGGTCGCCGACATTACGCCATTCTATGCTGCGGCAACCACGAAAGCCCAGACAGGAACGAGGATTTGTCCATTAAGAGTATGGGAATCGACGGGGTTGGAATCAAGTATGGCCTAACCCCCGACTGCGATTTCCCGGACTTCGCCGCGCACTTAAGGTGGAAATGGAGGGTTCAAAATTGCGGGACGTGCACTAGCGCTCGTCCGAGATTACAAAACTACCGAGACATAGCTGACGATGCTAATTACAAGGCGCTTACTAGCGGAGATGCGATCTGCTCGCCTGAGGATCCGTTTAGGGACGCGAGAAGACTGAAGGTGTGTCAAAAGCTCGAGGAAGAGCTCCTAAAGGGCTGGAGAGTAGATTCTCTGAAACGTGGGGACTTTGGGCATGCGCGACGGGTTCAGTTCCAGACCAGGTTGAATTGGGACTACAGGGTCGTTGAGAATACAGTGAATAATTGGAATAAGGTCGGAAGATTGGTCGACAATCATAGAAACCGTAGCTATCGGAAAGTTAAGAGCAAAGAATTCAAAATAGGAAGCGACATCGGGGGGATTGATAGATGGAGATATCACCGGATGATGAAGGGCGTCCTGGGTTAGCAGACCGACAATTATGTAATACTGCGTCGACAATGAGGTAAGTATATATATCCCGTGCAGAAAGTCGACCTTCAGCGACTCAACTACGTCGAAGCATCTCGGGTTTCTCCAAAGTACAACCGAGTTCCCCACAAATTTAATGCATGAAGGTATACTTTTTAGAGCATCCCATTCCCTCCGACGATGGTAAGTATCTCATTGGACGGAAAAGATAGTGATTTAGATTTAAGGGTTACGCCTTTCTGTTCGGTACAGAGGGAAAATGGTGAAGTAAATTTTAGAGCCTTTCGAATGACAGGCCCCAACATTTCGTCATGTGTACAAAAAATTCAGCTCTTGTTCCTTTAGTAGGGCGTTCAGTGGGTACTACCAATGTAGAATAGCCTGATTCTTGTTTGAAGTACTCTACTTGTATCTCCTTAAAATCGAAGAGACTAGATGTCGACTCACGGAGCGCCAAATTCGTGTATACTTATCGTTGGAACGACAACGAGTCTTCGATGAAAAGTAGAGTCCAGGACGACGATGATGAGAAGCCTAGATGGTAAGCCGAAACTTCAAATAGGTAGGAGATGAGCTTTCTCCAAAGCAGTAGGCCGGATCGAATCAAGGACATAAAAGACATCTGAGAAGAGAGACGAAATGCCGACGAAATTTCGTTTGTAGTTAGCTGTGTCAAAGGTCAGAGGTGAGAGGACCCCAAATTCCCGGGGTAGGCAACTACAATCCCAAAGCTGCCGCAGTAGTCAAGAAAATTCTTTAATTCGGCAATCGATAAAGTCCTGAAATCCAAACATGGTCGCAGGTAAAAGCTTGCGAAGAGCACTATTTAAGTTTTCTGATCGCCTGCTTCTGGTTTTATTATACGACTGTGTACCAGGTAATGAGCGAATGGGCCTCTTTCTGCGTCATAAAATAGAACGATGCTCTGGCGTCTGATCTGACCTTCAGATCAACAGTGAGTTGTAAAGTCAGCTCGCTACCGTAGTCGAGTAGAACGTGGACGTGTGTGGGATGTCATTGCGCCAAGGTCGCCAGAAATAGTGCGTGGGAGAGAGAAAAGCCAAGCGAAAGAAAGGGGCAGGAGCGCGAGAGTGGGAGAAAATGTACTCACGGAATGGATCAGGCCATTGAGTCCATCTGATTTCTGCACACTAAGAGGAGAGTGCGGGGGAGGTGATGGAAGAGAAAGCCCTGGTGGGGCTTTGGGCGATTCCCGCTTTCCCTGGATCGAACATGTCAGGCATGGGGTGGGGGGATTTTGGTTTCAGAAGGTTGTGGACTACTCTTAGGCACCACGCACAGGCCCCGGCAGAGCTTTTGGTTCATGCAACGACTCCTTTCGTCAGGCCTGGCGCTCTGCTGATCTGAGGATCATGCTCTGCTTTGTATATAACTGTGGGTGTGGAGGCAAAATCCGCTCATGCTCATGCTCATGCCCGATCAACTCCATGTCCTTGCATTGGCAGCTTGAGAACTCTCGGTGGCCTCGTCCTGGAATGTTGTGTACGATATGGTAACGCTGAAGCGCAGGCTAGAAGGGTCGGTATGCAACCGCTGCTTAAAAGGAAATGGATCAGATGGAGACAATTCTAGAGGATGGTGATTCCGCCTCGAATGAATGGATCCATTTCCCGTGTTTTTCCAAAGCTGGCCAAATGCTCATGGAAGACATGGCCCACATTGTAGAGATGGAGCTCGGTGAGCTGTTGTATGCCAGCAGAACACCGTCGAATGTCACTCGATTCATAAGCCCGAAGGGCAATGCCGAAGGCTCCTTGGTGCTTAGAGCAGGCAGGAGCAGATCCAAGGTAGCTATCCCTCCAGCTTCCTCCTCCTTCTCCTCCTCAGAATGACGTGTATTGTCTGTTAGAAGGATCGGTTTCCAATTTCCATGCACGTCTTCCCTCATTGTGCTCAGCAATACTCCCGTTCAATCGATGAAGGATGCCAGCAGACAAATCACTAACTTGCTACGAGAACTGACCAACATGGCGATGTAACAGGTGGAGTTCGTGATGGGATCGTGGCTGCGGTACGATCTGCCTTTCGGCACCCTGAAGGTAGCCACATTATTTGTCATGGCCAGCGCGGAGAGTGATGCTCCGCACTTCCTCTTCGAGTTCATCGAAAATGGCTCGAGCAGCCTCGTCATCCTACTCGATCTCCTACCTCGAAAGGATGTGGTGCTGGAACCGGAGTACCTCAAGAGATTCTACGAGAAGAGCGAGCTGGAGAGCATTCGGCAGACCATCGAGCGTGCGCCTCAGTCCCAAACTTACAACTGCACGTCGCTCTACGTTCGCAGCGTGGTTTCGCCCACCGCCATCCTCACCAAGATTCACGACTGGCTCCCGTCGGGCCAACGCGGCGAAGCAGCCCTGGCCTCCGCGGTCGAGAATGTCGTGCTCCCCACCGCCAAGAAGGTCTTCGGCACTTGGCTCGACGCCTTCCGCAACGGCGGCAAGGAGATTATGGATGACATCGACAGGCGCACCATGGCCAAGCGAGACGCCCAGATCAAACGCCATGGCATCGAGGTCGATCTCAGCGCCAATTTGCCTCGACTCTTCGGCCAGAGGATCACCGACCGCGTCATCGCAGCCTACAGGAACGGCCAATGATCTTCATGCTTTTATTGTACACTACAACAACATCATCATCATCATCATCATCGACTACTTGTGTCCGTGCACGGCCTTCCCTCCGCTGCCGGTCAATAGCTCAGTTTCTCTGGAGAGAGAGAGAGTTCCCCAAATCACCAATTTATTTATTACGTGTAGACTCTGTAATTCAATTTCTGTTAGGGAGTAGCCCGCGGTGATCGTCACAACACCTCGAAGTCAAGACCTCATACATGTGTGAGTACAGTATAGTGAGTCTACGATTGTCTTACTACTGCTAATCATCTTGGATTTGGCAAGCCATGTCTGGAGCTTTCACTTCCACTATCGCCTGCGTCAGAAGGGAGTGGGAAGCAGGAGGATTGTTGGCACCTTGATGGTATTTCACTTCACTCGCTGTTCATAGAGATTTACGGCAAAATGTACACACCGCTGAGCAACGCGTCGCGTTGCTCTAGCTGCATTGTTTGTCACAGGAATCTATCCGGAGCACAAGCTCTGTCCATCTGTTTGATCGTGCGTGAGATGATGAAATCTTTGTCCTTTCAAAAGTCCATTTGGCTCTGAAGTCCGGTCTTGTTTTGAGATCGACGATGTCCGGACAAGTTCCCTGAAGGGTCGACAACTCCAATCCACGATCTTCTGATGACGTTGTGTTCTGTCACGAGCCATCTCAAGCTGAACTTGTAATAGGAGTAGTAGAGCACCCAGTGGGATATGGAGCTCGGTCGGAAGCTAGAGCCGACCTTGAATCATTAATGCCCAGCTTTAATGATCCTCCGGTCTCGATAAACTTCTACCATTGGCCTCTTCATTTCTTACAACGAGATTAGTCTACAAGTGATAACACCATCTGACACTCAGCGAAGAGATGTTGTACTACCATTAGACCCGCCCCAACAATCCAGACGTTTCTGATGCATCGAAGAGTGCACGGCAGGAGTTGTCTGTCACTCAATTCTTGTATTTCCAAGCCGGGAGCGTATCATTCGTCATTCTCGTCGTTAGAAAACGTTTCATACCCCGTTGATTCTCGATATTTCAAATAAATTTCGCTCCCAGAGCCGGCGGGGAAAACGGCGAGCGAATCAATTAGCCTTCTGCGAGCTGAGAACGAATGGAGACCTCAAGTGGCAGTTCCTAGTGGTCTGGCAGACGGAACCTCGAGGTTCAGTGGAATCCCCTTCCCCGGAGCACTTCCGGTGCGGTCTAATCGAAATCATTGAGGAACCAGGAAAAAAACCGGACATTATCACCGAGCAGAAGTTCGCAGGGCCTCGACGATTGGGCCAGAACTCGTCATCTGGTTGTTGGCTGTCATGCCCCACGAAGAACGGGACAAAGGGGAAGAGCTCCCATCAATGTCCCACGAAGCAAGTCTCGGCTCGGCCGTCCGGTATGGTCTTCGCTCAGAAAGGCAAGTCGCAAGGCGATCGTGATCCGGGTTCCCGATCGAGGTGCCACTGTATGGTCTGAAAAAGCAGTCTGGCTCTTTTGTCGCCCTGGCAGCTCACGAGAGGACCAACATCTGCAGCATAAGATTCAGAGGAATCTTGCGCCCGCGGAGGTCGTCGAGTGTCCGGGCTCTGCGAGCGCATTGTGACGGGACCGAGGAGCGCGGCAGTGCAGGAAACGAGGTCTTCGGGCAGTGAGCGAGCGAGCACTGGCATTAGTGGCGCACGTTGACCGCACGATGTGGATGTGCGAGAGAGAGCGAGAGAGCGAGCTGCAGATTTGACTTAATTTGGACTCTCTGCACGCCACGGAGCCAGCGGGTCACGAAATCCTCTCGCGTCGCATCGACTGCCTCGTGCTTCGTCGGCCGACGACCACAGTCCGACGACGTGCCTCGAGGGCAGCAGGCAGCAGGCAGCAGCGGGGTGGCAGACAGAGTCGGCCGAAGGCGACAAGTAATGAGTTGAGAACGATTGTTTATGAGCCACCGCTAGAGTTCAGATTCTTCCCTTCGACTCTACCGCAGTGGTAGGAGATACCGAGGATCGACCAGTACCTGCTCACTGCAATGAGCTCTGATTCGGAAGCAGCGGCCTTTGCAGCGCCATTCAAGCCACCGCCGGTCAGCCATTCTCTCTCTTCTTCTCAAACCGCGTGTGATCTTGAGAATTGCTTGTGATGGTTTTCCATGGGGATATGGGACGCGCAGCCACAAAGGTATCGTCTGTACCGCCTTAATCCTGGCCTTTAATGCCGAGTCTTCAATTAATTTCGGTCCCTCACGAGGTGGATCTGCAATGTGAGGGTTGTTGTTTAAACATGGATAGCACGAATTGTGTCCAGCGTTTTGTTTTCCTTCGTTCTGGTGATGTAGTTGCTGATCGAGTGCAGCCCTGTGTCGAAGATGGTCAATTTTAGATCGAAGACGGATCGAGAAGCTCTAGACATGTTTGAGAGAATGTTTCGCTATTAGGTCTCGAAGGTCGAGAAAGATGCGAGAGTATGTATTCTGGGTGACACGCATCGTTTTCTCTTCCCTGATAAATTGGGCTCACAAGATCTTTGGTGCTTCGAAAGCGGCCAATTTTGGTTGGATTGGGCGAATTCGTAAGATTCGCAGCTGACTTAGTGACAACATGAACCTTCGGACGTCAAGAAGGAAGATGCACAAGAATTAAGGACTGTAGAAACTTTGTTACCACCCGAGAACATTAAAACTTGTCAACTACCGATCGATAACAATTAGCCAAAATCCTGGAACTTATTGTAGCAACTACTTTTGGCACCACGTTGACCTGCTGGCAAAATCTATATCTGCTCGTCTGTGCTGGGCTGAAACATTCTAGTCTCGAATTGTAAAGAGTGATCATCGTAGAATAAGTACCTTATTTAGATTGCCCGAGTGACGCATGCTCTTTCCAGTCGCCTGGTGGTTTGTCTAGTGAATTTCACACATATGATTGATTGTGTGCAGTTTGTGGAAGTGTGGACGCCCGATGGAACAGTTCGGCGGTTCGCCAGTGGAACGAAGGCGAAGTTTGCCATCGACAGAATCAACAACAGGATAGAAGATAGCAACGTGAGGGTGGACACGATCGAATCTGTCAAGGAAGGAGAAGAAAGTGTGGAATTTGGGCCGGACTCGGAGCTTGTTTCCTACGGCAAGGACTGGAAATTGAATGCCGTCTGCCACAGCTGCAGTGCCGAGGCGTTTAGGGTTTCTTCAGAGCAAGAGTCTAACGGGGGACCACCCGCCAACGAAGCCCGCAAGAGGAAAAAACCGAAAGCACAAGAAACTCAAAAGCTGTTCAACGCGGCCGACTTCTACCCCGGAGGAGTATTGCCGCAATGTTCTCCACCGCAAAATACATGCGTGTACATCTCGAATGTTCTCATCGTCTTCGGTGTACTTTTTGCCCTCGCCGGCAGCTGGGTCTATTTTCTGGAGTCCAAGTTCTTCGTCATAAAATAATAAATTCCACGACTTACAAGGCTTCTAGACATGAGCGAGTATCTAAATGAATGCATGCTTTCCGTCTCCGAAATCACAAGTATGTTTTCCTCACGTGGAAATTAATCGATCCACGGACTCACACAATTTTCCTGCGACGAGGTTTGTCCAGCCCAGGCGCATTTAGTGCGTCAATAGCCTCGATAGGTATTTCTTGGTGGTAAAACGGGACTTCGAGTAATCTAGCAAAAAGAATGGGAAGGGGCTGAGCTAGGCCCCGATAGAATCACGATCATTATTGTGTCCTTCATGATGTACAACAATTTTCTTAATAGGTATTTTCTTATGGGCATGTCATTGTGCGCGAAGATACTTTCCAGCAATTTTTCCACATTGTCGACCGAGAAGAGGGTCGTCCAAGTGTCGAGTACTCCACCCGGCGGCAGATCCCTCCGACAAGTTTCAGAGCTGTCGCCGTGAAATGTTAAGAGAATGGGGACACGAATTGCATTTCGCTGATCCGACGGCGGGCCTTGGAAAGATGAAATTAAGATGATTGTAATGCGTTCCCCTTTGCTTCCTTCGATTTCTTCCTTTCCTCGACTTCAATTGTACGTGAGGAACTAATGAATCATCAACACGCACGCTGCCGTCGCAATTTCTCGCCTCCACCTTCACGGTCGTCGGATGATAGCGCAAGCGCCTCATCCTGCCCCTGTCCTTGCGCGTCGACTAGCGGCATCACTCCTCGGGAAGGGGCTGCAGGCTGAGCGGATAGGCGAGGCGGTCGATGACTCGACAGGCCCCTCCACGACAAAGCTGACGAGGCGAGGATGCTGACCAGTCATACCACGTCAGACGGCCACCAGATTCCATGAACCGTAGACGAAGAGGAGCAAATGTGGCGGAGCTGGTACGCGCCGGGCTTCAGCCAAACGCCAGCGCCGTCGAGAGCCGTCGACGGCGGGAGAGGTGTCGCCTTGCGGACGTGACAAATGTATTCCGGAATCCGATTCCCGTTCACAGAATCTGGCGGAGCCCTCTTCGTCGTCTCTCGTCCCATCGTCGCGCGCCTTTCTCTCTCTCTCTCTCTCTCTGTCTTTCTTTCATCGTCGCGCGTGATCCCTCCCCTGGCCCTGAGGGGGAACTCTACCGAACGTTCTTGCATGCGCGAGGTGGCCGTCCTCTGCACCGACTTTCTCAGCGAGTGAAGGGCTGCGACGAGCAGAGGGGCCCCCAGTGCCCGCCGCTGCTGACGACTAGATTCGGGTACGCTTTGCTTCCTTCTCTCTTTCTTCGCTGATCGGAGGCGGTGAATCAGAGTGTCGTCTCGGGAGGCATTTTCTTGCCTCGTCGTGTGTGTTCGGAGGGTGCTGAGCAGTGTCACTCGGGCCGCGGGTTTTCAGCTGGAATGTGCGTGATTCAGGATTCGAGGGTGGAGAATTGAGGTCTTGAAGAGACCTGCGCGTGCATTTTTTTCCGCGGTGAATTTGCCTCTCGCCACGCTATGACAGATTATCCGGTTATTGTTGGGGTTGAGGTGTTTACAGATGATTAGCTTGGCCGGTCCGTCACCGTGAGGCTGAGGAAAAAATTTTACGGATGCGCTCGAGGAACAGGAGAAAGTTGAAGACGAGGAATTTGCCTGAATGCACATGGCTGCGTTTCGAAACTCTAAACTTGCTGCTTTGATTACGCAGCTTTTACGGAGTGAGTAAAACTGGCGACTATTTGCATCTGACATTTTTGGCCGACGTTTCCTTGAGGAAAAGCTTGAGCTCCTGTTGTCATGAAAGTTTCACGAGGCCATTCAGTTGCCAGTTCTCGTTTTGTGTGTGAAGTCAGAAATTCACAAGGTCATGCGTGATATATCTGGAAGACAAAGGGAGATTGTAGATTTTGAGTTCTTGATTCATAAGCCAGAGGTCTTCTGGTCTTGTGTCTTATTAACTGAAATGTTCTATTAAATAAGTTTTTCAATTATTTTTAGGGAATGCCGGAGGGGTTTAAGGCATACAGACTCCCTGTGCTTCCAGTCATTATTCTACTCTATGTAAGTGAATGATCACTATAAGATCTGACGCATGACTCCCTGAGTGGATTATATTTCGGATCCATCATGAATGTTTCTAGCACTAAACAGTAAGATTGTGAAATTGATGCAGAACGCGAAATTGTTCCGGCGCTAAAATTTGATCGAGGACTTCCGGTGGTTGCCGCGTTGCGATTGAAGGAGCATTGGGCGCAAGCTCATTCCGTATCCACTCATGGTCACCGTGGCAGGGCGGATGGTGAAGGAGCGAGAATAGTCGGTAGCGATTCGGATATTGAACCCTATGAAGATCAAGAAGCGATTGCGCGTCAGGATTCCGAAGCTGAGGACAGGAGATTCAATAACGATGGGAATTGGTCAAAACAGCTATCCTGGTTCAGCAACATTGTAGAGCCAGCCTTGCATAAGTACCGAACACCGCATCCAGGCATGGCCTGCGCTCACTTTTTTCAAAGTTATTCTCGAATGTACTATCCATGTATTTAGAGTACGTACTAGTACTACTTCGCACTCGCTGTGCAAAGCCTTACTCCAGATTTTGTTTGTTTGTACTGTCGTTTCGCGCTTTTTTTCCTTTGGTCGACGATTGTCCGGGAAGTTATCAAAAAATGAAAAGGACTGACAGTGAACTTCTGTGTGATTTAGCTCTTCAACTTTATTCCTTGTGCGTTTAGTGAAATATGTCACCTTTTCGAATTTGCAACCCGGAATCTTATTGTCCGAGAGTTGCGTCCAAGTGCAAATCTGGTAACTTTCTACGCGGCTTCAAGTTCGATCTAAATAAGCTAATGACTGCGTTTGTGGTTTGACAGAAGAACTAGCCGAGAGCTACGATGGATCTGCCAGCGCCAGATCTCTCCTTGACATAGCGGCCAGTCTGGTCAAGAGCACTGCCGGAATGCAGCAGTGGGGACTTGCCGACATCACTTTTGGCCTATATCTTCTCTCTTTACGCCATACAACTGAAATGGCCGTGGACGCATTCCACGGCCAGCAAGTCACATGTGATCACATGGTAATTGCTCCGGTCCTCAGTTAGCTGGGAGTACATTTTGACTATCCAAGCTGTTCTAGGATATCAACTTTAAATTTTCAGCTTTTTCAGCGTCTTAGGTTCTGATGGGAAATGCATCACGCGCCCTTTTTTATTTCCTTATTGCTCAGAGGTCCCGTGGTTCGCTGTCCGAGTCCAACTATGAAATCAAAAACTCGCCTGATTTGAGTCTAATTTGTACTACTCATTGCAAAAAATGTGCACACGCTTTCAACCGGCTTTTGAGATTTATCAAAGGATTATCTAGGTTTATCAGAGGATTATCTAGATTTCAACTTCTCGAAAGTTCGTGCATAATTAGAACGCCAATTTTGATTTCTTGTTGAAGGTGCAAAGGTGGATTCACCATCTGGAGCTAGCATGGGGTGCATATATGAAAAATCCCGCAGCACTAGCTCGAGTCAGCATGCTTCGTGAAAAAAACGTTGTCAAGTTTGTAGGCAAAGCAAGTGTGATGCGGCCTGCATATTACATCGGAGTGGACACTAGGCATAAGCTGGTCGTTATGTCGATACGTGGCACCTCAACACTACATGACTTGGTAACGGATTTGGCAACTCACAACGAAAATTCGGGGATTTTGGATGGAGAACCTGTTCATTATGGTAGTTTTGAAGCTGCTCAGTGGCTACAGCGGCATGAAGCAGCGACTTTAAGGCGTTGCTTAGAAGAAAATAAAGTGAGTCCTGGTGTAAATACTCTTTGTTCAGAACATGAGGTTTTGTGAACAGAGTGCTCAATCTAACTTGTGGTGTTTTTTAAATGAATGCTTTATTATAAAGATTAGAACATATGTGTGAACCATTTGTGCCTGAGCTCTTACCAAAGCATTTAGAGTGGGATTAAGGTAGGGTCGATTGAACTGAATGCAGTTGCTTGTGAGAGCCTGTGTGTTAGTTGTGCCTCAGCACGCTCAATTGACGTTACTGTTGCTGACTATTTCTTCTTGTTATCTTTCGAACCTCTATCATGCAGTTATATGTGTAGTGGCTAGCTACTTATGCCGTGTTTTGCTTACTTCTCGTTTCAAAGTTCTGTGTTTTTTGGTTGAGCAGCCTCTGTGATATCCTTCTTTTGAACCTATTCAATATGCCTCAGAGAGCTTGTAGGTGCAACTTTTTGACTTGTTTCTTGATCCAGGGGTTTGAGCTGCTATTAGTTGGCCACTCACTAGGAGGAGCTACAGCAGCATTGTTGGGCATGTTGCTGAGACAGGATTCTGAGAAAGTACTTGGATTGTACCCAGAGAAAATCCGTGTGGTCGGAATAGGGACACCACCATGCTTATCTAAAGTCCTGGCTGCAAGGTGTAGAGACTTTACAACAACATTAGTTTTACAGGTGATACGAACAGAACTCTTGTAATTGCTTAACGGAGAAATTTATGGTTTTTTGTCTTGCTATATTGGTCGATAGGCCCTTGTACAAGTAAGTAGACAGATATTTAGGCTGAGGACTTCACCTTGCCTCCATGGTGCTAATTTGGTCTTCCCGTAATAGACACCTAATACTAGCTATCCTGCCACCAGCTCCATCCATGCAAATGTATTGTCACAGATACCGAGTTTAATACCTAAGTGCACACCTATCCTGTAGATCCAATCTGGTTTGAAAAGAATCTCTTATTTACTTGTTGAACTTGGTATCATATATCTTCGTATGTCTTTGAAAGCAAATGCTAAGCACGAACGATCTTTTTACAGGATGATGTGATTCCACGGATGAGCACAACTGCACTTCTTCAACTGCGTAACGAAATACTTTTGTTAGAGTGGTGAGTAACTTCGCCATAGTAAGGGTTTAGATGTCCAGGTGCGCTCTGGTATTACTCTGAATCAGATCTTACTACTTGGAAAATCATTTGTTTTAAAATTTGGAGAGTGAAGAAGTCCTTAAGAAAGCTGTTATTACTGAATACACAGGAACGACGTGCTGAAAGGAGAATTTGAGAACAAAGGGCTGGTGGATTTAGTGTCCAGCACTGTGCAGGCTCTATCGTCTGTGCAAGATGCCGCGAGAAAGTATGGTGCTATTGCGAGACGAACCATCAATCTTAATGGACCAGGTCAGATGATTACTAATCAGTGTCAAGTTTGTTGAGGTCTCGTGTAGAATGTTCATGGTGTATTTTCTAGTTTTTTAGTGAGGTTGCATTGAGAAATCTTACTGAAGTTTGCATATCATCTTTCATACCTGCTAGAAATGCAAGTGGAGTGCAAGGTAGTGAGCGTTTGAAAGAATAAGACCTTGAATTTGTCAATCAGCCTCGCGAAGCTGGACTCGTAGTGAAGTATTTGACGTCCATGTGGTCTGACAGATGACAACGCTGAAAACGATGCAAAAATCGAAGCACGTGAAAAGAATGAACTAGAGAAACACAAGTTAGAACTGATAGAGAGTGCGAAAACAGCACCACATGAACATCCTCATCTTCATGCACCTGGTACATTGTATCATATCCGTAGCAGATCATTAAAACCAGCAGAGTTGAGTGGGAAAGAGACTGACTATGGTTGCTCACTGTGGAAAGGGGATTCAGATGCTAAACTTGGGCGAATTGTATTATCTACCAGTATGTTATCTGATCATAGATGTGAGAGCTATTATTACGCCCTTCGGGATGTGCTGAAAGGCATCCCTATTTCAGAAAGACTCACAACAGGAATGTAAATTTGTTAGCGCGACTGTTTGCTGTACATGGAACCGGGCATTGAATAGATTTTATCCACATTGCCAATCGTAAGGTTTTACTATCAAAATTTTGGATGAGAGATCCTCTTTCTATCAAGGACTCCGCTGGTCCTCTCGACCAGACTTGGACATTAGTTAGGAGGGAATACAATGTGCTCTACTCAGGTAGAGTGCAGATTTATTGCTTTTAGTAGCATGTTGTCTTCTGAGGATACTGGTGCTGTAGCTTAGAGGCTGCAAGGGAGCATATTGACATTCATATGTTCACTTCATGCAGTAAATGTGGAAACTTGCTCAATGATCTAATGAATTTGTCTCTTTTGCCTTTTCATTTTGTACAATGAGTTTGTTCACCATGCACCTGTGTTTGGTCCTCTTCTTTTCTGAGTTAACATTTTTTGGACAGTTAGACAGTTACCTGAGTTTCAAGGATGTACAGATTCCGTATCCGAAGATCACTAACCAAGGAAGTTCTCGCTTCTTATGCTCTTTGCACTTACATCAATTTAACTGTACTGTATGTGACAATTTGCTGAAATATATTCGAAAGACATCTTTGTCTCTATATTTCCTATTTACTTGCGCTCAAGGAAATGTTCGGTTAAATAAATCCTAATATCTTTTAGGGACTTTTGCATGCTAGTATATACATTATTCTATAGATTTTATACATTGTCGGGGCATCGATGAACAATAGTTTCTATCATCATTAGTCCATATGTTCCAACTTTTATCGATGGAATGATCCGTTGACATCCAGTCAAGATCGATAATGATTGTATCTGCTTTGTTTTCGTCTTGAGTCACGTTCTAACCTATATTGAAATGACACTTTCTAATCCTCTTTGTAATTTTAACGTCATGCTTTATCGCCTCGACTTCTCGACTCATAGCTGGCTGTAAGTCGAGAAATCAGCCGTCGTTGGTGTGCTTCCATAGTTTGTCGTTTGAACTGCTGCTACTTTCTTCAAAGCGATATCACCAACAAAACCAGTGTCTTTTGTTTGTGCAACTATAATGACCGACCAGTTCTAGCTACCCCTCCCGCCATTTCTACACGCTACCCATACTCTCGCAAATCAAGTACTTCATGTTCTTCATTACAAGGAGATCTGCTACAACGCACGTACTACATACAGGCTGTTCTGAGGCAAAATCTGAGAATGTTCCAGCTTCAACCCTTCCTAAGCACATGATGATACATTCAGCAAAGGGATATGCATCGCAGTTACAAAACAAGGGGCACGTCAGTGGGCTATGTAGGAGATTGTCTTTGTGAATTTATTACTCAACAACAGAAAAAAAATTGGTTTTCATCGCAACAGGAAAATGTTAAATTGTATATGCCGCTGGTAAGGTCCAGTATTCCAGCCAGCAAACTCATCAGCTTAATCAGAAGTGTTCTCCAAAAAGCAGAAGATAGTGGTCACGTAATTTCTATACAACAATACACGGAGATCGACAGGTTCAGATTTAAAGCCTAGGCAATTATTTTTGTGATTATATGTAAACCGATTGTTGAATGAATTGAATAACTCTTGCAAACAAAATTTACAGTTTAAAACTCGCAGCCGTAGTTCATACAAGACATTCGATTCCTGACACTGATGTTCTTCATCATTCGAGTAAGTTCATACTCTTCTAAACCTCCTTGAGATTATTCTTTAACGATGTGTGTAAATCATTCATTATCAGGTGAAAAGACAAGTAAGATATTGATATCTTTATAAACAATAGAGTTCACACATTGGTCCAAGAAGAATACTATTTCTCATGTACACTTGGATTCACCTGCAATTCATTGAAGTAACATAATAATTAACATCAATTTGAAAATTTCATACATAACCAATATTTCTAGATGATACCTCTACAACGTTAATCGAGAATATTTTTCGACTAAGTCAATGCAAAATTATTATTCTACTTTCTTTCTAATTGAAATATCAGGACTAGATATCAATATCTTTTAGCCAGCATTTCTCAGAACTTGAAATCAGCTCATTGTACAACTCACCTCGCGTTTCTCGGCAATCCCACACTTCGAGTTGTTATGAGTAGCCTGGAGAATGATGAATAGAAAGATGTGCTTATAACATTACAACTTTTCTAACTTGAAATCACAATATATACCGTGTTCATGCTCAAATATGAGTACGGACATACATTTTATATCCAGAAAATTGGTGGCCGGGACTCATAAGCCATCGACTTAAAATAGATCTAACAAAAAAGTTTTTTCCTATAATCAATTACTAGTTACAATTTGAAATTGCAAAGAGGCACCTTACAATTTGAAACACCATTCCAAGACAATTGCTATTATCTTTCTCCGATATCAAATTTAAATCATTATATATTGAAATCTTGAAAGCAAAATCCTCACTGCTACTTAAATTATGAGATAAATATGTACAAGGAAATCTCTTGGTTTACACAACAGCAAAATTACAGTGACTTACAAAAATTTTAAAATTCTGATGAAAGGATTATATGAATATCCGACATCTAATTTGTTTGTATTGATTTTCTTAACAAGCTATCAATCTTCATGAAATCAATTTTTAAATGGACTAAAATTCAATAACATTATATCAACCTCTTGAAATATAATATAGAAATTGAAGTCAATATATTCTTCATCAAAGATTCATTATGTGTAAAATTTTAATGCCAAATTGTAATTCTGAATTCTATTTGACTTCCCATCACACATCAGTTTGCATCATTACATTGATATCATATGTTAAACTATACATAAAAATCAGAGAAGCATCATATTGATATCATAATACAAAATATTTATTTTAAGCTTTATGAGATAATTTCATATTTGGTTAAAAAATTTGGCAAATAAAAATAAATAATTTCGAAATGTTTCAACCAAACATTTTGAAATGTTCTAACAGTATATTTGGTTAGAACATTATTTATATCTAAAAATGACAGAAATCACACTGGTTTAAATTTATAACTTGATTCCATAATGCATTTTTTTTTAAATTCTACTTACAAAGCTTTATGTTATTCATATCAAAGCAGTGAAATTAATGAAATCAATGCTTGTGATTACATAACTATAAATAAAATATTATTTATATCATATATGTAATAGTTAAAATTATATATGCTATATCATATGTAAAACTTTGATTCAAATTCATAATTAACGATATTTTTAGATGTTTGATGATTTGTGGGAAGTTAATTTAAATTAAGGATAAAAATAAGTTTTTTGAATTTTTTAAAAAATAAAATATTGATGAAACTTAGCTATTATTGAAATTGAAAACTTTTGAAATGAAAAATATATTTTCGTTGATTTGATGAAAAATATATTTCTATAAATATGAAACTAAAATCAAAATAATTCACGCTCAGTCATATTGAAATTAATTTTAATTATTACAAAACTAAGGGTTTTATGTTATTATAAAAAAGCTGAATTTTTGGAATATTGAAAGTATGTTGACAAATCTGAATGGTGAAACTATACTCTAAAAATATGTCTGTTAAAAATAATTTTTTTTTAACATAATGGCAAAATACTAGAAGAAAAAAAGAAAAAAGTATCATGAAATTGATTCTATATCTTTAAGTTTTGATTCTTTAAATTTAAAAATGAAATTTTAATTTTTTTCACTGATGAAATAACGTTGATTTATTAATTTATGTAATGTTTAAAAATTGAAATCGATTATATATAATATTAAACAAAACTTATAGAAGTTTGAATTTGGTATTATAATCTTTCAAAGATAACAATACCAATTAAACATGTAATTATCATGCATTAGTCATTTCATATCAATCTCTTTTAGATCTACGGATGATATGATTTTATATATGTTTAAAAAAATAAATTGTTAAATTCATCCTTGAGTTGTTAAATTTACCCCTCTTCGCAGCAGTTTGTCATGGCAACAAGACGAAACAAAATTTCAATTTATGTTTGTCGTGTCGAGGGTGGGTTTCGGCCTCTTTCTCATCTTCTTTTCCCCTCTGCACAAGCTGCTATTAAAAAAGTTTTCATTCCATTTAAAAAAAAATATAAGATCAAAACATAATTTGTCTAAGACTTCAAGAGAATAAAATAAATTATTCTGAGACTTATATATATATATATATATATGATATTTTATGTCATTTATAAAGTAATGCATTATGTTCCAAAACTTAAACTAAAACAATAAAAAATCATGAATTTTAGAGCATGTGTTGAGATATTTTTGGAATGTATTTTAAAAATATAGAAATTTATAAACGGTTTTAAATAGGTTATTAGGTGGTCAGCGTCCTATCATTTATAAATTATAAACGAAAAAAAATTAATTTTTTAAAAAAAATCTTGTTTATATTTTGTGTTGATTTGATTTTTATTCTATTCCTATTTTATTCAGAACACACAGATCGTGATACCAACTGGTTTGTGTTGGTGTATCACGATCTATGTATTTTGATGTATGATGTGATGCAAATTTAAAGTGATAAAACACTTTAAAATACTTCATATAGAAAAAGTTTAAAAACTTCTTAAAAGTTAATCATATTAGAAATTCAACATGTTAAGGTTTTATATTTAAAAAAAGTTCTTTTGATATTAGAAAACATTTTGCGTAGTGAACATTACTTATCTGAGGAAAGTTTTCCCCCCAGCTAATTTTTAAAAATGAATTCATTGAAATAAAAATTTGAAACTATTCATGTAAATGATATGTTCGGATTGTATGACTCATACAACCTCACAATAAAGCGATGCATGAGATCAGACCAAGATCGACAAAGTATTAGAAGCAAAACGAAGAGTAGAAAGAAAAACTAAAATTCAGAAAAGCCCAGCCTCATTTACGTTCAAATAAGGGTAACTCCCCCATGACAAATCTATATGTCACCAACGGTTTCGCTCACATCTCTTGCATCTAAATCAAATCGGTAAAGAATAGAGTAGATTAAATGTGGATATCGAGCAAGCCTTGCCAATCGCCGAACATTCTAATATATCTTTACCGCGTTGAGATTTGATTCTAAAGACTTGTATTCACAGTTGTACACAAAGAGAGCAATGATGAATGTGCCACGTGTTGGTTCTGGTGATAAAGGCACTTATTACTATTACAGCATATTACAATAGAAAAATATAGGAAGCAACAACTTACAAATATAAAACTATCTCTAAGATATTCTTTTATTTTGTAGCTAGAGTATCTTAACATGCAAGACATAGTAATAAAGAAACTGCTTACATTCATTGTGATGAACAGATCAGATGATATTTATATCAAGGACAATGTCGTATTTATTTAGAAAATGAAGGGCAATAATTTGAAGTTTCAAGTAGATTTAATTCTACAAGTAAAAGTGCACAATCTTCGCATAGTAACTTGGAACCACTCGAAGTATGAAATAATGAGTCCAAAGAATCAAGTAGTAACGAGTCAGGCGGTTCACAAGCCAACGAAATATTCATCGTCACCAGGGTGCCCATGGAATAAACCGGTGACTTGAATAACGTACGACGCCACGGCTGGAGCGAGTGTGATGTGGTACCACAGTACAACTGCACACGTCTGGTGCGGTTGGTGTCGTACGTGGTTGCATCGGGCCGGGCAGCCCGGCCCGTACGAAGCGAGGCGGGGCGGGGCCGGGCCGGGCCGGGCCGGGCGAGAGAACGAAAGCAAGAGCCACAGGTGACAGTGACAGGCGAGGAAGGTGCTGCTGGTGCACGGTCGTCATTCTGTAACCCTCTTCGCTCTGCGCTCGCTGTCGAGAGACTTTTCTTCCTCGGCCTTGCGCTGCTCGTTTCTCAGACGTCGAACACGATGGTGTTTGCGTTCGGAGGCCATCCTCTCTCTCTTCAGCCGCTGCTCCGGTGATCTGCATCGCGAGGCTGCTCGGGTCTGGTCGGTGCTGTTGCAATCTCCCTGTGTTCTATGAGCGAGCCTCTGGGAGAACCCGAGCCCGCGAGTGCTCGTATGTAGTTCGCGTCGAAGTTTGCAGTGCGCCGATAAAACTCAAGACCCGTCGAGAAGAGACGACCCGAGAACTGGTCGTTCTTGGCGTTTCCGCTGTTCGTTGCTGTCATCGCTTGGGGTTAAACCCCCCCTCCCAACATTTGCCAGGAGCAGAAACTATAAAGTAGGATCCGCTGGGACTGCACAAGATGTCCCACTTCGGCCGAGCGGGTCCTCCCGATATTCGGGATACCTACTCGTTGCTTGTTCTGAACATCACCTTCAGTGAGTTTCCCGCTTTTCTTTTTTCTTCTACCGCTTCTTCTTTTTGTTCGTTGCGGGGAACATTGGTTGTCCGTCTTGCTTCTAACCCGCATGTTGTTCCGCTTATTTTTTCCGCTTCTGGTTCGCAGATAGGGTTTTCTGTTTGGTGTCCTGTTGCTCTTCCTTTTGATGTCGATGCGTCGTTGATTGCGACGTTCAGAAAGACTGCGAAATTTACAGATGAAAATTACAGAAATTGGGTTTTTACAAAGTATAGCTTGATACGATGGCTGATAGGATTGTGCCAATGCTTTCGTTTTGAATTTGTAAAAGACCGAATTTGCTCTCACTCCTTCTTTTTCCCTCTTGCTGTGATTACTGTGGACGTCATATTCCTTGTCGTGATCAAGGGTTTTTCAGTTTCGTGCCATGTTATTTATACTTCTATTTTCGTTTGTTGTACGACTGTAAGGATGTCCCGCTGCGGCTACTTTGCATATGTTCTATGATTGTCTTCCGATACTCTTGTAAAGCAGGGCCTGGTTGCTGTTTATATGAACAGGCAGGGTAATCGCCTCTTTGCTGAAAGAGCCGTTGTGTAGTTTCTGCCTTCTCTATCTAGACCACTGGCAGTGCTCTTCCAGGACACTTTTGAACTCGCACATGAAAGTTTCCATCTCTAGCTGGGTGCTGTATATTTTGTCTGAAGCTTCCAAAAGGTTAAAGCGTGATTTTTAACCTTGATAAGTACATGAATATGCATGCGGTATATGATTCAGACCTTCGCACCATCGTCGTTTACGAATGGGAATTTCCAGTCGAAATTGTGCCCACAGCTTACTTGTGGTTACTCGTGTCCTGGTTTTTGGTGCTCGTGTCACCTGGTAGATTAGTCACACATTTGGGATGGTCCTCCAGTCGTTTCAGTGTAGGTTTGACAAGACATGGCTTATCCCGATATATCTTGTTGGTTACATACATGATATGCCGCCTCATGCGCTAGTTTTCTGGATTTTTTTGCTTTTTATCGAACGTTTAGTGAGACGCTTTGTGATATGCAACATTCGTATGATTGTCAGTTTGTTGGTGGTTAATCATACGACTGGAAATTTCAGGAACAAGCGCCGATGATCTGTATCCGCTCTTCGACAGATACGGAAAGGTGGTCGATATCTTCATACCGAGAGATCGCAGGTAAAGTGCTCTGGGGGGGGAATCATGACGCTTTTGATGACACTTTAGTTACAGCCAGTGCACTGGCTATAACTCAGGCGTCATTAAAAGTTACCACTTTTGGAACATTTTCAATCGTTCTCATCCCAATAAATTGTTGGCCCGATCACTAGAATATCTGTTGGCATTGAGGTCAGGTCAAGCTTGGCGTGTAATAAATTCAACTTAGACATCGACAAGGCGTTTGCCCGATCTTATCTTTCTAATGTTCAATATATTGGGATGTGGTCGGCTGATTGACTACGGCAGACCTAATACTTTGTTCTGTTCGTATAGAGCCGGCTTTAGTTCATACTTTCCCTTCCAAGCGTAAGGTTGATACCTCGATTCTGAGTCCTCTGTTGTCGAGAAATTGTTCATCTACTGTAGTGTGCTGAATACCCGAGGCTAGTTTCTCGAGTATTCAGGGTCATCTTCAACGCTTGACAAGTATACCTCAGTTCAGTACTCGGGTGAAGATCTGGTCATCTGTGGAAGATTAAGTATGTGTTGGATTTAGTGGGCAATAATATACTGCATTTTGGCGAAGAATTGCCCTCAGGAGAGAAGATATAATCAAAGACGATCTTTGTATCAATCGATCTTTTCCCGATCGATTGATGCTTTTCTGTTTCGGGATTCACTAATGTCACTGTTCTGCTTCTTTTTCCATCTATTTTCTACCCAGAACTGGAGAATCTCGCGGTTTTGCCTTTGTTCGGTATAAGCATGCCGAAGAAGCGCAAAAAGCAATCGAGCGGCTTGATGGTAATATGCCACCTTTTGCCGATAAGATCCACCCTTGTTTTTAGCCTTCGATTGGGAAGCTGGAGACCTTAATGAAAGTGATACTGTCACTTGCAGCAGTGGCTTATAGTTGGCTCTTTTATACCAAGAAGGTTTCTAATCTTGTGCACTGAAGGTTCTCTTTACTTGTGGCGGCTGTCTCTTTTGATGGTCGCAAGCATGAGGTGATTCTGTGACTGAGAGACGAAATGTGGTGATATCTGTGCGGAAAGGGTTCTCAACACGGGGCTATTTGACTCATATTAGATAGCGATGTTTGGTCTTACGCAGGGAGAAACGTTGATGGGCGCGATATGGTCGTCCAGTACGCGAAGTACGGTCGGGACATGGAGTCCATGTAAGTCTTGTCTGTTGTGAGAAACTATGACACATTTCGTGCATTTTATGGAGAGAAAATATGCCTCGTACATGGACTGTTTGTGGTTGGTACACTGATCCCTTAGAAGATCTTTAAGGAACTATGACCAGTCCGTGCTTCTATAGAAATTTTTACTTCAAATATTGTGCTGTGTTTATTTGGAAGCAAGCACGAGCATCGAGAGGGATATGGTATGCTTCATGTACAATACTGAGCTTTTTAGAAGAAAATTTGCATATTAACCCTCAGTTTAGATCCTTTGGTTTGGAGAGTTTGACATTGATTCAACCTCTGGAAGATCACAACAACGCTTGCGGGAATTGAGTCTTGCAGACATCGCGGAAAGATTACCCAAGGCAGCCCCAAGTATTCCAGTCGATCAAGAAGCAGGAGCCCAAGGAAAGCAAAGTACGTCGTTTATCACGTGCGCCGCATGTTATTATCCATTTTCTGCGCGGTTGAAGTTCTTACTATTTGATGCTTAATTTGACACGAGCAGCATTCTCAAGCTGCCTCGACAGTGGAATTAATCACCACTTGCCACTGGCGATGAGCCGCTAGCATGTTCCTGATCGACTGATTCATCAGCTGCTGGATGAAGTCTGAACCAATTTAACCGTTTGTCGGCAGGAGTCCTGTTCGCGGTGGCGGAGGCAAGAGAAACTTTGGTCCTCCATCTCATATGCAAGCCTCTCCACCGCGTGGCAGGGATGGGAGAGACGGCAGAGACCGCTATCCAGGACCACCTCAAGGGTACTATCGCCTGCCGTAAAACTTGGGCTGTGCACGAACCGAAACTTTGTTTTCTGATATTGGCTTGTCACACGCAACGAGAATGCTAAGCACAGAGTTGATGTTCGCAGAGGTAGGCACCGTGATGGCCGTGACGAATATCGCGAGAGGGAAAGAGAACGCGAGCATCGACCTCGCAGTCGTGAAAGGCATGAGCGAGATCGCCACCGCGAACGAGAGAGGGATCACCCTCGTCGGCGAAGCCCGAGTCGTAGCCCGAGTCGCAGCCGAAGCCGAAGCCGAGTTAGAGTGCACGATGAGGAGCGTCGTCGTTCCCAAAGCAAAGTCGTGTCGAGGAAAGCTTCGCCTCCTCCCAGGAGGTAACAGTTTTTCTTCTGCCGTGTAGAAGTAGCCTTGTTATTTGGAAACTTGTTTCGACCTCGTAGGAGTGTCCGGCAATATGGACTCCCGTATACCCCGTTCACATCAATAGCTGCTATGTGGACCAAGTGTGAGATCAGCAGGACCCAAACTTCTTTTTCACTTCTGCCCCTTTTCTGTGCTGCAGCCAAAGTCCTGGACGTAGCGCAAGCCGAAGTGTCAGTCGAAGTCCTCCACCCCGCGTTTCTGCCGAGCCCTCCAAGGAGGCTACAAGAAACGGAAATGACTCCCCTCATGAGAGGAAGAGGTAATGGAATTTGTTTCAGCTATTATCGTTCACATCGCTGAAAGCTGTCGTTTTGATCACTAGTTGGTAACAGTGCACCTGTCATGATGATAGGATGGATAGTGCATCTCCAAAGCAGCAAAGTCTATCTCCAGAACGTGGCCTTCCCTCTCCTGTGAGACGAAGTCCGTCACCCGTCGAGCGTGACAGCGTATCACCCGTGAAGAGAACGAGGAGTGAATCACCTGAACGAAGAAGCCCCTCTCCAATTCGGCGTCGCTCACCGAGTGTGAGCTCTCCACAGAGGCCGTCGTCAAGTCTTACGCCTGAACCTCAGAGTCCCTTTGCTGAGGACTAAGGTACGATTGAGTTCCGACATGCGTATATTAAATCCGAAATCAAAAGGAATAAGTTCGGCGGTTGGCAAGTTCTTCTGATTCAGCCAAACATGAACACTCGACAGTTAGGTCCGTATAACTCTGCTCATCTGGGTTTTGTGCTGATGTGTAGGACTCCGCTGACAATTATCCTTAAGCTTCTGCCGAGGAGTCTGCACACGCAGATGCTTCTTTGTGAGCTATCAGTAGTGATGGTGAAGTGATCGCATTGTGAAGGTATCAGTGTGAGGGGAAGCTGGTCTTAATGTCCGTGCAGTATTAGCAGGCTCAAGCTCCAATACTGGTGACTGGAGCTGAGCAGAGTTGGGATGAGCGCCTAGCCTGTGTAAGGCAAACGGTGGGGTGTTTTGCTGGTTAGTCTGTCTACCTGGATCAAATTACCTTCTTTTGGTGAGGCCGAGTTGTGTTTGTAGTAGCAGCTTAGGATGAGGAATTTAGTGTTGGTTCTTCCCAATTATGGGTCAAGCAGAATGAGTGTAACAACAGCCTTTGTGGCAGCAGTGTGCATAAACTGGACAACTTGGTACATATTGTAACTCTAGGGGCCTTTCATATCTGGGTTAAAAGGGTAGAGTGATGATGTCCCTCGTTTTGGGCTGAACTGATGGAAGGACATTAAGCTGTGGACGGAACTACCTTATGTATGTGTCACTTGGCCCAAATCAAATTAGTCCATTGGTTAATAGTGCTCTGAATCCTGATACCTGGGCTGTGATAGTGCTGAGTGGGGCCGTGGGAACACTGCGGTAGCTGTGGTGGCCACATGGCGCTGATGCTGCTAAGGGACCGTTTAATCCTGGCTGCTGGATGCTGCTGTAGCTGCTTAATGGGAGAGTGGAGCAGAGTGTGCACTTCATTATGCTGATGCTTTGAATGTTGCTGTCCAAGACTGCATATGGAGACAAGTTGCTGCAGGGAGCTTGATATGGAGTCTAATGATGTTGGTATGCAGCTTTTCATTAAATGGTTGCTATGTAAAGCAGGGTGAATATGACCATACATGGGTGAACCTGTTCTACTTCCGCGTGATAGTTTACTTGCAGTTATCGTTATCTGCTCTGGTGTGGTGTGGTTTGAGGATTATCTACATGTTTGTGCATGCTTTCTAACCACACTTCAAAGTTTCAAATCCTTGGTTACAATACACATGCCTGTTTAGCAGGTGACGCTAGTGGTGTGATTACGTATCATGTTTCTTCAAAGTTGACGGTGTATCACGGTAGGTTTTCTGTCCCTACCTCCCAACCCTCTCGATTACCTAAGGTGAGGAAGTTTTTTTATGACGAAGTCATTGAAAAGATGAGGAATCAAGGTTCTTGTGCACAGGTCACTTCATGTCCTTCTGTGGATGAGTTCGAAAGCTCGCCGTTCGATACTTCATGCAGGGTTGGGGGATGTTGCAGCGGGTAGTTAGATCTAGTGCTCCATTTTCGCAGTTTCTCTTGTAAGTTTTGCATGTTTTGATGGGGGAGGACGAAATAGTCTAACATGTTGATCTTCGTAGGTGATGTAGACTCGCGTGCTCTGTAGTGTATTATAGTAGATACTGGAGTTGGTGAGGGTATATCTTATATGGTGTCACCTATAATAGATCGGAAGGTGGAGAAAATTGGTGCATGTGGTGGAAATGATGGTTGTCGTGGGCATTGTCTAGAACCCTTTTCAATTGTTTACAGTGCATTAGATTTGCGCGTGGAAGCAAGCCAATTCGCGAGCCCTGCGGTCGAGTTTAGGTCTGGCAACTAGCGAGGCAGTCACTTTTGCAGCTGCTCGAGAATGGAGCAGTTCATCTGTAATATTGCTTGTTGGCTTATTATTGGAAGAAAGAAAAGACACTTCCAGCTTCGCTGGTTCAGTGGTTTCCTTAGTTGTGGTCTTTTTACTGAAGATTGGTTGTGCAAATTTTTTCCACGAAGTTACACTAAGTTTCATCAATAGCTTTCTTTTTGTTTAGACCGTGTGGGAGTGTACTCCAGATGTTTGGAAGTCTTGAGCCAAGGCTCAGGCCATGCTGTGTTGAATCAAAGGCAACGCAGGGATTTACTTCACGTCAGCAGAAATTTCGTAACGCCTTGTGCAATTGTCTTCTGTGACTCAATTCTGGGTGGTGAAAGACTCGTATTCCAGGGTAGTGAGAAACTCTCAACGAAGTCAACAATATGAGGTTTAACTTCGACGGTTCATTTACATATTAGAATATTGATCTTTTACGGAGGATCATTCCAGGTCTGTCCGACGTGACGAACTCATGGAGAGCATATGCACTGGAGGCACATTGTTCATTGAAGGTTCTTAAATCACCAAACTGGCACACACAAGTGATCTGTACTCGTGAGAGTGTGGTGTAGACGCATATGATGTCCCGAATTTTGCGAAGAGCCGTTCATCGCCCAGTGAAGTATACTCGAACTGCGGACCAACGATAGAATCTTTTAATCTTTGCCATCCAAATCCAGACATCTAGAAACACATTCTACCAGAGAAAAGTAACGAAAACGTCCTCGTTATACTTTTGAGAACGAAACATCTCAACTTTAGCTGCTAAGGGAAAAGGAAGTGGAGTCGTTATGCAAACTCTAGGGAGTGTGAGTGTTGAATCTCTCTGAGCGTGACCATTGGTGCACGTGGTGAGGTACATGCAACAGTTAACAGATGAAGCACTTTACAACCAAGAGAGCGCTGTTTCGTTACATTTCTGAAAGAGAAAACTATTGCGTCTGAGATAATGGCTTCCGTTTCTAGATGTTTTACGAAAAGTTCGATCTGCAACATCTCAGAGACGAGCTGAAAGAGTACGAAGAAGATTTTGGGCTATTTGGCAATTTATTAATTGGCTTGTGATCAACCCAAATGCTACGGCCGATGAGCAAATCGTTGCTGGAAAAATCGAAGAAACTAATTCTACAAGAAAAGAACAGATATAGAACTCAGAACGGCAGTTTGAAGTGGTCGTTCCTAACGTCGGATTGCAAGGCGTGCGGCTGGTTTCGTGAAGAACCCATTTTTAAACAATTGTACTATGTAATTAAATTCATCAGATCCCATCGGCACGAAAGAAGTCGATCGTTTTCTTCTCTAGGGACATAGAAAGAGATAGATAGATAGAGAGAGAGAGAGGGGGACTCACTCGATTAAATAAACAGTCAAAAGTCAGGAGAGTCCTCTTCCTTACGCATCAACAGAGCTCTCAATGGATGGATAGCGGCAGAATGAACGACTTGTTGCGTGGCACAGAAACTAGAGTTTCCTTCGGTCGGCTCTCAAGCCTCGATGCAGGGATGCAGGAATGGAGGGAGGGAGAAAGATGACGCTCACGATGCTATTTGCACCATCAGAAGAGTACATCTGACAACTGCCAACTGACAGTAACAAAGGTTATGGATGGAGACCTGTATCTGAATGTTTCAACTGAACTAGACTTTGACCTGATTTGCCTCCGAGCAAGAGGATTTGAGATTTGTAGTGCAGATTTTGTCACTCACCGTTCACGGTTATATCAATCTTGCAAAGGTGGTGGAGATTGTAGGGAAAATGCTCGCTCAGTTGAGTTCATCTTCTCTTCCATGTAATTCTATTTATGTTATTAATAATAGAACAAACATCTGATCTAAATGAGACAAGACACAATCTGGTTTTGAATTATCATGAAATCATATTTCTCTATTAGAAGTTTATGTTGAATCTTCAGTACTCATCTAACCCTTCATCTATAATCTAAGCATTGTGGTAAACCTTGTTTTATAACTTTTTTCTCTTGTCAAATTATCAATGCAAATAAACATTTATGAAAAAAAATTAAAAAATTAAAAATATATATTAAAAAAGCAGTGATTCTTATGTATTTAGGATCAACATGAAAAAATAACACGTATGCAAATATCTTAATTGTCACCAGTCTATACACAGATGAGTGCATGTTTTTTTTATAAAATATTCCACTTATTGGATAAAGATAACTGAATGTATTCAAATGCATGTGAAGTTTAATTTTAATTAATTTAAATTTTACATAATTGAAAGTATGAAAATCACACTTCTCATACAAAGGTTAATATATTTTTAACCTTGGTATGATAAGTGTAATTTTCTCAGTAATATTGTTAATTATGGTAATATTTCATTGAAGTAAAACAAAAATTAGACTTGATATTTTTATAAAAGCTCATGATGTACACCTTGTCAATATGTAGTTGATGAACGATCTTGGTGTTGTCTTCTTAATAGATTGTAGATAAATCGATGTACAATGAAAATATATCCAAATTATCCAAAGTCAAAAGATTGAATTTCATACATGAGTTTCGAAAATTAATTAATTTTAGAGCCAACGAATTAAATTCATGTCGAAAATGATAGCAAAACTCAAAACGAACGTCATCAATTATTTCCACAAATTTGAAAACCTTCATTGGAGCTCGCAAAAGTATTATATACTAATCAGAAACTTACACGACGCGCTCCGCAAGAGTCAGCAACTCAAGGCCATCCAACTCTCAACGTGAACCTTTAACTTTGTGAGTTCCCAACGGGAAACCTGAATTGCAAGGTTTTGACTTCTATTCCCGGTCACGGGTACGGCGGAACGTTTGGAGGCTGCTGTAGTTCCCGAGCCAAAGAAAGAAGGCTCTCGTGGAAAATAGAGCGAATTGCCGACGACGACGGCATCGAAATTCGACGCCCTCCGATTCATCCCTTCGTTCACTTACTTCCTCGCGCTCTGGGATTCGAGAGGCTTACAAAGTTGGGAAGATTGGCCAACTTGGACGGGATCCGACTAGCTTCAATCCCTCGGCCGTGGAACTGGAACTGTCTGCGCCTGCAACGAGAACGAAATTTGCGTACACCAAGTTGCTGAAATCGACTATCGTCGAATGCAACTCATCCACTATGCAGATGCAGATTCATCGGACCGGGCACTCGTCGATCCGGGCTTGCATGAACAGAAGCAAACATGAAACCCTAAACCCTAAACCTTTCTTCGTTCAAGGCAAGAGTGTAGTCAATGCAATTGAAATCTGCTTTTGCTGGTAGTAGTAGTATTGAAAGTTATTCAATGTGCGATTCAATGAAGGACAGCTGAATTCCAATGCATTAAGGTGCCTATGCTGTACTAAGATTTCTCCATGTGTGCAGTCAGATCGGCCGGATCACCGGAGGCCGGTGGAAGGAAGGATATGGAGAAACTCGGAACCCGGAAATGTCAGCCCAAAACAGCTTCGAGTTTCTTCCTCATTTGATCGGCACTGAGTCGGGGAGAGAGTCTGGGAATCGTCTCCTGCTCAACGAACGAAAATGATCAGACACCGTTTCATCTGATTCTGAAAACTCAAGATGCTCCCACAATACTTTTCTACAGCAGAGGGAACCAGTCAGTTGCAGTACCTCAGAGCCATCGTCTTTGACGTGAGCCAGCACCGGAATCTCGTATTGGTAAGCATTTTCCCACTCTGGTTTCGTCAAAATGTTTCGGACCTGCAATTTGCCACGTGAGTGACGAGCCAATTTCAATGCCCCGGGTAAACAAGAGAGATTGCTCCTATAGATTGAATGATGTGGAGCAAGCGAGCCGTGGAATGTGACTGACGAGTGTTCTAGCACTACAGACTTCAAGCTTTGCACTGTCACATGTCTTCACTCTCAGGGCAGTCTGGATACATCGTGCACGAGCAACATCCGCTCTGGATTGCATTCACACTCGATTTACCCGACTAAGATTTCCTAAGGGTGGTCCACTCTTCATGGATCTTCATGAATACTCAACGAACTGGCAAGAGCTACAATTATTTCTTCAGTCATGGCACAGGTGGTGGACAATGTGAAACGAATGTAGGACGAAAAAATTGGAAAGAAGAGATCGATGACGAGTGAATGGATGTCAGGGGTGTGGCAATGGAGAACCTCTAGTTGGATGTTGGGCAGCGTTGTCAATTTCTCCTTGAGACCATCGCACAGACAACACCCGGGCTTGCTGTACATGATCAATCGCCGTGCAAGATCGTCGGTGGCCTCAGCTCGTGGCACTTCCTCACCGGAAGAAGATGATGATGTTGAAGAAGAGGCACATCTCGTCCCGGTGGGCGAAATGGACACTGCTCCCCTGCGCACCACTTTCGCCGATGCTCCGGTGAAGCAAACCGTGGGGCGACCTCGCACCCAATTTCCGAGCCGTGGTAGGACAGCAATTTCAGCGAGTGGAGAACACGCCACCGATTGCAATCCCCTCTTGACACTCATCATCGATCCACTCATCATCTGTCCGAGGCGCAACCCGCGGAATATTCAGTCAATCGCCTCGAACGATTCCAAATCTCTCTTCTGCTTCTTCTTCGTGGGAGAAATTCGGTAGTCAGTTCATCACCCTCGAGGTCCTGTCGCCCGGCCCTTGCAATGGCAAACTCGGTCTCGCCATCTCGACGAATTGGCTCGACCCGACATGCCCTCTTATCTCCGACACCCTAATCTTGATTTAGTAATAAAGTGGAACACCTTCAAAGCCAACCAACCAATCGAGAAACAAACAAAACACGCCCTCGAGTGGCAATAGACAAGAACCCTGTTCCCGCAAGCCTCGCTCCAAAATCGCGATCGATCTGCTCGTTGCGCGGATGGTACATGCTCCCCAACAATCACTCCTGGGATGTAATTTCGTCTCACTCCGCGTATCTATAATCTCACATACTCTCCCTCGCCTCGCTCTCCGGCTATGGTCTGTAGCGCAGAATCCTCTTCGATTTCCGGAGGAAAAGATTAATAATTGTAAAGCTCATAATCTGCTCACCAAGCGGGATTTCCTCTGAGAAATTCCGACAGCCAGTCCCGCTGAGCAGAGCTGCGGCCGTGGACCGTCGAGCGAGCAGCTTCTGGTGGACCCGAGGAGCATGTCCTCGCCCATGTCCATGTCCATCGCCGTCCTGGCCTCGAGCTCGTCTGCTCTCGTAGCTCCTACTGCCACCGCAGCGCCCTGAACCCTGTCGGCCTTTGTGTCATCTACCTTTTTCAAGCCCTTCCTGTAATTCGTGGAGACTGATCAGAGCAGACCGCAACTCGACGCAACGTCGAATCCGGTCGGAGTCGGAGGCAGCCGTGCTCGCTGAAGCTGCTACGAGCGAGGGAGGGAGGCTTCTCAACCGTAGCTTCAGCTGCGCTTGCTTTTGTTTACGGAATCGGGAAGAGGTTTGTCACGAGAGCTCTAACTGGAAATTGCCACTTCGAAATTGGATCGTTTTCTTGTGGGAACTGCGCTACGAATGTATGTTTCCCTTGCTTGCAGTTTCTGTAGGCTTGCTCCAGAAATTGTCTCCTCTGCTTTCGTGTTCCTCTTTCAATTGAGAAGCACTTTGAATCGCTCGGTCGGATAGTTGGTGCTGCAGGTTTGGCATGCACAATGTGTCAATTTGTTGGTTGAAGTAGCACCGTCCCACGTTTAAGAGCATGCTTTGGATCCTGCCACCTCGAATCTTGTCTGAGCGACTGATCAGTCCAGTCTCTTGCTGGGGAAGAGTCGCATCTCGAGGTCACAGTCGAATTCACCAAACCCTCGTACTCATCTCTCAGGGAGTCGATCAAAAGTAGCCCATTGGGACCTTATCTGGTCGTTGGATCTTCCTGTCCAGATTCCCATAGCAAGGCTTCGTCCGTGCACGGGAATTTCTCTTGGGCCGGATTGACATCTGCCATCATTGGAGCGGATTGGTCAGAAGATTTGACAGATTGCTTTTGCTGTGACATTGGCAGAGTCGGACCTCGCAGTGGACTCAGCAATGACGAATGCGAGTCGAAAGGATCGTCGAATTTCACAAATTGGTAACTGACCGTCATCGAGCGTGGACCTCGTCGTTGGCAAACGTATGTGACATTGTTTCTGAAATCGTTTAGTCAATCATGAGGAGGCGACCAGGCATAGCAGGATTGCAAACAGCTGCAACCAACAGGAACCAGTTTAGGACTCTCGGAGAAGATGTTGCCAAAGCACGAACCGAATCGATGAAGGAGCAGTTGTCTGTTTTCAGAACGCAGCTCGAGGACTTTGCTCGGAAGCATAAGGTGATACTTTTTTACCGTACTATTGCCAATTGTTGAACTCTGCAGGTCTTCTTTCTCTCCATTTGATTCCGAACCTGCGACGGAATTTGCAACTCACTCTTTTCTAGATTCAGAGGGGAAAAGAAAATAGAACAATGATAGAAGTTGGTCAATTCTGTTGAGAGTGAATGGATTTCCAGCCGCTGCATCAGGCTCATGAAGATGCATGTACTGCACTCCCAACGTTGATATCAGTCCTAGTTATGGTTTTGATCAAACAGCAATGTAAATAACAAGAGACACTTGTGTTGCCAGAATGACATTAAAAAAAGTCCAGCATTTAGAGCACAATTCCACGCCATGTGCCAAAAGATTGGAGTTGATCCTCTCGCTTCAAATAAGGGGTTCTGGGCTGAACTCCTCGGAATCGGTGATTTCTACTATGAGTTAGGTCAGTAACATCTGATGCTTCTTTTACCTTATGCTGTAGCACTCCTTGGTGAACAAGCTCTTCACTAAAATAAAAATGAAAGTTTTATTGCATTTGGCCGAATGAATCCACAAAGCCCAGTATTGAGCAATATTTTATCTCGTTGGCTTTCGAGCTCTTGTGTTCATTGTTGACTTTGTACTCGTGTACTCGTGTTATTCTCAACTCCATGAAATAGTTAGGAATAAACAACGCAGCACAATGTATGATGCGTTTGTTCGTGAAAATCAGGTCACTTACATGGTCTGACATGTACAAGCAGGTGTTCAAATTGTGGACATCTGTCTTGCTACCCGGTCTCACAACGGAGGCTTGATCGACCTCGAAGAGCTTCGGGCACTTCTTACCAAAAGACGGAGAGCCTCTCGAGAACGAATAACAGAGGATGACTGTTCCCGGGCTATCAGCAAATTGAAAGTAAGAAACAAAAGCTGGTCTCCAATGCTTCCCTCTGCCGCAACCCTGTCGTTTTGATTCGGCACCAATAACGCTCTTTCTTGATTTTGATGTGTCGAGTAGGAATTTGTTCTCTTCGTTTCGTGTCTTTGGCTTATCTCAGCCGTGGTCTCTTTCCGCAGGCACTGGGAGGTGGCTTTGAAGTCTTCACTGTGGGAAACAGAAGACTGGTTCGCTCAGTTCCCACTGAGCTGAACAGAGATCATAATCAAATCATTGAAGCTGCACAGGTTTGTTCCATGAGCTTTCGCTTTTCTGCATCTAATAATTTTTTTTCCAGAATGCTTTTAGGGTATGTATATAAGGCAAGGGGGTTTATGTGATAAATGGGAGGTCTTTTCGGTGATTAAAAACCGATGTGATGCATACTAGTTGCTGTCGCTAATTTGGACCTTCAGTATCTCTGCGCAGATTTGTGTTCCTGCGTGGTCTAAAGCATGCTATCACCGGGCCAAGCTTTTTGAGATCATCTTCCCATTGCATCTGCTCTTCGCAACTGAAAGATTCTGATATTGTCAAAATTGCAACCTGACCAGATTCAAGGCTATGTTACGGCAGAAGATTTAGTTTCAAGGTTTTCTTGGCAAATGGGGAGAGTCATCGATGCCCTTGAAACGTTGATGAAGGTCTTTTCCCTGCTCTTGGAATCTCCTTCTTGAAAGACTTTGGTATACTTAGCTTGTTCAGCCCGTCGATGGATTTGAGCCTTATTTGTTGTTTAGCCTGTTGGTGTATCACCTGTTTAGCCTGAAGGTGGATTTCTTTTCTTTGCGCAGCCTGTTTTTCCATCTTATTAGAAATTCTAAGAGGAGCCTCTGTCAAATTCATTCGTTTCGCAGGAAGGCTTGGTTATGGTAGATGATGGTCATGCAGATGGCAAAAGACGCTACTGGTTCCCGTGTGTAAGTACAGTGGATGTGGATTTGGATGACTCTGCGGGTAATACAACATGAAGTACTTACAAAACCAAGCATCTTCCATCACCTAATAAACAACTGACTTGTTAGATTGCGCTTATATTTCTGTACGCATCATCCCTTGCAAGATTCCTTAGTTGGAATGGAAGGGAGCTACCTTGTCATCACTTTGTGGATACCAATGCGCCAAAAAGTTTGTTGGCGTCCAGTGTGTCATGTTGTGTCCTGAGTCGATTGCGAGCATCAAAGAAGAGCAAGAATGTAGCTCTGCTCCACAAAACTTCTGACCTTGGATCAGGTGTGCGAACAACACGCCTGCAGAAATCGTGATTTTCAGTGAGTTATTTGGCGTTCAAGTACTTTCGAGACCAACGTCAGTGCCTGCCCGCAGTTTTTCAGCAGAGTGAATGTACTTTACGATATACGGATTGTGCAATATTTTCCTTCTGTCAGTCTGCAAAGCTGCACTTGGTTTCTCTCAACCGAGAAGAAGAGGGTCGCGTCCTTACTGAGGAACATACACGTGCTCTTTAATAACGGTGAAGCTTGGAGCTCGATGCGGAAGTATAGCACGCACTTGCGCCAAGCGGGACCATTCAGTCGACTGCACGAATTGTGTCGATATCGTGATCGCAGCCCTTCCGTGTACTGAAAGTGGGAACCCTCTTTACTACGGAGCTGAAGTTTGGGATCCTCGATCTCTTAACGAGTGCCATGGACCAACTCTCTCAGCTTTCTCTCAAAGAGGTCGCTCAAGTTGCACAGAGTTTAGCAGCAACAGGCACTTGACTGAAGGTCCGGACAAAACTTGATTCGCAGCATAAGCTTGAACACAGAACCATGCCAATACCAAGAGAGTATCTTCTCAATTTGCCTGAGACATGTTTGGAATTGAACAGAGTCGGAACGCCATATCTTGTAGGAACGAGTCTGGCAAAGAGAACTCCGATTTGTGAATTTCGTCTTGAAGCTGGGGGACAGGCTTGGGAGCAGTTTATCTCAACTCGGTTGGTTTCAATATGGAGTCTTCAACCACCTGCCACCCTGGAAAATTTGACTCAGAGCCTTCTCCGAGTCTCGTCGTGAGCTGGGGGACGCGACGCGACGCGAGCTTTAGACAAGACGTTTTGAAGGTTCGAGGGACGCACATCCGAGTCCTGCAGTGATGTATTCCCAAGAATAGTCGGAAGCAGCCGAATGCTTAGGATGCCATGAACGAGAGATGTGAGAGAGGGAGGAGTAGGAGAGTCTAGCACCGGTTCACTAGCGATGTGTCAGATCGAGGCAATGATTGCGAAGCAACAACGCGCAGAGAAGCGGACAGGACAGCAGCAGAGGCGAAGCACAAGTTTCGGATGCTCTGTTTTTGGCAATTCAAGGCTCTCGTTGCTTCTTTCGTTTGGGGTCCCATAGGGCAGACAGCGGCTTGCACTCGTAGCTGAAGACCAACACTACATTCAGATAGGCTAATGATTATACGACAATCACAGAGCACGAGCAAACACTCCCCTCGTAAAGTTACTCGGGAGCGACTGATTGCTCCCACAAAGACCACCACATGAACCTCCAGCGCTGCACACTTTCTCAGCCCAGTGCAGGCCCGAGAGGAGCTCGTCCATGCATGCTCGTCTCAGAACTCTCCAGGGGCTTCCCTCCCTCTGTACAGAGGGACAGGGAAACACCTGCTTGACAAAGGCTTGGGCATGTCAGAAACTCGAGGACTTGGAAGCGAAGAGAAGTTAGAGCTATCGACAACATCTGCAGCAGAAGTAAGAACAGGGGAGCTTTTCGAACTCATGGTCAGTCCTGAAATAAAGAGCTCGAAGCAGCGAGACATGGTTCTGATGGCCGAGATGAAGTCAACTTGGCAACATGTTCCGTGAAGAGAGTCCTCTCCCAAGGGGAAAATTACTCTCACGCAACAAGAATGGCAAGGGCTCAGTTTCCAGGAACCTGCGAGCGCAATTATTGTTTCGTCGACCTACTTCTCAACATGTGCTGTTGTTCCCTAGTCCAGGAGCAGTCGGCGCTCTCATGCAAGTGTGGCAAGCGCAGTCAAGACGAGCACATGTCAATCTCGCTCGCACCCGATCGTATTTGCACTCGATCGATCAGCAGCAGCAGCAGCAGCCTCGGCAGATTTTGCGCAGTACGAAACAGAAGTGAGGAGCAGGGGGGAAGAACGACGAGGAGAGAGGAGGGAGTGGGAGGGGGAGGGGGACCCAAAGACGGAAGAGGGTAAGAAACCGAAGGGGCTGGGGGGACCTGCAAATGGACAGAAACAGTTAGTACTTTTATTAGCCGAAGATTCCCCTCGATCTTTTATTAGAACGAAGGCGCTACCGTCCCGACTCCAGGAAAGCTGCTGCAGCGGTCAACCCCCGTCTTATATTAGAAATCTGCAAAAGGAGGAGGAGTAGAGACAACAAGTTGCTTCCCAAGGATGGAGAATGAATAAAATCGCAGGATATGGAAGCATTCGACGTCGATGTTCGCCCAGTCGATGTTGACATCCGATTCCGGTTTCAGATGATGATGATGATGATGATGGTGCAGGTGGTAGCGGTGATGATATCCTCATGATTGATTGCATCTGTGGCACGCCTGACTGCAGCTGCCGATTGTTTTACATGCGAGCTGCGAGTGAGCTCGCGAGCTCGACTGTGGGCCGAAAGCAAACCACGGTTATGGTGCAGGGGAGTGGAGAGAAGAGGATTTGCTGCTGTTCTGTGACTTACCGGCAGGAAGAGTAGGAAGAGGAGGAGGAGGAGGAGGAGGAGTAGTAGCAGCAGCAGCTGCAGCAGCAGGAGGGGCAGTAGCACAGCTAGGGACCATGCCCCCTTTGATCGCTTGCAAGGCTTTCACTTTAGTCTGACATTGCAAATAATTCTGTGGATGTGGTGCCCAACAGCTATGACAGATCCTGAAAGCGATGGTGGATGGCTGCCGTGACTACGATCCTTTGACAGCTGCCTCGACAGAAGTGGTACCGGCTGATAAATGACAAATCCATCTCTCATTCACTTCGCCATGCACATCAGCGCCCCGGGCTTGCCATCAGACCTTGGCTTGACCTGCTGCACACAGAACGGGATCAAGCCACTCTCGCAAATCGAATCGGTTGCGTGGGCCATTAAATATGACAAAAGAATGTGTATATAATGAAAAGCGGGGGATGTTCATCCCAGGGCCTCTGTTTCGCCTGGGCTACATCTCAGGCGCGCGCTTTTTTCCCGTCAGTGCTCTTGTCCGCCATGGCGGGCTTGTTCCCTATGCCATATCCTCGCCTTTTTATCCATCATCATTGATGCTTGCTCGAGCGAGAGCTGAGCTCGCTGCTCGCTGCTCGCAGCTTTGCGTCCCCCGAGACACGTTCGTTTGGTGTCCCGAGCAGTTCTACCTTTCGCATTCTCCTCTCCTCTCTCTGCGCCTCGCGTCTCCCATACTCAAGAGCTGCAAGGCTCAGCGAGGGAGGGCTTTGACTCGCCCGCTTCAGATCGACGACCACGGTTCCTCTCGATTCCTGCTGGTCCAGGCTGTGCGCGATTGAGTGAGGCAGGGGGGCTCATGAGGATTAGGCCCAGAAACGTCCCCGGAAGTTGGAACGAACTTTACCTCCTCACCTCACTGACAGACAGCCAGTGCAGCCTTCGAAAATCCTCCAGCCTCGAGTGCAGCATTATGCATTTCCAGGTACGTGAGAGAGCGAGCGAGTGAGTTGTCAACCAGTCCTGGCTATGAATGCTGCCGACATGAGGCTACAAAATATCCCTGGAAGCTGGAGTGGACTCCATGGCGGACGAGCGCAGTCGTTCGTAACCATCGGAAATCCCTCCGGATCGGTCAGGTGTCGCCTCTCGGTTAGATGGCCAGAAACAAATTCGGCCGTCATGGAGTGCGATCTACGTCAGGAGAGGGTATAAGTGTCTCTGAGATGGAGGGCATGCGAGGGCAACGATATAGGAAGGGAAGGAAGTATCGTAGACGGACTACTCCGAGGGGCCATAGCTGTATAATACTTCTACTGCTGCTACTACTTCTACTAATACTACTCAGGAGCAGTCGCCACGATGAGTCCAACTCAGCTCAGCTCGAGCTCGAGCTCCGGGCGGGCAAGTGGCACTGGCCACCGATTTGACGACGTCCATGATGTTGTCGCGACCGGACCAGATTCTGTCTGCCATCTGCCAGTTCGCACTCGAGAGCCATCGACATTCGTTGACCTGCAAACGCATATCGGAACGTCATCTCCTGGCCTGTCACTTCGACGACTGGAGTTTCACGAAGAAGAAGAACAACAACAACACGCATATGATAATTATACTCATGATGATCTCGGAAGAGATCCTATCCTCATTGAATCTTATGCCTAGCATCCTCCCGGGGTTAGACCTGCCTGCACCCGATGATGGAAATTCAAGCAGACCTGCCGTCTACTGCCCCACTCCCTGAAATAGAACGTGGTCTAAATGCAAGACTCGAAAATACGATAAGTTCAGTCCTCAGACGAGTGATGACTGACAACAGCACGCAGCTGAGCAGCGGGAACCACCGGGCCATGCATGACTGGACTTCACAGGCAACACACGAAGCAAGTCACAATGCTCGAGCGTGTACCTGATTCGCTGCGCATCTCCCCCTTCCTGTACCGTCTCATCATCTGCACGGGACGGGACTATACCTCCAGCAGCAGCCGAATCAAGCGCACCCACCAGCAGCTCAGCTGCGCATCTGCAAACCCACGGTCCACAGACCTTCCAGCAAGAGCTCGACAAATTCATAACAAAAAACACCTCGAGGTTCAAGCTCCATGAACAGAATGCAGCAGTTGCTCCAAATACAGAACGAACGAATTCATAAAACAGACTGACGGGACCGCCCCATTCACACAACGAGAGCATGCGCCATTGGACCGATGAGACTCTACCAGACCATCATCGTGCACAGAAAAGCATATACGATAGAGAAGGGATGCAGTGAGTGACAGCGCAATGTACACACAGAGAGAGAGAGAGAGAGAGAGAGAGAGAGAGAGAGAGAGAGAGAGAGAGAGAGAGAGAGAGAGAGAGAGAGAGAGAGAGAGAGAGAGAGAGAGAGAGAGAGAGAGAGAGAGAGAGAGAGAAGCGCAGTCGGTCAGTGGCTCGGCAAGTCGAAGGCAGAAGAAAGTCGAGAAACGAATAATCGGTATCTGAATTTGTATATATTTACACTCATGTACACTTGGAACGGTGTCGTGTGTGAGTGATCACGGGTAAAATTGCGCTGAGGTTTCTAATCGACCCAGCTGTACGCGACCAATACTACCCTCGAAATTTACAGTATGGCATAACTGAAGTGAACTCTCAACTATAAACTAAATTGAACTGAACTGAACTGAACTGAATTTTGTACATCCCCCCTCCCACAAGCTCGAACACCTGGAGTCGACGGCCAATTTCTACCGTCGCACCATCTCTGAACCGAATACATTCATTCCATCCTATCTGTGATATCTATGAAATCTATGAAATTCTATAATCTATCGATCGATGTATCTACAATCGGGGGCGGGTGTCGATGAGGACGGGCGGACAGAGCGCAAGGAGTCGGGGTGGGGGTGGAAGAACCTGGAGCTGGTGTGATTATGGTACAGAGGGAGGGATCAGACGGCGGCCTGGGATGGCACGAGGTGATGGTGATGGTGGTGGTGGTGATGGCTGCTGCGGTCGCTGGGCTCGTTGGCAGCAGCGATGGACTCGAATTCGGGGTCCTTCTCGAGGCGGGCCATGTGGTCGGCGCGCATGTGCACCGAGGCATTGAGGTTGCCGAAGCCGAGAGGGCTGGGCAGGAGGATGACGAAGTTGGCGATGCCGTCGGGGATGGTGGCGTAGCCAGCATGCTGCGGGCGGCCCCAGCCGAAATCGACCTCGTAGAGGCCGAGGTAGATGCAGCTGCTGGCGATGACGACCTTGTCCGTGAACACATTGAAGTTGGGCATGACAGTGGCGCCACGGTGCGTTTCAACGAAGTCGATGAGCGAGCGGAAGTTCTGGTCCGTGGCCGTGCGCGCGATGGCCTGCTGGATGCGCGAGGCCGCGGTGGCCAGCGGGCTCTGCACGAGCTCGCGCATCGAGCATTGCGCGCTGGCGATGGCGATCAGGTTCCCGAAGTACTCGGCTGGCACCGGCGGGCTGCTCAGGCGCTTGCGCCCGTCCACTGACATGATCAATCGCCCCGATGCGCCCTCGTCCTCCGCGAACCCATTGGCCTTCATCATCAGCCGCCATAGATATGCGCTCGTGCACTCCGTCGAGGTAAAGCTCGCCCCGCGCCCTTCGTCCGACGCTGTGCGCTTGAGGTCGCGCACCGCCGCCTGATCGAAGTGGAATGTTCGCGCCACGATCGGCGATTGCGCCTCGGCGCTTGCTGGCCCTCGAGGAGTGCGCTTCTCGTTCTTGGGCTTCACTTTGTACTCGACGCTGTGATCCACCGTCGCCTCGGCGGGGCTCCTCGCCTGCAGCAGCGCCCGCCAGTGGTATGGCAGCCTCCCGATCGCCTGCCCTCTCATGTTCTGCGACCACGCCTTCAGAAACATGTTGCCCGCGTGCGCGTCCACCATCTGGTGGTGGAAGCTGCAGCCCACGATGACTCCCCCGCATTTGAACCTCGTAATCTGCACGCACATTCGAGCCCCTTCTGTCAATCTCGGCTTCCAGCCACCACCACGAGCAAACAAACAAACAAACAAAATCGAAGCCAGAGAAATTCGAGACCGAAAATTCTCGAGAAACTATCGACAAATTATCGACAAATTATGGACGAATTCTGGAGGAATTTACCTGAATGGAGACGGGGGGGAGGGAGCCATCTTCGGCGGTGAAGATGGTCGGGGGAGCGAGCTTCTTGCCGAGGATTGGGCCAGGCTGGTGGTAATCGAGCTCGTCGAGATCGCAGTCAGCGTGGGCTTCGGCGAATTCGGCCCCGGTGCCATCGCAGTGGACTTGGTAGATGCCCTGCTCGGGGTTGCGCATGCGCCCGGCCAGAGGGTAGTAGGGGACGAGGACCTCGGACAGCGTGCGCTTGAGCGAGGCGACGACATCGCCGAACGCTCTGCCCTTGGTGGACTCGTAGACGAAGTAGGCGTGCTCGTAGACCGACGGCATCAGGCGGTCCATGTTCGACAGCGGGAACCAGTGCTCCTCCACTTGCAGCGCCGGCTTCACGTGACACGCCCCCGTCCTTGTGATCGTCACCTCCTCCGGCGGCCTGATGCTCCTCGGCCCCGTGTATTGCTGGCTGTAAGTGGCAGCTGTCGCTGCAGAGTACGTCCTCCGGTTCTGCATTGAACAACCATATCCACAATCCACCCCATCAGCACTCGCAATTCTCACATCAATTCCCTCTCCAATTCCCCAACCCAATTCCCGAAACCAATTCTCGAAAACAATTCTCCAAACCAATTCCAGAAACAAATTCTCGAAACCAATTCTCGAGACTAATTCGAGGGACGAATTGTGAAGGGAGTACTGACCTTGACTTGGGGGAGATTCAGACTCGGGTCGAGGCCCATGGGCTGGGCGGGGGAGACGTCGGTGGGGGCTTTGAGATCGGAAGGGGAGGCGCCGGGGAGGACGCTGCGAGCGGGAGAGTGGTAGGCTCGCGAGGAGGAGGAGGAGGAGGAGGAGGAGGCGAATTGGCGAGGCTGGCGGAGGGCGCACGAGTGGAAGAGCGAGTCGAAGTCATGGAGCAGAGCAGGATTGCCTTTCAGCTGCAGGGTCGGCGAGCACGAGTGCACGGGGCTGCGCAGGAACGACTTGAGAATACTCTGGCACCGACGAGCGTAAGCCGCCATCGTGGTCGGTCGGTCGGTCGGGTGGACGGACGGACGGGACGGGACGGACGGACAGACGTGCGATCGCTCGGTGCCTGCGCTACCCGTCGAACTACGCTGCTGAGAGGCCCGTCGTGAAAACGCAGCCGCGAGCTCAAGCGCTCATCCTGTCACTCGGGGCTCGATCTGATCCCTCGGGGGCTGCAGTGGAGTGGACTCGGGGGCTGCTGCACGCTGAGAGCCTCGGATCTGGGCTTGGGGCAGCGAGCGGCAGTCACACGAGATTTGCCGAGTTCTGTTGGAAGAGTGTTCGAGGACTGGGGGCCAGAGACTGACGAGACGAGACGAGACGAGACGAGCTGAGCTGAGGGGTGGGGGGAGAGAGAGGGAGAGAAGGGAGAAATGTCGTTAGAGCTCAGGTGGATTGGATGGTGTTGGGAGCTGAGTTTTATACTACAGCAGAATCGGGGACGACTTTAAGAGCTCGGCCGAGCTGGAGTGTTTCCTGGGCAGGCACATCTATCCGCTTAGGGGGAGGAAGACGTAGCTTGTCGCCCATGTTGCGAGGAGCCCATGAGAAGGCTGACGTCAGGTCCATTCCTGCGCAGGACATGTTAATAGTAGACTGCATGTCCGCAGATCTTAGCCCTCGAGCCCACTTCCCCCTCCCCCTCTTACTTTACTTTACCCCCGCGCGCGTTCCGGCTCCTGCTCCCCCGGGGGCCCCGCCTCGAGGGCGGAGGCTGGAGGTGGTCGAGCATTCATTCGAGGCAGGAATGTTGAGCCGTCCTTCTACTTCTCGTGCGACCCCCCGAGGGAGAGAGAGAGAGAGAGAGAGAGAGAGAGAGAGCTCTGGGGCTGCGGTCTGAGGGCTGGGGCTGGGGCTGGTGCTAGGGGCTGGGGGCTGGGGCTGTGGGGCGATACTCGCAACGTTCTCGGGAATACTGGATACTACAAAGCGGATTCCGGGTCCCTGCCGGGCCAATGAAGCACTCAAAGGCCTTCAGGTTTCCAGTTTTCACTTGGAGATGGGCTTAGGAGGCGTGCTCCTGACTCCCGAGGAACCGGCAAGGCAAGGAAGGCAACCGGACGAAGAGGTCAGTGGAGTCGCAGTTCGAACGGCGGACCGGTCGCCAGAATGGGCACGCATGGGGCGGTGGAGGGAGTGGGGAGGGCTGGAGGCGACCGGCGCAAAGGCGCGGGCGCAAGGGGCTTGGGGCTCCGGCTGCTGGTGTCGGCGAATCTCGACCGTAGTGGCAGCAACAGAGAAATCTGTCGCATGGGCCATGCAAGTTCACTCGAGCCTGGAGGACCGGATCCTACCCTAGGCCAGGACCGCGGCACCACTAGAATACGTGCTCGGGGGCCAGGGGGCTGCGTTCTCGAAGTGTCTCGGGGCGAGCAACGCCGTGGACAGTGCGAGGGCGAGTGCGAGAGAGTGCTTGTAAAAGGGAGGAACCGTTCACATGCCATTGGTCTTCATTTTGTCAACGTCGCTGGTCCCGTAGCCGGTCTACGAGGTGTGCCATTCCCCTCCCTCAAGCGCTTGCGACAAGAAGCCCCTCGAAGGACGACCAAGTTGCCAGCGGCGTCAATTTGAGGGGCACGGCCAAACCGCGCGCGACCGGGGGGAATGACGAGGCTTTTGATGCCGGCTCGCCGAAGAACAGTAGACGACAATGATTGGAACGAGGGCTTGACAGGCTCCGTGTGTCGCCTGTGTCCGGCAAGAGACAAAAGGACGGACGGACGGACGAACAAACGAACGAACGAACAGACGGACGGACGGACGGAAGGGCCCCACACCGTTCATGGTTTCGATAGGCGCCAGTTTGGCTCAACGGCCCGCTCGTTTTTTTTTTTTTTTTTTGACTTCGCAACGTTCTCCGCCTCCTTTCGACACACACCGATGAGCGACCCAACGTACCGTGCTCCCCCCTCTACCCCCAGCCCCCCGGGGGCTGCAGTTCCGCTCGGGCAGCGAATGGGGTAAGAGCATGCGGGAGATTGCGAGGCCCCGCGCGTCGGGGGGCCTCTCCTCTCCTCGTGGACTCGAGGCCCCTGGGGCCCGGGAGGGGAAAGGCGAGCCCCTCAGGATGCGGAAAGGGGGCAGGATCCGACCGCGCGGGGTTGGGGCTGCTGCAAGCTTCGGCTTGTTGACCCAGGGGGGCACCGGGTGGGGGACGGGGGACGGGGGACGGTGGACGGAGCAGCATTTCGTGCCTGGAGCACCACGTGCCCAGCTACTCCGGCTTGGAGCACGCAGCTGCGACTGCGGAGCTCGAAGAATCTCCATAGCGTCGAGCAGCTTGCACATTTGATCACAGTGTTGTTGCTGCTGCTGCTGCTGCTCTCTCTCTCTCTCTCTCTCTCTCTCTCTCGTCCGTCGACCGTCGGCCCATTCGGTCGCGCTCCCAGGCTGTGAAGTGAAGCACGGAGGACGGGGCGGGGGCCGAGGACGGCAGGTCGATGCGAGGCCCGTCGGCCGAGGATCGGCTGCGGTCGACATGACATGAAATGACAAGCCTCTCGCACGGACTGCGCACGGGGTTCGGAGTCCGGGGAGGTTGGGTTGGGCGGAGGACATGAGATCGGAAGGGAGCAGCTGCAGGGCTTGAGAACGGTGGTGGGCGGTAATGGCGTTCGGGCCGAGGTCGTGAGAAGAATGATTATGCTGTGCTGTGCATGCACTTGCGAAGTCGGAGGTCTCGAACACCAACCCCGCCACAAAAGTATCGCAAGCGGACAGACAGACACACACGAGCCACACAGAAGCATCGCGAATGGGGACTACCACTACCTCCACCACTGCCTCTCCTACTCCTACAGTCGCCCCGTATCATTGATCGCCGCTGCCGTTTGTCCCGGCCGCTTAAAGTTCACAACGCGCACTGTTCTCTACGGATGCCCTTCGATCCGCCTCGCTGTAGGGTGGGGCTGCGCTAGCCCCCTTCCCCTCGCTCGCTCGCTCCAGCTAAACATCGCAATCTAGTCCGCGACGGACCGGTGTCTCTTTTCTTCTGGACGCCTCTCGCACACAGACTACGTTACGGCTGGGGTTCCACGAAAGTGGGGAGGTGGTTATTGGATCTTGCGACTAGAATCTAGCATCGCTCTCGTCGCAGGTCAATTTTGTCAAACGGAGTTGGACCAAGCTATGTAGACAAACGAACAATGGGCGAGAATCTGATCATCCCTCTGGCACCTTTTCCTTTGATAATTCTTCAATAGATCAAATCTCTCGCCACTGTTTTCGCAGTACAAGTGTTTCAGCCCCAGCCCGTTTTCCCAGACACTAACAGCTCCGGGCCCTTCGCGTCTATGTCTGAGATTGGATTTGATCCGTCAGTAAGGCTACCCCGATCCCCCGAATTTTCCCCCCCTCTCCTCCTTCCCTAGCCCCTATCCCCTCACCTCTTCGCAGCCTCTCCGACACTCCACGCTGTGAGTTTATCATGGGCTCACCTCTCTCTCTCTCATGAACAAAATATGTTATTGTACAGTCTTCGAAGCTCTCTCTCTCTCTCTCTCTCTCTCTCTCTCATCATTTTTCGATCGTACTTCACTAAACTTTAACTTCGAACCATAATGCTGTACAATTGTCGAATTATAAATCTCGGGGAATGTACGATCACCATTGTGGGGCCGAGTCCAGGAGCGAAGAGTTACCAGTCGTAACAAGTAACGCTTGCTTGCGTCGTAATAAGGAGACTGGACAGGGCGTAAACCCTGAGGCAGATTCTATTAAAGGATGAGCTGCGTGGATTCATAATGAGGACAATGAGGGCTGGGGTCTCAAGGAGACAGGCACAGCTTTAGAGTTGAAGGCGACTCGACTCGCTCGGACTTCACTCTGTCCCCGAGCTTGGGGCCCGAGAGCGGAAGATTAGAACGAGTCAGGGGCGCTGATGATACGCCGAGCGACGGGTGACAGAGTTCTGCACCCTTCTCTCGGAAGAATCTTACCCCCGCCTGGACCGGACGCCATAAAGTGGACGCCCGAGCTGAGAAACGGGATGGGGATCTAAGAATGTGCACAGCCGGCGTGATTTGCTCTGGGCGATTCTCTCGCCCACAGGGGCCATGGTGGGGACTCTGCAGCGGGGACGAGGTAGCGTCTGAGATCGGTCGCAGCCCTGCATCCCAGACACTCTGAGATCGAATGAGCATAGAACGGACTGTTCGCAGAGAACTCTCGCTTCCGCGATTGATGCTGTCAAGCGAGTGCCCCGACCGAGAAGCGCGTAGCTTGTCTGAAACTTTCTCAAGTCGCGGGGCGAGGCGAAGGAAAACTGTATGAAACTCACGCAATCGATGCACAAGTTGTCAGGCCCGGGCGTTTTCAGAGCCGGTTTGTGTGAGAGAGAGAAAGAGAGAGAGAGAGAGAGAGAGTGAGAGAGAGAGAGTGTGTGAGTGTGAGTGTAAGAGAGGAGACAGGAGAGGTGACAGGGCTGCAGCCAATTGGCAGCTGAAGCGCAGTAACGTTTGCACAAGAGATGGTCGTTACAAAAGTGGAGAGAGGAGAAGCAGGGGGGGGAGAGAGGAGGGCGCATGGGCAGAACATGGACTTGGAGTGTATAAAGACAGATTTCACGCTGCTGGCAGCAGTGAGTCAGAGGGAATAAGAAGTCAATCATGTCATGTGCATCTTGAGTTGTACTTATGAGGGACAAGGCTTCATGCACGCGCAGCTCTCTGAGTACTCTCTGAAGTGTGGATGGAGTACCGTGTGCTTGTTGTTGTCCCGAACACCCACCTGACCATCATCAACTTGGACTACCGGAAGTTGGGCCGTAGAAGCCCACCTGACCAGCATCAACTTGGGAGCTGGAAGTTGGACACCAACACGAATGCCACCACGTCCCTTGACTTCTCTGGAGACATCATTCGTTTCTTTGACTTCCAGAATCTCTCATGGGTGGGGAGGGGGCTTCTCATGGCGAGTTTTGCACCTTTTCTCCATCGATCGCAACTTCTCACCCTCCCTCCTCCATCCCCCTTTTCGACATGGTCCCAGAATCACCTTTGTAGCCTAGGGATTAGAAAACTTGCGGTTGAGTGTAACCGGCCTTTTGTTGGGCATTTCTGGTCGTTTACACAATGATATGATCATAGCTCCTGCATAGACCACCTCCTCCGGAAGGCCAACTAAAAGTCGTTTACTGGCTCTATTTATGTCAGAAGTGTTTTTTGTTTTCCAGCAGACCAAATCATTATCTACCCTCTAGCAAAATGAGAACCATTCCGGCTTTCGTTTCGATTCACGAATCTTTCCCAGTGGATTCCTATTTTCATCATTCGCTTATGAGCAGCAGCAGCAGCCCCCACATACAAGCCGAGTACTCTCCTCCGACCTTCTTCGCTCTCTTCCGCACTCGAGAACAGCTTTATCATGCCTTGGGAACCGAGTCGATATTAATTTCAAACAAATGGGACGTCGGAATGGAATTCCTATTATCTGCACACTGAGACAATAGCTTCTGTCTAGATCATCAAAGAATGTCATGCAGATAGAAAGTATACTAATGTCGCTCCGCTTTTTGTCAGAAGCTATAGTGATCTTCCAACATACCAAATCAATCCCTTATTAGAGTTCAGAGGTGCCGTTCTAATGACTGTCAACTTGTCGATGGAACGAACCGCAAGGAGCTCTTGCGCCATCCGTCATCCGTTTTCATCCACTGGCGTCCAGTCGTAACCCCACTGTACTGAATGTTTCTTCTTCTTTTGTGGCATATCGAACGCTCATAAAGCACGCATGGGGGACTACGGACAAGTGTGCGTTTCTCAATGGCTTAAATGCCTTCTGGACATGTCTGGGAAACGGGAGTCAAGAAACATTGTTTTTTGCACTTGTAAGAAAAGCGACGTATTTATTTTACTGGTCAGCGAGAAGTGTGTCTATTCTCGCCCGAGGTAGCCTGCTTTATGATGAAGCAAGGCTGGTGAATGAATGAATACAGCACACCAAGTAACACATCTTACAGACATTCTATAGCTCGCAGAGCAAGGCAATAAATTTCCTTCGGAGGAGAAAACTGACGAGAGCTGGGAGCATGACTGATGGGCTTCTTATCTATTCTAAATGAGACAATAGTTAGGATCAGTTTGACTCTTCTGCAAAAGCAGAGCACAAGGATTGAAATGCCCTTCTTTTGACTAAGGCATCCAAATGTAGGTCCTTTTGCAGATTCCACACCCTCAGCCAGCCCACATTGTGCAACATCGCAGTGACCAATGCTAATAGTGGCACGTGCTTCTCATAAATATCAAAGGCAATGAGGTTTTAAGATCTTGCAATCACATGCCTGCATTAACGACTATCGCATAGAAACAAGAATTTGGAAGGCCCAGTTCGTGTCATATTCAAATACGTTCTGTGATGCATGCGGCATATATCACAGAACATCATAGGCATCATATATCATTAGGCATATAATATGCCTAATGATCGAGAACCTGATGATTGGAGCCATGTTTTCCTCCGGTGTACAGTAGAGTTTCGATGGATACGTATGTGCAAGGAATAGCCAAGACAATCGATCGGGTTATCGAGGAGATGTTGGCCATGCAACTTCAAGCAACCTCCACTTTACCTTCACTACGTCCTCATGAAAAATTCCATTCTTGATTAAGAGCACATGTGACATATGCTCATGTATGGGACATATAATATGTCCCATACATCCCCTTACCGGGCCCAAACTGATGACTTCAACGTTGCAACATGCATCGTGCTCGAAGTCTAAATGCTACTCGCTGTGGTTCCCAACCTTCATGGATATGTTTCTAGCCTTAGAAAAAACAGACAGTCTGTTTTCATCCAGCAAATAATAGTCAGGAGAGAAAAGGACATCGAAGAACACCGTGAACTGAAATTACAAGGTTTTAAGATGGAAGAAATGAGTCCCAGATCCCTTACTCGTGTTCTTGAAATGTACACCGAATTATCAATATGATGTTGGGATCATGAGGTGATAATGCATCCTCACCATCAGAGAATGAAACACACAGATGAACGATATATAACGCATGATCATGATTGACAAGTTAATGTTGACTAAGAGTTGCTGCACGAATCGAGCTCCTGAACAAAACCTTCAAGCATTTGTAGCTTACCACGACTTTTGACTAGAGCGGAGTATGACTTGATCACTCCCTCCCAAAACAGATAACAACTCCCCTGGAAGAAGACGCAGAAGAAATTGCAGAGAATTGAGACTTGGCACGGTGACGAAGGCATGAAACGGGCCACCAAGCGCTTGGCGTTGCACTCTGGCAGACTTTCGTGCATTTGACTGGCTACCGTGCCGAAATCCAAAACAGCTCGGGGTCTACCCTAGCCATGATTCAAGCGTCTTGCTGATTAGCTGAGGCAAAGGAAACCGCACACCCTCCAGTGTTTGTACCCAGGTAAGTCTTTTAGCGAACCACTGTGCACAAGGCAGCAGGCAAGACTTTTTACAATAATGAACCGCAGGTGAAATGTAAAAGTTCAAAGTTGCAAACGTGAACTTGATGAGGCAATTGCTACTTTACAGTCAAAGTAGACTGAGGAGACCGCGAGACTTTACTGCTGTCCGGTCACAGCTGAGTCCCGACAATATTCTGCGAATGACCAGCTGCCTGATGGCACTCGAACGGAAAAAGTATCGAATTTAAGATAGCCAGGACTCAGGAAGAGAAGGCCAAAGTAAGCATGGGCGCTCTGAAATCGTAAAGGAACTCTAGTAGTCATTACTTGCAGATCAAGGTACGGGAGAGCAAGGGAGCTGACTGATGGCTTCCGACTAGAACTGCAAAGTGAGGCGTTCTCAACTGTAGCAGCTCTGCTGGTCTCCTCTGGTTCGCCATCATCCCTTGCTCCTCCGATTGACGTTACTACCATGAGGTCTGGACTGGCAAGACTGTTGATCCTGGCTGTGTGAGCGTGACTGTCACATTGTCTCCTCGTGACCATGCAAAGATTGTGACGCCACCCATGTATGTCAGCGCAGGCTTCCTGGACATTTTCAGCTGTACTGGTACTGTCTCGTCATGTATTTGGTGTGCCCTAGAGAGCATTTATAGTTCATGCCATTCCTCGCTCCAACTACTATCTTATAATGGAGCGAAGAGACATGTATGGGGAAAAGCTGATTATTATGTACGCACTGGTCAGATGTGCCAACTGCACTTCGGAAAGACGTGATATCTTTGTAATAGATCGAGTCCCGGAGTTCAAATCTCCTCGCGTCGATATGTTTCCGGACACCCAAATATTTAGGTTGGAAGAAACAAGAGGAAAAATAGTGGAATAATATCCTGCAGGCAAACCTGATTGTGGTTGTGAAAATGGGATTTGAGACAATCCAAACTTAGCAAGACACTTCAATTTTTCTAGGAAGCCAGCGGGAAATATTTCGCTCACCGACCCCATTAGATTCAACACAGTTAAAACTTTCGCGCATGGATGTTCCAGTGAATCCTCTTTTGAGCTCACTCGAATTGGTCTTACAAGTTGCACGCTTCTCCGTGTTGTCGGTACTATGCCAGAATTGTCGTACAGAGAAAGTCGATCGAAACTTCTGTGTGAAGGGGATAGGGGGGGCCAAGTTCTGTGTGTAACTTTTTCATATATGAAACACCTATGGAAAGTAGTAAAATCCTACTCCTATATTTCATCGTGCACTTCGAAGATCTCGATTGCACGAACACGAGTACATACTTAGTATCACGAAAGAGCAGGAGAATCCTAAGATGACTGATCTCTTCAGGCTATAACTATCATAAGAAACTGCACGACATGTCACACGCTAGCCCGTAACAGTGATCGGGATATGCAGACCTTACACACCAGATTTTTAGTCTAAATCCCACATGCGTGAGATCCTGTGACTAGATATTCCATACTTTTGCCTCTGCATGCTCCTATTCACCAGTTATTCTCTCTAGTTTACCGTTACGAAATATTCGTAACGCAACTCACGAGTTGGTTCTGAGGCGGATTCATCAAACTATGGCTTGGCCTACATATTAGTCGATGCTCATATGCTACACAGTTTCTTTTGTGGAACCCATGTTGCATACCGAAAAATTCGTTAAAATCAATCATTGAACACATGACAAATATTCCATGTATTGCTACATTGGATCTCCTCTCAAGTGCTTGTGAATGTCATTTGACTTGGCGCTGGAGATCTTTCCTGGAATCAGAAGTCAAGCTATGGCTTGCATGGCTATAATGAACTCGTGCGAGCAGCATGCCATAGAATTCCTTCTTTAAATCCTTCTCGTCCATCAAGTGCATGTTGCGATAGATTCGAAGACTTCTCAAAATGAACATGGCTTGTGAGATTTTACTCACCTTCATGTTATGAGATTGGATCAGAAGGATCGGATGTTGGACTAAGTTTTATCTGATCTCGTGTGTTCACAAAAGAAATCCATATCCAGCTCCCCAGTTGCTTGAGCATCATGTTGGTTTGCTTCCAGAGGTCTCCTGCATATGGAAAATCTTTCGTCACACGCTCTTCCTTCTTCATACTCATAAAATATATATGCGAAAGTAATTTATATGCAAAGTGTATATCGATACTGTCCACAGCTAGCCTCTTAAATTTTAGAGAGTGAAGTCTGTTCGACACGTATCGTCAAGTCTTTTATCTCCACTCTTTATGGTTTGTCACACCCTCCCTCAGTCTTTACCTAGGAAAACAACGATAAGCAAGTGCCTCATCCTTGTCCTCTTCACTCTTGACAGCCGAACATCTTGGCGCGAGGCCTCGAAGAGCGAGGTAGCCTTCTCAACAAGGTAATGCTGGAATCTGACTCTTAAATATCTTCTCAAAACCTCGGACCTAAATCTTGTTCGATTAAATTAAAGGTCTGCCTCCCATGAGTCAACAAGCGAACTCCTAAACTCCCTGGTAACTCGATGTATATAATACTCTGTAAAGACATTCTCTTGTAGGTCAGATTAAGTGTAAGTATTTTAAGTGACAAGACTGGATTAGGGGTTACAGCTATAGATATCAATATTCTACAAACGCTATGGTATAAAAAACAATGTATTTCGGTATCAACTTCTTATTAATAAATATAATATCAACCATAAAATAATGAGTGTTGGAATATAATATTAGAACAAATTTGGTACGTCGTGCTGTGACCACCTCATGCAGAGAGGAGTTTGTTGTGCAAAGAGGCTAATTGGCAAATTATTGTTTTGAGTCAAAAGTTTCAATACAGTTATCAAAAAGAAACGTACAGAGCGTCTTCATCGTTAACGATAACACAAACAGAAAATTACCTTCAAAGAGAAGAATGGAGTAAATCAAATGGCCAACATAATTCCAGAGAGCAAACAAAATATAAGTTGTGGAGACAATATAAATTAATATTTAACTATCGAGGAAGAAGGGATGAGTATGAATCATCACTATGAACGCACTTCCTCGTTCACATGTAGCATGTACATGTTCAGAACAGTATCGTATCCATGCACTGGATATCGGAAGAATATTGTTTTCGTCTCTCGATCTTTATAATGACGTGTATTAATTTAGGCTAATCACTCAGTGGTTAGAGCACATGTGAAATTTGCTACGCATCTTCCAAATATCATGGAAGGCTCGAGGTGTAATTCGAAGGATTACATCAGCCACTCGTCACGAGAAGTCGTGACGAGGTTATCAAATACTATAAAAAACCAATAAAACGGTCGGTCCGTGAAGCTCATCCTGTTTTTTATCCCCAGATGACTGTGCGCCCCTGGCAGCAGAACTGTCTCGGCGTATGTCTACCGACAAGCAGTCCGCCGACACAGGGAGGCAAGGAGGCAATCAGGCAGGGGCGAGTAGAGGGAGGAAGAGTTTGGGCAAAGTACATTTGAGGTTTAGCCAACAAGACTTATCACATGACTGACAGAAGCATCAGATGGCAACATTTGATATTGAACATACAGTGGATGTGTCCGCTTTGTGAAAGTGAACCCAACTAAATACAAGATGTAGCTGCACCAGGAAACCAGAGGAACCAAGACCCCGGCAACTGAAATAGTAATCAAATCACTGCAATGTCAAGTGCGGATGGCGTGGATGTAATCATGCTCCTACTGTACGGGGCAGTCCAGCGTGACCACTACAGATCGTCACGCGGGATAAAGCAAAGTTTGGTAGAAAGTAGAGAGAAAAATTCCATAAGGGAAGAGGAGAGGGACAGACAGACATAGGCATCCATCCGGTCCAACATGGAGTTATGGAGATTATATATCTGAGTTGTAAAAGCGAATCCCTAGCAAAATCTGAGCCATACCATGCCATGCGAGAAGAGCAGGGGCGTTGCTTTTGCCCACTGTTATGATCCGGAGGACGCAAATCAGACTTGGCATGGCACGTGGGGTTCGGATATCGACGTTCCCCGGACCGCGCGTTGCCTCTGAAAGGATCGGCGCTCTCGGGTCGAATCCACTGGAAAAACCGGATTCGTGCAGGAGAGCTACAGAGAACTGCAAGAGAAAAGGTGTTATAACAGTTCGTGCTCTTTCTTGTGGGTTTCGACTCGAGACATCTGCGTATCAAACTTCTGGAGAATCCGACTCGATAGGCACATTCAACTTTTGAGAGGTGAGATGGGGGAGGGTCTAATGATGGTGCTCGTGACATGGCATACGACATCGAATTTTCGTTGGATTCATTTCGCTGCGTACCGATTGGTTGCGGTGCCCAGATATGATGCCAAGAGTTCATCACTGGGTGGCAAGTCTCGAGCAGGTCTGGGACGGACGGTAGAGGGATCTTAAGCTCGAGACAAATATAGTCGAAGTGAAGCAAAGTGAAGTTCAAGTCGCAGCAGCCAAGGAAGCAGTGGCTCATCTTTTGCAATTGTCATACCGCGTGCTTTCATATCTCCGCAGCCGCTGGAGCCGCCGCAACAGTCGGTCTCAAACAGCAAACCAATGGCACGCCTCTTCTCTGCCTCCTCCTCTCCCCCCCTCCCTTCTTCTCGTATTTCCAACCGACCATCCATAGTTTTCGAGAACAGCGCGCGTGCCATCTTACCAGGGCCAGGTAACTATTATTCTACTTGGTCTTCGTCGTCCATCGTCTCTCAATATCCCATTCCTTTTGGCTCGGTCCTGTACGTTAGATCCAATACGTGCTTCAGAAAATTCGTCCACTCCGCAGTTCCGACTTTGGTATCGGCGCGTCCAGAAGTTGGGTCTTAACAACAACCAGAGTGGCAGTCTAGAACGAAGGCCTATTTCCATGCACTTTCCTGACTCGGATGGGTCAAAAGACTTCCTGTGGTGAAAGCTCAGAAATTTAGCACCAATCGTCTAACAGCAGAAAGTAGTCAATTATTCAGGTTGACAATCGGCTTCACCATCAGTTGAGTGTGTAAGAATATGGATCCGCATATTTTTTTCCTTTTAGTTGAGTGTGTAAGAGTGTGGATCCGCATTATGTTGACGTCAACGTCTCGAAGATCAGTCACAGTGAAAGTAAAAGTGAGTCACAGTGATCAGTTACTGTGGAGTCACAGCGCTAACTTACTGTAGAGTCAAAAGTCTTCGACTGAGGCGTCTACTTAGCTGAAACACCTATAACATTTGTGGACTCCAGACAAGCGCCTGTCCTCCTCTGACCAAACACAGCACCAAATATGTACGAGCTCGTACTGAGATCCATTCCAAAGGATTCAAAGGAGCATGTCGATATTCTCGTTGACATATGGTGTCCAAAATTGTTTTGTTAAGGAATCGATGTGTACACGCAAATACATGCGAATGTTATGCATAAGCATGCAGAAAGCAAAATATATAAATATATATATCTAAATGAACGGACTAGGTAGCTGATTATAGTAAGTATATGATGTTTGGTCATCCAGTTCCTTGTAATATGGACACCGTTTTACAAAAACAAACAAACGTACGAATTGTACATGGATCCACGAAAGCTTATACCTTGGTTACCGGATTTGGATTCGCTAGAAACACCGGGATTTGATTGAACAGGCTTTGCTGATTGCATATAGAAACGATGGCTGATTCCTTGCAAGTTCTTTTTCTGCCACTCCCATACCTAGTACGTGGGCTAACGAACAAATTCCCTGATCTAAACCCGAGGGCCTGAGGGTGGTCTACGAGCAACTGTACGGAGAAACCGCGTGGAAACAGATGCTGCTGCTGCTGCTGATGGCCGGAATATTCAAACATATGTTCATGCTACCCAACAACAAAATTTACCTGGATAATCTTACCGCCGATCGGTTTTACAACCCCCGTCGTGAGAGCAACGCGAGGCAGCAGAGACTTTTCGAGCCTAGGGTCCATCAAGGAAGAGGTTAGAGGTAAGAAATGGTAAAACTCGGACCGGTTGCAAACCGACGACTTGAGCCATTCATTGATTGATCCATGGGCTTTATCGTGCAGGACGAGTAAGCAGGCAGCGGAATCATGAGGGACGAGGTGTGGGGAGCAGGAAAACATTCAGTTGAACGACTAGTGTTGGGCTTGTGCTACACAATCGCGAATGCTCGAACTGACCTATAGGGAATGTGTGTACCACCTGATCGCAACCCTTTTCAGCGAGAGTTCGATCACACTGACCTATGAGACTGATGTCTAGCACCTGAAAAAAGCAACCCCCCTCGCCATCGCAAGCAAGCGCGAGGGGACCTGGCGGATAAAGCAGTCAGACGCCTCATTCCCTCCCCCTCCCTCCCTCCCTCCTCTCACCCATCTCCTTTCTCTTTTCCCCTTTTCCTCCACCCCTTTACTTCTCGTGCCTCCTGCTCCCCTTGCTCCCTGCTTTCGCCTTTCTTTCTCGTTCGCGTGCTGCTGCGCTGCGTTTATTATTTGACCTCCTCGCTCAAATCCCTTCCTTCCCCGCCCGCCTCTCCCATCACCTCCGCCTCCTGACTCGGTCCCGCATTCCCCTCTCTTTGCACCATCGCCCTCGCCCTCCATTCCATCGAGAACCTTGTCGCCCCCATAGCTTTTCCTCCTCTTTCTGCGTGCTCTCGCTCCTCTTCTTGCTTTCTTGCTTTCTTTCGTTCCTCTTCTTGCCTCGAGGATTCGGGGCCCCCTCCCCTCGTGCCTCGCCTCGTCCGCCGGTGCTTCGATTCGGCTTGGTTTCGGGCGCGGCGAGTCAATTCCTATTTCAACGTCTTCCGCCGCGCCTTTCTTTCCTTCCCTCCCCCGCGCCTCCCTCCCGCGCCTCGCCGTGCCTAGCCTCGTCGGCTCGGGGAGACGCGCGGGGGCGAGCGGTCAGCCAGCCAGCCGGCCCGCCACCCGTCGAGGCGTCGGTCGTCACGCGATGACCTCGTTCCGCTGCCGCGCTGCTACGGCGGAGGTGGGGCCCGCGCTCAGCCCCCAACCATCGGCGACGAGGACCATGCCGCTGTCGCGCGCGTTCCCGAGAGCGGGCCTGGTCGGTAGGTCGATCGAGGTATATTCCCGGGGATCTGCTCGCCGCGGGAGCCGCGCCGTTGCCTTCCTCTGCGGTTCGAAATTGCGAATATTTTCTGCCGGTGAATTTGGGGCCGCAAGGTCCCGAGCTGGCCATCGGACGCTCGCGATTCGATCTCCCGCCTCGATGGGGCCTCTTCTCTCCGGACCATCGGCTCTTGGTGGAGCGAGCCCTGGGGATGACATAGCATGGCATGAAATGACGTGAAATGAGGAGTAGATGTGAGGGCTCCGACTGCGTGCATGTCCGCGAGGTCTCATTTCTGCATGCAGGCCACACATACTTTTGGTTCTACGCCAATATTTTTCATACCGTCTTTATTTATCACATCACCCATATACGAAATTATTTCCTATTTTTGCGTTGAAGCTTCACTCCTCTAGCGTGGTCATAGCATGACGCAGTCGGTTGAAAAGGGATCTGATACCTCAACGCGATGACTTATTAATTTCGCACTTCACATATTTCACTTGTTTGTGAGATTGGTATGGGAGGGACATGTTTTGGCACTAACAAGCACATGAGAATGGGTTGTATGGCAAGGTGCAGATTTGTATGTGTTGTTCTCTCCGATTTGCTCATGGCCCGATTGTAAGATTTTCTCTAGTTGCATGGTGTCTAAACTATGTGGAACGATTTATGTCGTTACGGCATTAGAATTATTATACTTCCCCGTGTAGTGGGGCAATTACAGCATGTACCCGTTAAGTGACAGCGGCACTGGATTAAGTCCGCGTGTTAGTGAGTAGAATTTTTCTTATAATAAATGATCGTACTCTGTTTTTTTTTTTCCACAAAAACACACAATTCTGTGACTTCATCCTCTACACATATGTTACAATTATCTGTATGATCGATCAGTTAATTCTTATTCTTTAGTGATGAGTACCCTTTCAAAAAAATGAAGTATAATGATCGTTCAACTTCATGTAAGATTATCTTTTTCGTTCTGTTAGGCCTGCTGTTTTGTTGTTTCTGAGTAGCAAATTTCGACTATGAATGTACTATCTTCTTATTCTTCTACAAAGAGAATGCTTTATGAAGCATTTGTTAACAAATCCTCACTCTTTCAAGTAATCAAAGTTTCAAAGTTGTCTTAATTGATATCATTGGTTCAGTGACATTAAGCACATATACTCAATAAATTATGGATTTCACCTGACACATTAAATTGTGTGTGAAATTGATGTGTTATCTTATCATGTACAATGACTTTTAAATCCGTTATTACCATATTGTTGGTATTGATCCTACCCAACACCACCAAACAGGCATCTCGTGTCACTTCATCCAATGTATTGAAGCCATTTCCAGCATTTGGGATTTGTTGAAAAGTTCCCATCAAAACCTCCAATAAATTGGCATCCATTTCATTTGCAAACTATGTCTTTAAAGATGTATTCAATTATATAAAATTTCATACTAACATTTTGATACTTTACCTAAAGTTCTAAAGATAATCATAATAACTTCCTTTTGCACTCTTGCAGTTACGTAAAATTTCTACCTATTGAAATTGGTTCAAGCAAATTTCTCATGCAACACTTATTTGTAATTTGGTTCTACTTGCATGATTAAATAGCTTGAATACCTGGCAATACGAAAAAGAAAATACCATATCAAGGATTATATGAATGAAACCTTAATGAAACCTTGATGATTTAAAAATCATCAATGTCATATATATGTACTAAATTTTATGAAATAAACTTTCATAAGAGAAATAATACTAACCAAATTATGCTATACAACATACAAGGGTAACTTGCACTCAAATATGGAAATCTTTGATATATTCTTTTAAACTAGTATATCAAAATCCATGTCAAACTCCAACATTCAAAGACCTTCACATCCTGTTATACATTGACTTCTGATCATGATGTTAATTGCCACACCGAAATAGCAACACAGTATCCACAAAGAATATATTAAGAGGAACATGACATATTCTCGTATTCATTTTTTCCATTTCCATATATCTTGCATATTGCTTCAATGTCAAAGAAATTGACCACCAATCGTTTGAATGAGTACAACGTTACAATATCATTTCAAAAGTGAGAGGAAAAAACTCCCAAGCAAACGCCCTCTAAAGCATGAGTTTGAAATTAGCAAAGACGTTATATGGAAGATTTGGGAGAAACTAGATTTTATTCTTAAACAATCTGCTTTACTCTCCAAAAAGCTAAGCATAATACCTTGAGAGCTTCAGTTGGACAATTTTTCGAACTTGAAGATATGTTGAACATGTGGATTGAAAACATATGTCGTGTCAAGCTCCTTGTACCGCCATCTCTTGGCATTGCGAAAGTGAAAGGTATTGTTTATACCTTTCGCTTTTGCAAATACAAATAATGTATTGTTTATACATTATCTATTTTCCATTTAGAATTTAAAGCTTAATGGAAATGGCTTGTTCTTTTCAGTACACACCAAGATCTACAGAAAATTCTTCTTCATGGAGAAGTTGCTACGATTGACAAGAATGATTAAGGATAGACTTAGAAGAATTATCGCTCATCATCGTTCAATACAATACTCAAAAAAGTCTACAACATGAGCGAGACTGGATTGCTTCATCATATGTTTACTAGATATTTTATTCTTATGTCAAACGTCAAAATTTCAAGCACCAACGCCAAAAAGAAATCAAAAGATAATGATTTTCTGACAATTTGAACCAATGCATGTAGATAATATAAAAGTTTTTGCGTAATGATTGAAAAGTCAAAAGATAAAAGATTCTAGCGTGTATCAAAGACTGACATCGCTCAATTTCTGATTTCAATCAAGGGAAGGTATGGATGCACATGAAAAACTGTTAGAGATGATTCAACAAAATTTTTATTCCAGAATTCAAAAGACTAACAATATGTGTAATTCTTTAACTGATGAATAATGCGTCATGACATCTTGATGTCGTCAAACGCAACAACATTGGTGTAGTATTTTTTACTCCAAATTGTACTAGCTGGAAACAACCTTGTGATATAAAAATCATTGTCTCTCTCAAGAAACAATAAAAATATTTATATCTTAAGTATATACTTGATTTTTACGAGTTTGATGAGAAGTTAAAGCAATGGAAAGAAAATTGGGTAAACAAATACGACTAGTTGGAGCATGAGTTTTCTATGAAAATCCAGCGCATCTAGTGGATGATGCAAGTTATGTAAAAGAAGACTTGAATTTTGTATCGTCAAGCTTTATTAAAAATAGCATGAGCATAGAGGTCATGAATTTGGAACCGAAACCAGGAGTTGATAGCAAAATTAATGTGATTGTAGTTGAATTAATCCAAATCATCAAATACTCAAATTTATCAATTGATAAAGTAAGTTTAGGAAGAATTTGTTCACATTGACAACAAAATCAATGAAGAATATATCACACCAGTGTTGGAAGATATTGAAGAATTGTTGAATTTGATGAAGATTAATGAAGCAAATCTTGTGAAGATAATTATATGAATTTACATTATGACATTGTAGAATCAAAAGGGAGAGTTGAATTTTATGGATTTGAGACTTTATATAAGCATATTCTTGATATTGAGTATCAGTTGATATGCTTTAAACGTTCAATCATAAGACTAAAATTCATTCCACCATCTCAAAAAAAAGTTTGAAAAATTCCAAACCAAGGTTGAGCAATATTACTCATAAAAAAAAAATACCAAAACATGTATAATATATGATTCACATATGTTACATGTTGATACCTACAACTTTTCTAATATAATGCATACTTAAACGGGTGCATACTTGAAGCATTCAAGTATGGGAGGCTATTGTACTTGCAACATCTCAATCCTTCGGTTCCCCAACTCTATGAGGGAGGTTTGCAGAACTGCCCGCTTTCGTGCCGTCCCATAGACTCGCTCTACATTCTGCAATACCGTCCGTCGACTCCTAATAGAAATGTACTAGCTTCGAGATGCATATTGGCACAATGAGTGCTAACGATCTATGCAGAGCACATACCAGCGACGCGTACTTTGCAATCATGTAGCCGTGGAGTGGAATCCATGTCCGAAGCGGACAAAAGGGAGTGAGAACGAGATGGGGTCAAAGTGGTGAGGTGAGATTAGCGAAAGCACGGCGTTCTCCTAAAGCCGTTTCATCCACAATCTCGAGGGCTGTCTGCTGTGACGAGGAGAGGAGCTGTCAAGCACCTGCGATGCAGAGGAGACCTCAACTGTACAGCTTCAGTATGCTTCATTCCGACGGATATTCTTCGCAATCAGCTCCAAATCTTCGCGGAGCATTTGAAAATAGCAACCTGGATCTCGACGCTAGGCTGCAAGACAAAGATCCAATTTGGCCGTGCACTTTAATAAGAGTGGCTATGGCGGAGGCTGCCGGAGGCTGCTTGGTGCCACTTCTTCGCTCTGGAACAGTGCTCACAATAGGGATTAACAGCGGGAACAGTGACAGCTGTGAGCTGAAGAAAGTCAACATTGTGTTTTAGACGATGAGCACAAACTTAGACGCATTTGATACGGGAATACGGCACGGCATATGCCGCTGGAGATCCGCGAGCCGAGTCCGAGCATGTCTCTTCGTTCGTGTGTGTGACCAATAATCGTCAGAAATCGCAGAGCTCGTTGAGACATGCACTCCTTCTGGATGGCGAGACTCGTCAAACAGGAATATCGGGCGCGGAAAGACGAACTCATACGAGCGAACAGCAAAAGGCCGCGAACTCGAGAAGCATTTGATCAGCGAGGTTGAGGTCATCACGTACAGATGATTGTTAGTTATGCATGCATCTGATTTGAGAAGAGTATCGGCCAATAATGAAGAACATCGAACGCCGCAAGACTCAGATTTCAATGTATGCTTATAATAGATCCTCTTCGACGGCAGCAATCCGAGAAGAAGTTCAGTTCCAAACCCCCGTGGAACATTCTCCTGCCCACACCGTAACGATTGTACGTAAAACCAACCGCGCAGATCAGGGAGGTGTGTAGGATAGAGCATGCAGGAGGTTTGTTGCTTGTGCAATCTACATCCCTCAGTGGAACGTGACCTAATGTGCTCGTACGTGAACTGTTGAAGGACATGGAGACCTTGTCACTCATACGACGACGAGGTCGTGCAGGCATTCTCGGCTTGCTTGCGAACGGGGCCTGGTGTGGAAGCACCTTCTCGACCGTACTAACACAGTGCCTCGCAACGGGAATGGCATGCTGACGTACAAGAAACGAGTCCTTCATAGCTGTCAGCACACGAAAGATCTTCCACAATATTCACTTGCATATTCAGTCCAATCTCGCCGTGCATGCAAACTCGGACCTAGGCCGCCGCAGGTGGCAAGAGTTATGGGCGTCGCGTGTGGAAAAGCTTTGTGGAGTACTGCCTTTTCCGTGGAACAATATCGTTGTAAAGAACTCAGGCGGTAGAAAATGCATCGTACATCTTCAAAAGCAGGCGGAGAGGAATGCATCGATTACCTCGGATTTTGACCATTTTATGTGATCATTTATTAGCTGGATCCGAACCCTTTAACTTCCAACTTGATTAGCATGGGCATCGACAGCAACGAACCATTTACCGGCAATCTGAGGAGCACTTGAGTCGCGGTTTTCTGATCAAGTGTTCACTAGCTCTACAGAATCAAGAAAGTCATGACTTCTTGAGATCCTAATTTCGGACGCTCTCACACCTTTCAACATCAGGACAGATAAACGGAGCAAGAAAACGTCATTTACTAGCAAAGATACTACCTTCGCACTTAATTAAAACGAATTCAATTAGAACATCAAAACATGGCATCTCCGAGCGTGCAGACTGAGGGTTGGTTGAGGTCCTGAACGAGCTTTCTAACAGACTACTTCCCGTCCTACGTGCTGTCACCGAATAGTGTTGGCATTTGATCTTCGTGTACCAAAACCTGCAAGGTACATGCATTGACAAGAACTCTTCAGGATACCGTGTGCTCGCCGAAGGCTCGCTGAAGTTTTATCGGACGGATGGCTTGTGTAGCGTTATGCTGCGGAACGTGCGTAGCCTGTAGGGGGCAGAGGAACAGGCGGGTTAGAATAAGTTAACGAAGTGTCACTCAGTGAGGACAGGGGCGAGGAATGCTGGAAGTAGAACCTCTCTGTGACGTCCTTCGCCATCACGACATTAGTTCCCACGTGGTAGTATCGTTTGGAAAGTGCTTAAGGCACGAAATCGTTGAATATTGAAGTGGGAGTAGCGAGTTAAAAGCAAGACTGAAAAGAATCATGTCATATCATCCATGGATGATTTTAGTCCTAATTCAAAAACCCACTTGTGAGTTTAAGACTTCATTGGAACGGAAGGTACTCTACTATGAATCAAACTACGAGTCAAATCGTCGATCAGTCCTTCGATGTGTTATTTCGCTTTATAAGTATAGGGCCCAAAAGACATAAAGCGACATGACTACTCTTCAGTAGTACTCCAGGGTAAATTAAAAGTACAGTTACAAGGCTAATTAAGAACTTCGCTTCTCCAGCTCTCGAATATAGATGGTGTCCCATACTCTGGCGACCCGCCAAATTATGAACAACTTCCCCACCAGATAAATTTTACATCATGATCTCGAAGATATAACAATCCTCCGTATGAACAGATTAATCTGCTATCGTTTCCCATTCTAGGACAGCAACCAGGCAGACAACATCCGGAACCAAAGTAAAATCATTCCGATGTTTGGTTGACTACAAGAAGACGCTTGAAGTACAAAATGCAGACGGCCTCCGGACTTCATCCTCTCTCATTCAGAGTCAAAACGTAGGAGAACTAGACTCGTCATTGAGCCCACAAGTGCCTCCCATGCTTAGAATGGACCTGTCTGACCTTGTTTACAGCAAGCAGAACATTCGAAGTGTAAGCTCCTCCTAGAATCTCAAACGCTTTCAAACACAAGGAGCACGAGAGCCAGTCGGTTACTGGGGCTATCGGACACTTGAGGTTCACACCTTGACAACTACGACTACCCGTTTATCCACGATGAATCTTGGAATTGCTTTGTCTTCTGAGCTCAAAAGGTACTCAAAAACTATGATCTATCAGAGATACTAATATCAATAGCCCCTAAAAAACAGCTCAGCTTTGTTCAGAAGTAAATTACAAGAACGATACAAAAGCAAACCAAGAATCAAAATCTTCCGCTAATTGGCGTGTACTGTACTTTTCTAGGTGTGATAGCGTGCTTTCGTCTGTCCAGAGGCTGCAGGGGCAGGGTGTCTATTCCAGTAACCCGAATCCTTTCTTACAATTCACCAACAGTGACGCAAATTCCCTATGATCGACCCCCAACTGCAAGGAGAATCTTCTTTCTAGGTCCCTGCAACGACAATACCACCAGTACAACCATGTTCAGTACGTGCTGATTGATTTTTCGCCGTAGTCAGGTGGTAAAATCATCTTTCTCCTTGCAATAAAGCTCCACAACCTTCAATAAAAAATTCCGCCATCACATCTTCCGATACTAGCACAATTGAGAAGTGAGAGAAATCACCATAGGGACACCCAGCTCCTTGAGATCATCATCCCCCATATGCTGCAGAGCAGCCATATCTACCTGCATGAATAAATCCAATTCAAACACTGAGGAATGCAACAAGATATGTTTTACAAACGTCAAACCAAATTTTCACAACCCTAAACACTCAAACTCAAAAATTCCAAAAGAGGTCATACTAGAAAGAGTAATAATCACGCATACGTGGATCTCATAACAACTAAAACGCAACTCTTTAAAATCATAAGTGACCATGAACTCAAGCAAAACGAACCTCTTCTGCTTGAAACGTGATGAGATACTTGCTCAATCCCAATGATTGCAATAGACCAGCGATAGAATTCTCATCCACCTGTGCAAACAGGGCCACACTATGTAAATGTGAGCTTCACCTCTGGACAAGGCGACCAAAAAAAATCCTAAGTGCGGTACATTATCTATAGAGGATCAAGACAACCAGAAGATTGGATTGAGGTATGTCACACAAGCCTTACACTTATTCCGTTTTATGTCTACATAGGTGATCATAAGCTTTCCATCTCTCAACTTTCCCTCTGTATACTTCAAATGCAAGAGAGGTAACTCTTCCTGAAGGACTGGAACTTTTTGGCATTACACTAGGCATTCTTAATACTTACTTATCAACATCGATTACAAGTACTATAATGCAGTACAGGAGAACTATGATTAGAAGGAGAGCCAGTTCATTCTTCCTTGGTTTGGAAACAGTTGACCATAGTAGACATGCAGCGAGTGGTTACCAACAATTACGGAAAAACAGCTGAGCACAGCTTAGTAAATAGATCCATCATAACTGACACAGACTTGAAAAACTAAGACACAAGCAATAATCCTGAACGACGTAAACTATGAGCATTATTTGGCATATAACAAATGGAGAGACATGTTTTATATAACACTTACAGCGTTAGAACAAGGGCATTCCACACCAACAAGCAACATGTGAGATCGTTCAATATTGGACTAATTAAAAATGATTTGTTCTGAACAAAAACAAGTCGCATCCCTGAGCCCAAGAAGTGATGAAGTCAAGATAAATCCAGCTTTGAAAAAACAAAATAGTGAACAATATGTGATTTCGTCTGCCTCGGAGATGCGACCTTTTGATCCATCACCGTCATCCAGGGGAGTCTGGTGATAGGATCCAAGTCTATAGAGTTAACTGTTCGTACAAACTAATCAGATGAGAGGTGTAATGGTATGTCACCGACTACTTAGCACCTGCGATGTCTAATTGATGTTTTCCTATTTAACTCTATTCGTGAAAAATTAACATCGTTCCTTGTATTAACAGCATCATAAATACAACTCGAGCTGAACCGGACCGCATGCTGAAATGCACTGGGTGAAATATGTGAAGCTGGTTAACAATAATCTAAAGGATTGACATAACACGTTCAACTTAGTCACATGATCGACGGCAAGGTTTGAAAGTGCAAGGGGACCGAGGAATACAAACCCGGGAGGTAATACATGGGCTCTTTATCTAGGGTCTGGATCAGAGGCGAAAGAAGGAACGAAAATCATTCACAAAATCTAAGTGACAGTATCAATTCATCATCAACTGATCAGCTGGGGTTGAGGATAACTCAAAATCCAACATACCATGAATCTTACGACTGGACGATATAGTGGGTAATGTACGGCACAGAGTTAGTTTCAATGTTCGTACAGCACTAAAAGTCTCGGAGGATTGGAGAAGATCGAGATATCTAAAGAAACAAAGTCCTAAACGGAAGAGAACAAAGTTTGAAGTCCACTTGATGGAGCGGTAAAAGATATGAATTTACAAGGAGTAGCTATACACCGTGAAATCTTCCCTGTCTTAGACAATGAGCTAGTGATAAGATTGCATTGTACATGTACAGAGAGAGACCTACAAGGTGTGAAAGAACTTCAAAAGCAGTCCAACAGAATTCAAAAGCACCATTCACATGGAAAAATGCAGGACAAATCCAGAATCACATAGCTGGGGAACGAAACAGGTGGAAGGGACAGGTAGGTTAGTGGGAAATACAATGCCATTCAAATTCATGAAGAGCCTAGGATCAAAAAGTAAGACCACATCCGCGTTTCTTTTAAATTATGTACATGTAGGTGGAACGTCCAAATTAAGTGTTGGTGCTACCAGATTCTGGGTCTTACCAAGACTCTTTGAAACTATCCTTCGTTGTGGGTATTCCGTGCGTACATGCGTTCCAATGTATATTTGTGGAGTTCTAGGTGAAGGAATGGACTAACAAGTTTAAAAGTCTCTATATATCATGAAGAAAGCTCTCAGTCTATCCAGTCAGAATAAAACTCTTAACTGAATAGATTGAGAGCTACACACCTTGTAAGTGTAAACAAGCTTTATGCCACTTGGTACAATAAAAGATTTATTTCAAGTTAATTTACGTTTGGCAAGGCTTGAGAGGTGCCGTAGAAAGGAAAGAAAATACTTACACATACCATAATCTGATCATTCCCGAGGGAAAGAGCTACAAATGTCTAAACAATTAAGAAATTAAGAAAAAAATATGCGTATGCCATATTCAGCACTCATATGAAAGAACTGTGAAAAAAAATAAGTTGTGATTTACCTCAGGATGAGGTTTTGGCAGTACTGACGGTTTGTGCGATAAAGGAGTCAATTTGTGCGACAAATTGACGTTGCGAGAGGCTCCTGGCCTCACATTGGCCAAAGAAGCTATACCCGCAGACCCTCGTACAACTGAGGCAAGACGTCGTTGATTAGCAGCAATCTCTCGGGTTAGTTGTGTGGGTGGTACAGGACCCGAAAGTTTCTCCCTCAAGTCTTTAATCCCGCCAGTAGAACCAGCTTCAACATGTTGCTGTCCTCCTCTTACAACATTCTTTCGGCCTAGCCTTAAACGTAGATCTTGTCCATCTACACAGAACAGTTCCAATCAACAGCCCAAAATCATTAGCTGTGTTTCGTAATGCAACAAACACGAAAATATGAAGTCAGAAACAGACCCTTTCAAGTACTTACAATATGTCAACTTCAAACGGCATTGAAAATCGTATACTCCTGGTTAAAATTGGACGAAACAACATGCTTGCAATCAGCTGGTAGGGTTAAAAAAGATAAGATTTTCAATAAATGGAAGAACAAGGACTGACTAGGTCAAAGACTTACTAGGTTGCCTTATGCCCACTAGTTCCTTTTCCTCGTAAAGATCGTGTTTCCACTTCCCTCCTTCTTCGAGTCGTTGCCTATTGATGAAAGCCACAACGCCCTGATCAGACCTTATAGCATACAGTTAATCCACTTTTGTCCGGCAAGGCGACCTGAGCATCTACCAGCATTTCTGTGTTCTATAGTTTGCCCCAGTATTCAAAGTAAAGTCAAAGTTTAAATTTGGCATAAATTATTATGTACGGCCTTCTCGTACAACTCGTGCTTCTTCTCGCCTTAACTTGAAAAACTGTCGGTACGAATGAAAGCATTCTCATGGAAAAGCACAGTGTAAATATAATTTCGATGAACTGTTTGCAGCAGCAAGCTGTTTTGGATGCAGTAGGATGATCGTTGTCCATGTTGCAATGGTCAACGGCACTCCTCAGCTTGCAACATGATTAACAAAGCACAATTCTATCAAGCACATCTATTACACAAAACTCGCTAATAGCGAAAATCATGCTGCTTGTGACAAACGACCGTTTATGATGTGCCAACCAATTTATTCTTCTAAGTTCGAAATTTTAAACATTCACATTCATACCGCTTGGAATTGGCCTGAGGGCGATTGGCGGAAGCTTGTTGATCCGAAGAATTCCCAAGACGATCCCTGACGGATCTTTTCCTATTTGTCCCAGCCCCTCCGTTTATTTGATCAGAATACATATCGCGATACACTGTAGCACGCCTTTGAACCTTGGGTTGGAAGAAAAAAGCAGACAGAGGAAATTTAGACGAGACCAGAGACGTGAGGCCTGGAACAAAATAAGTGCCAACTCAGTGCAATTAACAACTGCATGAGCACTGAAGACATGCGAAGGAGGAAGTGTTTTGATAAGGACAAAAACCAGTTGAAGTCCTAGCAAGGTATGAGTAATTCAATCCGTGTGCACAGTGAATCCGAATCTCATTGGCAACAAATTTCAAATTTTTAGAGAATATTCAATGAAGCCTGCCAGTCGAGCCTACTACCCAGCTCGTCCCACCACCAGCTATATCTTGAGACAGGCGAGTTAAAAGGAAGAGTGTAACAAACAGGGGGGCTCAAACACTAGCCAACCAAGACGAGCTAAGTTCAGTAACATTGGCTGAAGAGGGCACAATGCTGCAGTTGAAGATGAATCCTTAGGTCTGGGAAGTTTTTCCAGACTTCAGGCCGGACAACTGCACCATTTTCTGTCCTACTCCGTTCTTCGGTAACGAAAAATACCTGGCCGGATTTCCCACGCCCGAAGGTTACAGTTACTCGGGGCTGCGACATGAACACTCGCGATCCCCGCCTGGTAATTTTGGCTCTGTACTAAGAGCTCGGCCCTCCCGTCGACAAGTAAACAAACTATGAACACTGCCTGGCAAAATTTTATACAACCTCAGCAGGCTGGCAACCTGAAGGCTTTCAAGACGTTGACAAATCCCTGGGTTCACGCGGGGGTGTGAAGGGTAGCATGGTGGTGGGCTAATCACCTGATTAACCAAAACAACACGGACGATAAGAAACGAAACACACTCGATCGAAAACACGTTTACTCGCCTTGGCTAACGGGCTCACACAGACCAACGCATAACCGAACAACAAGCTGGAAAACTCCCTGGACACCCGGTAACTAACCCACGCAAAGCCCTCCCTCCCTCCCTCAGTCCCTCCCTCCGCCGCGAGCACACACCTCTCCCCGCTTCCCCAACAGACAAGACGCACGGCTCACCGACGGGCACACAACCACGCCACTCATCAAATTCGGAACCCCGAGAAGCACGCGCCTCAGACCGCACTGCACTCGAGCTCGTCGCAACAATTGAATCGAGTTTTTCAAGAACGTACCAAGAGCACTATCTCGCGAACTGCCCAAAAACGACACCCGAATTCCCACCTCAGGTCCGAGCGAGCACCCCAGCCTGCGTCAGTCAGTCTGTCAGTCCGACTCTACTTTCCTCCTACTTGCACCCAAGGCTCCCTCGCCTCTCTATCTGCGCCAGTAATGGACCTCCCCCGCCCTCTCTCTCTCTCTCTCTCTCTCTCTCTCTCCCTCCCTCCCTCCGCTCGGCAACGACCCTGCTCGCTTGACTTTGCTCACAAACCCTAGGAATGCGACAGACACACGGTTGAAGAAATGAATGAGTGAGTGAATGAACGAGGAAATGGGTCGTCGAGCTCCTTCCTTCCTTCCAGGCTTGCTTTCTTTCCCGACAGGCAGATAGATAGATACTCAGAGAGGAGGGGGGAGTCAGACAGAGACCGCTAGAGAGCGATGCATGCTCTTGCGGAACTTCCAATTGGCTCGAGCATTGGCACTCGGTGACATGACAGATAGGGCTCCCTCCCTCTACGGAACGACCTCTGCTCTCAATTCGCCTTCTTTCCTTCTTTCCTTCCTTCCTTCCACCCCCAGACGACGACGAGGCTTCGGTTTTCCTTCCCTCTGCTCCAGTTTGCGCTCCCGGAGTTACAGCTCCGACCCGAACCACCAACCTCAAGTTCAGTTTTCAGTAGAAGCGAGGACGGACAGAAGAATGGCTCCGGCGTGTAATTCTATGCTCCGGTCCATTTGATTTTGCTTCGCTATGGTGGATTCAGCTTTATGCAGGCATGAGGTATGGGCACAGCTTTGTGTATTTGATTATGGTATATATTTGAGCTGAAATTTTTTCATAGGTTTGTAATGACAAATAGTTCCTCCATTGTCGTAGAAACGAATTCAATCCCTCCTCTGATTTAATTAGTGTACAATGAGTTTCATCATATTATCTGATTCATTCATCTTCAGAGGAAAGTAATCAGTGTTATAGATAAGAAGTTTGTAGATTAGTGATTCCGTGTATTTAGAGGGAAAATTAATAAGGGTTATGAGTAGCGTATCTGACAGTGGTTTCATAATGTCCAATTAATGTATATCTTAACGAAGGTATTGAATTTTCATTTATCCACGAAGATCACTGGCTAATAAATATATGTGTGTGAAGATTAACCCTTTATTCTTTATGAATGATCAATAACTTAAATTTTTCCTTCTTCTGTATATTTTGTATATATCTTGATACTGTTTGTGACTAGATCCAAGTTTGGTTCGGTTTCAATCTTATGGCGTTTGAAGGGGGTATTCGTTGTCTTTTCGTTATCCACTTGGCGTTCCTTTTTATCCTCTCGGGCTTTCATTCCTACACTGTCATGGGCTCGACCCATCATGTGGCCGGTACGTCGGACCCAGATGCGCAGTACGCCTCCAACCATGTGATCTTGTTACGTGGTTGGAGAATGGCCGCTTCGGAATACCCGAACACTTGTTATAATCAGCTGTAATACACTGAGAAAGCTACAACAAAATGATGTGTCGTGGCCAAAGATTTTTCCGCAGGCGTTCCCCAATTTGTTGCGATCGAACCTGATAGTTCTTGTTCAAGTTGAAGCATCTAGTGCCTTCGTCTCGGATTTTGCACGCGATTATAATATATTTTTATTATAAAAACAGACTATTAACTGCGAATCAATTTACAGAAATCGGAAAATCGATGTCTCCGCGATGAGAGGTGAACTCACCCAACCAAGCAAGTTGCACAAAAATGAAACCTTTCTACTATATATGAAAACTCTAGAGTGGAGATGGTGAATGCATGCCCTGTTGGTTATATGGAAGGATTGTATAATATCTGATTAGGGATAGTATTATGTATACCATTTATGAAAGTAGTTGACTTTGATCATTTGAATATTTTAATTCTTGTACTGTGTATTTTTTCTCTGAATTATTTTCATCTAGCCATTGAATCTTTGTTTTTTTTTTGTTTTTTTTTTCAAATTGAATTTTTAAATTGATTCGATTTTTACATCCTTATTTATCTACTTGTCCATGCATCCAACAAACACGTATAAGCATTCGCTACACATGTGTTTGTCAAGTAATTATAAATTATGACTATCAACATGAATAATGGTAACAAAAATTTCAAAACAAGTTATTTGGTTAAGAATGCATGGAAAGCTGAGCAACAGAAATACATTTGGGAAATGATAATGAAAAATGAATAAACTGTAATATATATTTTTTGTGTAATTCATTTTTTAACCAACATTTTTTTGAAAATGAATACGTGAAATGGAAACAACAAATGCAAAATGGGATTTGTGTATTTTACAAATGATGAAGTATTCTAACATTAAGACACAAAGTACGAAAAGAAGCAAATATGACTTCTGCAAGTTGCATCCATGAAAAAATGATATATACAAAAAAAATAAAATTATGTTCATTTGAATGAGATTAATATGGTTATGAATGAAAATATTAAGTCAAAGATCGATCTATGATAGTAAGATCCAAAATTGTTTATATAGACTTATTATAGAATTTTATGATAAATTAAAGCTGATACTATTTATTTTTATTAGACACCTTATTAAATGAACAAGCTTTTGAAAATTATCATCTACAATTTGAAAAATCATTCAAGTTTTAAAATTGAAATATTTGAATTGAATTCCATATTTTTGTAAAAATTTAAAAAAATTTCTTCATTCTATCTCAAAGTTTTAATAAATTTACATCCGAAATGATGAATAAGAGATTAATATTTTGATTTCACTTCCTCTAACTTCAAACAATGACATGACATCAATAGTGATATAAGTAATGACATAATTAGTGATATAAAAATGATTGATTGCAAGCTTTGCATTTTCATATTTCAGCTATTTTTCAAGGTATGTTATCTTATAAGTTTAAAATATCATATTTAAAAAAACTGCAATGAATTATGTTATTAAAAAACAAAATAATACATATTAATAAAGATTGTTTTATTTTAAATAAACTATTTATAGAATAATCTAAAACTGGAATTTCAAAAGTCACTTGTATGTATTTTGAATGAAATCAATGAAAAATAAATCTTTACAGAAATTTTTTGTGAAAAATAACCAAATTTAATTAGATGGCATTAAAAAATATCTCTATGTTTACAATTTAGTCAATGTGTACGTTTTTAATAGAAAAATGTATCATAATCAGTTACATCAAATTTCATATCTTATAAAATTTCCTACCTTTTATAATAAAACTTAATTTTTTTGTAGAATACAGATATATTAAAAAAAGATTTTTTCAATAGATTGAGATCAATATGTACAACAAATGCTTATATATATATATATGAACTATTTATTAACAAAAGTTGTGATATATTAGTTTTGTTTGTTGATCATTGTGATCACTACTTATACTTATCGTATGAAACACTCATGAATCTATCCATGTTTTAACTGCATATTGAATAATCATCCATATTTATTTGGAATAGAGATAAAAAAATTAAAACTAATTTTAAATTTATATAGGTGATTCATAACGTATCAAGAAGATGATTAATTAATTATATAATTATTTCATTTTATGATATTTACTATGTAAATGAAACAAAAAGTATATAACATTTCACTTTTATAAAAAATATTTAAGTTTATGATATTTGTATGCAGCTCATGCTTTAGTTATGCATTTGGTTGCTTTGCAATATCATCTTGTAGTGCACTATATTATTTTTTCTTTAAAAATAAATTATAAATTGTGAAGGATAAATATAATTCCAAAAATCTTGGGGATTTTTTTAATATACTTGCTGAAGTCTTTCTAATCACAAAAATCAACCTTTATATAGATATATATTTGGACATTAAATTTTTTTATTTTAGAATCTTTTATATATTTATCATTCATTGACACTTTGATCATGTTTGATTTTATTATTTTAGTTTACTTTTTAAATATCACCTAAAACTATTAGAGATTTAAGCTTTCGATTAACTAAAATTCTTAAAATTTATCACTGATATTTCACACCAATTGTTAGATCATTATTAAAACTACTACATTATTTATCAAAATCAAATTTTTTTCAAACTAAATTCATTATACATAAAATTTAGCTTTAATTTATGAAATGTGTATGAATCTGAGAGATCACATGGAAATTCGACCTTATCATCGATACAATTATTTCCATGAGCAAAACTTATAAACTATATAAAATATGATATTAATGTTTTTAAGCTCAATAAATCACATAATAAAAAATTATGCATCTAAATTATAGAAGAACATTTTAAATTTTTATTATAATATATATTTAGATGACTTCAAATTTTTTATAAATCTCATAATAAAATATAAATAAGAAAATATGATTATATTATATATATACATATAAATATAAACTCCACACTTTGAAATATCTACATACTATGTTTTGGTTTTAAATGAAATAAGTAAATATATATATATATATATATATGAAGAAAAATTGTTATTTCTTAAAATATTAAAAAATCTTCATATAACTTTTGAAACAAGCATAGAAATATTGATGCACAATTGATTCAATGTTGAACAATAGAATAATTTTTTGACATGAAATCAACAACATCAAATTATAATCCTTTGACAATGTGAAAAAAAATCATTTGGTAGTATACATGAAAACATATATGTTGTGTAACCGAACAAAATAAGCTAGTTTAAATGCATTATAATATCCCAACTTAGAAAACTAATTGTTGTGAAATGTTACTATGTAATGTAACATTTCAATTCATATCAAAATAATAGTGATTTTAATTCTTCATGGTTAATGTTGATTCTACTCTTCATACTCCCAAGTCAAACATGTTCATAAATGAAAACTCACAAAACATTAACTAGCTACACATTAAAACAATGATGATTGTTGAAGTAGAAAAAAAATCAGTTCTAATTAAGTGTAATGAAATTGGATAAAATATTCTTACATCCTTATACTATTGATAGTATAAAAAGTTTTACATGGTAGAAGTAAAAAAAATTATATCAAAATAGTTTTAATATCATCTAATTGTAATTTAAAAAAATATAAAATTATCTCATAACACAATGTAATGTATGTACACATTATGCTATATGATTAATTTAGATAAATGTAATTGTGTTTGAACATGTCGGTTAGTATGATAGTTGAAAATGATATGTCAGCCTATCACGTACTTGTTCATTCTATTTTCCATGTGATCAATCAACTATGAGTGGCTTGGATGATGAGAGTGATATCTTCATTTTTTTGTATCTGTTGAAAAAATATATGGAAGGAGTAAGATTATTATTTTAAGTATCTTTTATCTTTGAAGTTGCATAATAACTTAGAATGATCTCTTTTTTTTAATGATCCGTCAAACATCAATTTCTTTTGAAATGTCATGATACTAAATTAAACAAATCAAGTGCAAAAAAAAGAGAGTTAAATATTAATGAATTGCAATAGACAAATATATATTTAATTTAAAATTTGCCATTTGAATATATTTAAAACATACATCTTTCACAATACAATCTTTTAATAAAACAAGAAGCAACAAATAGTTTTCGTACCTTTTTTACTTAGCATCACATCCTTGAATGTCATCCCAAACGCGTGTAAGTACACTGTTACGTTGTTACTCAAAAAGCTTCAGGCAATAATAATTACAGTTTATGAAAAAAATATTATCAAAATGCTAAAAAAATGTATTTCATTAATTTGAATTGTAGGTTTGAATAAGTACAATAAATGTTTATTTACAATTGATCTTGCAATGTTGCTAAGAGAGAGTTGTATTCACATCAGTAACATCGAATGGAGAGTTTGGTAGAAGCAGGCCGTGTATATGATGATGTGGCATCTAGATACTTTGGTTATGAAGCAGGCTGAAAAGTATGTCGATGTCATTTAGCTGTTCAATGTATTTCATCAACGATTTCATAAAAAGAACTGCTAAACATGTTGTGCACATACATGGAGTTCATGAAGTTTACGATGAGACCTGGATCCAAGATCTAAGATCACCTTCACGCCTTCAATGATTTGGTGATAGATTTCAAGTATATGGAGGAGGAGTTTTATGACACAAAGAAAAATATGCATCTTCTTAGCTCGCTGACTTCTTCTTACCAAATACTTTCCAAACTTCTCCTACATTGCAATACAAACACCATCACTTAGAACCTTGTTGTAAGTGCTTTCTTGGCATACAAGATGGAACAAGAGATAATGTCATCATCTTGCACATCCACTTCAGGGAGGGCATTAGTTATGACACGAGGTTAGTCATGTTTGAGGTATGCCAACGAGTGGCAGAATGTTGGATCCAGGTTTACAAGATCCAGATCCACAAGTAAGACCATTGAGGGTATGAAATCCCAGTCTAGGGATGAGACTCTTGACAAGAACACGGTGACTTGTTGAAAATGTGGCAAGACTGGTCAAATCAAACGAGAATGTTATGTGAAAGTCAAAGGTGTAGTTCCCACACTAATGGCAAACGTTGCGGAGCATGTTGATTATGAGGAGGACGATCTGCTGGACAACGGGTTATGATAGCCAGAGTGCTTTGTATTTGGCCTAGATTTAAATTACGCGTAGTTGAGTTAAGCACTTTAGAGAGTTTCAGAAGACAATGTTATACTATGCTCGTTGTGCATGGGAGCATATGTAGTGTTTACTAGAATAATATTTTAAGTTCTTTCTTTATATAATTTCTTTATCGGTGATGACTATTGATTGAATCTAGTTAACTTTTGGTATAAAGAGTGGACGTCTTGAGGAGTAATTATATAAATTACGGAGTTCATTGTTTCCTCTATGCTAGCAAATTTATAAGTGAATTATGTATATTATTACTCTATCTTGTTTTGTTATTAATTCAAAAGAGAAAGATATATGTTTAGTTTTTCAAAATCATTGTTTATAAAAATTTAAAATATTAAATACAAATATAAATGTTAATCGTAAAGTATTTGAAATACAGTTGAATATTATTTTTTCAATAAACATTGAAATATGCTTAAATTGAATGTGTGAAATATGGGCTATAATATAAATTTACAAATAAATACATTTTGCTAGATTCATGACATTAGCATTTTTGAATTTAGAATTGAGGATTTTTTGAATGATTTTTTGTACTTAATTTAAATATTAATTAAGAAATTGCAATAGATATAGATCATTTCAAACGTTCTTTTTTCTTTATTTTTTTCCAATAAAGCAGAATGTATATAAATTAAATTTATAGGAATTATAATATTAGATTTAATTACATTCAATTTTATAAACGGATTGATTTGAGTTATTCAAAATGAAAATTCTTATTAATTTCTTGATCAAAATTTTAAAAATGTTCATATTTGATGATTAAATTTTAATTTCTACATCTAATTTTGTTCACAATTCTTTAAATAAAATTGGATATATAATATTAAATAGCTATCAACAAGATTTCTAAAATTTTTTTTTGTAATAAATATTTAATAAAGTTCTATAAATGAAAACATTCAAGTTATAATTGTTGATAGGAATCTTATTTATATATTTTAATATTTAGTTATTGAAATTTTAATTTTAAGTACACATGAAATATGAAATTTCAATATTAAAATTATAAAAAATGTTTTATGGGGAAAAATATGATTTCGAAGGTTAGTTATAACATAATGATTGATATAGTATATTTTTTAAAGATTGATCATATGTAAATTTTGAATTAGTTTTCGAACATTTACACCATTATTATATATTTTGCGTTTGTTTTTTGTTGTATTCATTCTTAAACTTCAAGACTTTTGCAAAATTGGACATTCTTCTCATCTATTGAACAAAAAAATATAAGTGATAATTATTTTGTAAGTTAACAAAATTTGCCAAACTTTATATCTAAATAATTATGCATGTGATCAAGTTCACAAAAGGCTCATAAAATGAAGACAAAAAGAAAACGGATCTTATGGTGATAGAATATTTTTTTCTTTTTTTCTTTTTAATTAATTAGGATTTAGAGTGAGCTTAAGATTTTTAGTTGATAATTTTTTTTAAATAGAAATATATGCACACTTATTTGTTTGAGTTTTCACTAGAAACATATAAAAACATTTATAATTTCATTCATCTAATGAATGCAAATAGTGCAATGAAAAAATAACTGATACATGATTGAGTTGAAATACATGAGCTAGATTATCAATAGTTTAGAAAATATCCAAAATAGAAGTATGTATTGAAAAGCTTATCAAACATGCTAAAGCTATCAATACTTCATGATAGACTATGAATTCCTATTCTAATCAATGGTCAAAAAGTATGCAAGTTGTATGTATTTTCAAGATAAGAAAAGTTGTTGGATAACATGATATATCTGTGAGCAATCTCTCACAAACAAGTCAAAGTTTGAATTAACTACTTCACAGATATCCAATATTAGAGGACTTAAAAGTTGATTCTATTTGCACATAACTACCTTTGGACACCTTGGTTGCTGCTACACTTGATTACATTCAAATCATTAGTAATTTTAAACTTTTAATTCTTAACTATTTCACATGTATTTTAAACGAATTTGCAAGAGTAAGTTACGAATTTAAAAATATGTGTAATTTCTCCTTATTGATTGCAAGCCATACCAACTCATTTAATACGAACTTTTCAACTTCATGCTTCATTGCCAAATCCACATCCTTGATAAAAAAATGTATAACAAAATCAAAATAAATTTTACATTTACATCGCTCACATGTAAAAAATGTATATTTAAATAAATAAAAATTTCATCCCTTCTTATTTATTTTAATATTCATTGAAATAAATAAGATGAGATGAAATTTTTAACTTGTGAAAAAGTTACTAGTGCTAGTGAAAAACCATATGCACAATCTTCCACATTAGCTCATTTGAATTATAAACAAATAGTCTATTCTATACTTAAGTTCGACGATTTGTATTAATTGATGTATAATGAAATAAATGATTATGAAATCTATTAGAGAAAATTAGAAATAGTTAGTTGATAATGTTTGGATAGTAAGTACTTTGGAGCTTCACCACCTTTATGTATGTACGTTATTCCCCTGCTTCAAGTCACTTTACTTGATTCTTCTTTTGTACCAACATTATTACAAGGCATACAATTGTTTATTGAGAATATTTTCATTTTCGTTAAGTGTTACTCTAAGATCTTGACGATAGAAGATTCAATTTTCGAAAAGAAGAATGAACTGGAGTTTTTTATTACATAAAAAAATGTAGGATTGTTTCTTCCCACGAAATCCGGCTCAAAAGAATTCCACTCCATCCCATGTGTTTATGAGAACTCGATCTGCATACTACGAATCGTACGAAGATTGCCCTTATTCCACCCTTTGCCAAATATTATAAGCTCCTGTGTCCATAGTATGGACACACGTCAACAGCAGTATGGACTCCATACTGCTGCTGACGCTTCCATTTCGGCTATCGGTTTGGGAAGCAAAATTCTCATCTGACGGAAGTGGCCAACGGCGGGTCGTTTCGTGTGCAGACATGAGATGAAGAATAGCCCTGGTTATGTTCGAACTGCGCCTGAAATATTTCCCATTGGAATGCTCCTGAAACCAGCCGCTGTTACCAGGAGGTGATTGATGGTACATTCCCATATATTTTATTTCGTATGGACAGGTTGGCCCCCGATTCTTTCTGCATACCACTCTCCACATACTTACTTGTCATCGGATGCGAAGGGCCTCCTGGTGCTCAGCCTGCACAAGATCAAGAGCACCTGGGGCTCGTGGAGCGATTTACTTTCAGGAACCTGGTAGTGGATAAAGTCCGAGCCGAGCGTTAAGATTCTCATCAGATTTTCTGGGGAGATGATCGTTTCTCCTCTCGTAGGTTTGATCGAACGAGTTTGCCACGCATCGTGGGCTCCTCGGCAGATCGAATGGCTTGAACTGCTGGGGAAGATGTCCTGGACTGGCAACTCTACGAGTACAGGACATTCTCCCTGAAACTTTGTCCGGAGCTTTTTGGCATGAAACCGAGGGGCGGTGTTGAGGGAATCGGTCGAACGAGCTAATGCGGGCGGAATGTATCGAGACAGTTCAGGGGCATGTGGTGTAAGTCTGCATGGTACATCTCGATCTTGGGATCAAGAGTTGTACCGTATGCTATATGTCCACCATAGGCTATGGTGGACATATGCTCACGAGGAAGAACTAAATTCTTACTATTCTTGTCATACGGATCCTCGGCTACTTCAGAAACCACTAGATCGTGAATCTCTTGGGTGGCGCGTGTCTGGCAGCGTGCTCAATGCAGGAAACATATCTGCCTCGTGAAGCAAAATCTTATCCACTTCCTGCAGGATGTCATCGGATTCCTTGGGGTCTGCTACCCGGCGTGCTGTACCTGACCCTGGTTCCTTGCGAGGGGCTTGTCCGGGGCTTGGTCTTCATTGAAATGAAGTTATTGTTTCTGAGATGACAGGTCCGATCCCTGAATCCATATCCTACAGTCGATGAACTTAGTGGGTATCCTGTCCTCGACCAGAAGTGAGTTGGCCAGGTCATTCTCGTCCCACTCAGAATGGGGTCATACTGGCCTCAGCGTTCCGGTGGGCTGAATTCTACTGAACCGGAGAAAAACCTTCAACATGCAAAAATCTACATCGCTGCATCTACCCTGATGCGGATTTCCCGGACCTGGTTAGTTCCGTGAATTGGAGGTCAGAATTCAGAGGCACCTGATAGCAACCCTCGGAGCGAGTACGAAGAAAGACTCCGCTCGGGGCCCCGAGTGTTCTACTGGCGATGAAGGGTACCTATTAGAGTGCACCCTTCAAGCAGATGCCTATTTACTTTTGAAGTGGTATAGGGTGGTGTGAGGATCATGCAGTAGCTTCCGAAGAGGTTTCCGGGGGGAAAGAGAAGATTGCCTGAGAACGAGGCTTTGGTGTCTTGTGGAGTGTCAGGTCCAAGAGACAGGTTTTCCAGGACTTGTCCTGGAATAGGTGTTAGCCTGTTCTTAATTATGAAGCGATCGGAGGTATGCGATTAGAGGGCCTACATGGAAAGAAGCTTGATATTCTAATCCGTACCTCGTGAGTGAAGTACTGCCGCGTTAAAAATTGCAAAGCAACGAAGTAGGATTGCTTGGACATCGTCTCGGTCGGGAGTGACTCCTCAAACCGAGTCCGACTTTCTGATGAGTTAGACTAGCACGGGTCAAACATCGCAATTTCTAAGTCCACGCGAATTCTCGAATGAGTGCCCGCTGAATTGGAACCGGATCAGCATTCCACTCGCCCATGCTCGATCGGGAAACTCCGAGACTCACATGGACCTCCCTCGCGTACTCGTGGATGTGACTGATCTATCCTCTGTGATTATTCAGCAGGCACACGTTGATCACGAACTTGCCGATCTTCGTCTGCCCGCACTTCATCGGGTTCCAAGGAGGGTACCAAGCAAAATTTTTCAAAAGGCTGTGGAAATCGACGCCTCTCTGATGGGCGTACAGACACGAGACCAAAAGGACCAGGAATCCAACGATGAGCCTCAACCAAAGGTTCACGTTGGAAGCATTTGGCGGCCTCTGTGGGGCGGTGGCGGAGCCCATTTTCTACCGCGAGCACTCCCCCTCCCACCGTCCCTCAGATCCGAAAGTTTCTTCGTGTTACGCCGCCAACCGTCACTACAACTCACAACAGACGATGAACCGAGCTCGACAAGGACGGTCGTCGTCGACAGCTGGTGGTAATTGCACGTCGGTTGAACTGTGAATACCTCGCTCGTGGATGGCAAGGTGGCGCTTCGTTCCTGGTCACGGTCACGCACGCACAAGCTTCCGTTCGGTCGACGCTTGGGCCAGAGAGGCGCGAGCGAAAAGCAGCGCTTGCAATCCCCTCCCTCCCTCGCTGGACTGTGGGGAAGAACTGGCGTTTGAGGAATGCTGGGCCCCCACGGACTCACTGCAAGTCGAGCTCCAGTCGACACCCGAGGGCCCCAGAGGACGAGCTGATCTGATCGCAAACCATCTCGTCGGCTCGGTGGGTTACATTCCGGACAACTGGTTGCGAACGAGCGTTTCTGCACAAACGGGTTTTCTTTGGTCGTCTGCTTGTCTTCGCCTCACCGGAGCTCCCTCCACTCATGAGTGCTGGAGACAACATGGACACGTCTCTGCCACCACGATGGACAAGAATGTGGGAAATTGAGGCTCAATCAGGCGTTGTGGAAAATTAGGTTCCAGGTTCTCCGGATCCTCGTTTCGTGAACGGCTCGCAGCAATCTCAATGGAGGATTAGATCGCAATTCCACGCATGATCGAAGCCGGCCGGGGATTCCATGCACATGGCAGATATTCGGCGGTGCCCGGGCACAGAAGCTGCGAGAGCGATGCCAGTTTGCTCAGCTTCATCTCTCGACAGATTCGTGACGCGGATTGATTGATTGATTGCTACGTGTGCACTGAGACAATGTGGTGAGGGAGGGCCCAAGAGGCTGCCTGCGTACCCAGTTCCGGCCACCACGGCGATGGACAAATTCATTCCGGGGTCGCCCTGCCCATACCACGGGAGCTACACCAAAAGCGTTTTGGTATGGTCCTCACTCGGCCTGATGCCCACATGCTTTCTTTCCACATGGCTCCTGGTGTTCTTTTGAGTGTTGAAAGCGATCGACTGCTGCTGACGAGCGTGAACGATTTCTTTCCCGGAACAGGCGAGATACAAGGATCAAGCGGGACTGGGGGCTGGAGCAGGTGTACCCGGTCCGGCTGCTCAGCTTCAAGCGCATGCAAGAAAAATGGAACCGATTTGGGACATCGTGTCGGGCTTGGCTAAATCCTTGACGGAGGCGCGCGATCAGATAGCAACGCTGATGAAGCAGCAGCAGCAGCTGCAACAGCAGCAGCAAGGCTCGATGGCGAACCTCGCTGCGATCGAGCGCAAGCCGTCCCCTGTGTCTCGAGGTCCTCAGTACGCTCACAACCGATGCCCACCTCTGTCACCTGCTCAGAGGGATCATACTCCGCACGGGAATCGCAACGTCCACCGCTCGCACGCCCACGGATTCTGCGCTTTTGGCAGGAACTCCGAGTACAAGGAGCTCATGCATCATAACGCGGGTGGCAAAATGCATCCTCCCCCCAGGTACGCAGATCAGTTCCAACAATCCGAATCCAAAGCTGCTGCTGCTGCTAAAGAAAGAGAGCAAATAGGGCGAGGCGGAGCGTACGGCATAAAATTGAAGGGCGGCGGTGGCAACTGCGGCATCAATGTGGTGCCCGGGAGCCAGAGCTTCACGTGTAGGCAAGCCAAAGGCAAGAAGGGAATGCACCTGACCGCGCAGATGCGGGACTGCCACATGAAAGTAGACGCAGACGGTAAAAAATTCGACGGGGAAAACCCCGTCAAGATCCGCATCACGGCGCCCACCAAAGTGCGCCCCCCTCCTTCTGCCAGGAGGCCTTCCCCAGAGGTCCGCCGCTACTGCGTCGGCACCCAGTACGCCAATCTGTTGAAAGAAGAAGCTCATCACCTGCGAGAGCAGCGCGGTGTCTCCGAAACCCAAGTCAAGAGGGCGAACTGGACTAATTACTAGCCCCCTCTCCCGCCCTGCTGCTGCTTTTCTGCTCTCCATCCCTCGCTCGTCCACATTCTTCCACCCAAATTTTGCATCAAAGCCTCGCCATTGCTCGACTCGCGTGACGAGCTCCTCCATCGTCGTCGTCGTCGTCCTCGGAGGCCATCGCTCTCGCTCGTCATCGACCCTCGCGCTTTGCGCAGGGATCTCTCCTCAGGCCCGTGCCGTCCAAGAGCTGCTCCCGCGGCGCAGCCAGGGACCAGTTCGAATAAAAACCTCTCCAGGCGCGCGCGACCTCGAGGTTCAAGTTCGGAGTTCGAAATTGGCTCCGGGTTCCGCGTCCCACGTTCGCGTTACGACTCAACGCTAACGTGTGGATGTGGCGGTGCGCGCGCTGCCGTCACGTCAGCAGCTCGAGTGCGAAGACGGGGACGTGGACTGTCACGTCATCGCAGCACCCACCCACAGTTTTGGACCGGAAATTGTCGAGAGCACAATACGCGTCGTCGATTTTTGCATCGATCTCGCACGCGAAGAATATCAGCTCCTGGAAGGCTGTGAGATCACACCGTGACTTGATCCTCCATCGTTGACAGGTTCAAGGACGAGGGACGGCAGGCCAAAGCTCCCGCCGACCCGACGACTCAAGCCCACCACCGCCCGGCCTGGAAGTAACGCGCCGGATTCCGAGGTCGCACAATCATCTCCGCCCCTCAACATGACGGATTCCACCCATGACGAGATGCGGCAAGATTCTCGGCCGCATTCCCGTGGATCCTAATGAGGCCAAGGCAGCAAGCGCCAGAATCCGGCGAAGAGAAGATCCGGAGCACTGGGAAACGTCCGCGAGATATTGGCGGTTTTATCCCTCGGTCCGAAAGGGGCGGAGCATGAGAGCACGAGCTTAAAAAGGCGGATGGAGGCCTCCGCAGAAAAAGCCAAAAGTGCAGCCGGAGAGAAATTCTTGTAGACACCGGGAAGTTTGAAGTTGCCACGTAAGCAGGAGGCTCGTTGAGGCGCGCGAAAAGTTTTGAATATAGTATCCCTTTGTTCATTACATTAGCGGTTTGAAAGTCTAGTGGGCTAGGTTTTTTATAATCCTTTTCGAAGTGCATTTGAGCAAATGTTGGAATTAAGGAGATTATGAGGGAGTCAATGCATGTAGACATACATGGGCATGAAAGCCGGGAGATGTGATGAATTGAGAATGATGCATTCTCAATGATAAACAAATGCAGTTTATTTATGAAGGACCAAGTAGTGTAGCAGAAAGGATGGAAGACCCCATCAAGCCAAGCCCCGCAAATATAGTTTAGTTGGGAACATCACGTACCAGCCACTTTATCTGCCGAGCGATGTGAATGATTTGTGGAAAGACATAAATGTAGAATATGGCTTTTTCAAACCTCATCATCTTTGGCTCATGTACCATTAGAACGATGGTACATGTCCGAAAATGGCTTTAGTCCAAAAATTAAATTGCAATTATTTCAGTATGATATGATTATTGTAGTATGATATGATTATTGTATAGAGTTAAACCTCCCAATAGTGTCACCTCATACGAGTGACATACTCTCCAACTTCCATAACCATTAGTTTCTAACTTGTAAATCTGTTCAATAAGAATGGTACGTCACTCTTCGTGACATGATATTTTTCAATAGTGACAATTTCAAGTATAATTTGGGAGTAAAAATTCATATTATGATCACACTACATAGCTATGAGGTTTAAAAAAATGTGGCATAAGTTTATTTTAAGTTATAGCTCAACAATTCACTCTTTTTGGGCTTTAGTAAAATAATTCATTACATATATTGTCATCAATTTTTTCACTCAGATTTTTGTGTATTAATATGAAGTCAAACATAATTATAATGTCTATGTTAATCATCGTGGACAATACAGATGTGCAAATGGAGATGAGTTTGAAACCAAACAACACATTTAAAGACTTTACTAGGATTGATATAATGTAGGATAATAAATCTATGAATTTTATTTAAAGATAAATGACACCTCCCAATAGTGACATCTAACCTCAACACCCATGTATGTTACTATTAGGAGATAACATTAAAATTATGCAACTCCCAACAATGACATCAAATTTTAACACTAATATATGTTACTAGTAGGAGGTTATACGCACTTTACTCCGGTGAATGACACCTCAAAATAGTGACATAAAACCCAAGTATCAATATATGTCACTATCGGGAGATTTAACTCTCTATATCATTTTCATTCCTCAAGACCTCAGTAATACATGAAGTTTTAAATCTGTTTGCTACAAGATCTACTCAGAGAAAATATTTATGGTGAGGAGCTGAATGGACTTAAAGATTCTCCCTTCTAGAGTGCTTGGGCATGACAAGGGTAGATCTATGCAGATAGATTCCAAGCATCAGGAGTCAATTGATTCTTTTCCAACACTGAGGTACATGAAGCAGGGGCTGTTGCTCTTTCATGGCTGATAAGGGCGTTTCACCATTCGCTCCTCTTTGAATAAGTTTTAAGTTCATTACTATGTAGTCAGTAATGAAGATTCGTTTACAAAGATCGACACCGTCAAAGGATGAAGAAACAAGTCATCTACAAATTTCAATTAGATATATAATTGAACGGCGTGACAATGTGGAGAGACTCTGACACTGAAATCAAATCTCCTTATCGAACCTAAGGACATTGTGTAATTTCAGCTTGCAGTAAAGTTGACATCCACCAATATAACATTGCTTCCACGTCTGTAAGATGAGTGAAGCTTTTGCCCATCGTACGGGAACGTATATGACAAGTATTATATTGAGTAGAACATGATGACTTAGTTTTTGCATAATATCGTGCTGATGTACCTGACAGTTATGTACTCGTGTTCTTTTTTTTGAGCTATGAGCTCTGTGAGCTTCCAATGAATCAATCGCGTCCGATCGTTGTAAAGTCAAGGTCTACTCGGTAGATTTTTCTGCTCAAGAAATCTGATATTCTATCCCGTCGTCTAGAATACCTGAATACTAGGAAATCAGGAATATATCCTGATTAGTGAGATTTATGAGGTTTAGAGTCCACACGATCCACCTTTTAGTCCGTGCACGTCCGTCTGGATTGAAACAACTTTCGTTACTTCAAAACCCACTGATATGTAAATTCCCCTTACCTTCAAAGCAGAGGTACACAACAACGTTTACATACCCACCACGAGATTTTCTCTTCAACAAAAAGTTGAGCTGAACACTTTCCTATTCTTATTGATTATTGAAGATCGTAGGTAAACAGCTGAAACATTTCTGACGAAACAATTTCCTTCCGCAATCAAAGTACTCGATTGGTGCTGATGATGCTATCTCTTAGCCCAAAGATTCATTATCTACAAGTTAAGTACGATTTGATGTGGTCACAAAGCAGAAGCGTATAGCTGAGAAGGTCGATTGCACACGGTGTCTCAAAGTGAAGATGTATTGTAACACTAGGGTTTAAAGACAAGCTCACTCGAAGATAGAAACGTAAACTCTGAAGATGAGAGATACCAACAATGGTTCTACTCTCCCTTATATAGTTCTCACCAACAAGTACAAGGAGATAAGATCTAATCTCCACCATCCATCCCACTCCTAGTGGATGGATGACGTGGCTGATAACCCTAACAAGCACACGGATCGCTGACGTGGCGCACCCAACTAACACACTCAATCCTTACATACAAGCACACGGATTGCTGACGTGGCATTGTCTACTAACACATCCACTCGGTACCTATCAAGTGCGCGGATCGCTGACGTGGTAGCTATGACTAGTGCACACTAAAGTATCTACATCAATATTTAGAGTAACCTCTACTTTAGTTCTAACTAACTAAAGATGGTTACAAACCTCCCTCTTTTTGAGATGCAACGTCCTCGTTGCACATACGTTCAAATACCTAAACTATCAAAGGTGCATTTGCTAAATTTTTAGCTGGTTCCCAAGTTGATTCATACGATGGATATCATTTCCATTGAATCAAATACTCTACTTTGATATATTTATGACCTCCAATACGTTTCTTGAGTATCTTTTCTACTTCAAACTCCTCATGATCTTCTATCAAGGTTGGAAGAGGAGGTGGTGCTGATTGGTTGGTGAATTGTTTTGTTCGTGGTACATGTTTTTGCAATCGTGACACATGAAATACTGGATGTATTTTCATATGTGACGGAAGTTCCAACTTGTATGACACTTCACCAACACGCTTCAAAACCAAAAATGGATCAATGAACCGAGGGTTCAACTTTGATGTTCTTACAAGAGACAAATTCACTGTAGATAATCAAACATGATCTCTAACCTCAAAAACCACTTCTCTACGATGAGCAACGGCATGCTGCTTTTGCCGATTTTGAGTTATCACCAACTTCTCCTTGGCCTGATGTAGTCCTCGGTGAATATGCTCCACAAATTCGTTGACTGCTGCAACTTTGATCTAAAACTCCTCTCCTTTGAGAAGTCTCATCAAACTTGAAGGAGTTATAGGATGAGCTCCATACATAAGAAAAAATGGAGACACTTTTGTGGATGCATTTACAAAATTGTTATATGCAAATTCCACAAGTGGCAAAAGGTTGTCCCACTCTTCTTGCTCTTCTAATGTGAATGCTCTTAGCATATCTTCTATGGTTCTATTTGCCTTCTTAGTTTGTCCATCAGTTTGAGGGTGATAGGCCGTTGACATTGCTAGTTTTTTTTTGAAAAAACTAAACAAAGTTTTCCAAAATAAACTAGTGAAGTGAGTACCTCAATCCGTGATGAATACTTTGCTTAAGCCATGATTCACAAAAACTGCATCTAGATACAATTGAGCTAGTTGTGAAGCTGTTACTGTTTTTGTGGTTGGCCTGATGTGAATCATCTTGCTCAATTTGTCCACAAAAACCACCACTGAATCATGTCATAACGAAGTCCTTGGTAACTCACATACAAGATCCATGGTGACATGTTCCCACCGCTGTTCGGAAATAGGAAGAGGCTGTAATAAACCC